CTACGAAAAAGCCCCTATCTCTCCGTATCCGCAAGGCACCACCCTACGACTCGTAGGCGACGCGTAAGGTACACGTATACGCGGTCGAACGGAAACCCGAAAATAGGTATTTATCGCCCTAACCTAGAACGACTCTAAACGAACTAAGCGACCCTCTTCTCTACGACGATAATACGGCACGTAGGCGATTCGGAAACGAGCTAGGGTTAGCTCTCCCTAGAGAGGGAGGTAATTGTAAAGGAATACTAAGAGATATTTAGAAACCTAAGAGGGACCGAGGTAAACCTTCCCCACGTGATAGTACACGTAATTCCCCAGTGCGTATTTCATGCTCGCCGCATACGAGGATAGAGAAGGCAGAAGTTTGTTCTACGCTTAACCTGGTGCTAGGTTAATTAGAGTTCTATACATTACTACAACCCCCTATTACATAAACCTACTTAAGGCTATCCGCTTCGTAATTAGAGCCTAGTATAAGATATTAACTTAAACGATTATAAACTACTAGAATTACTTAGCTATTATATTATAGGTACAGCCTTATATATAGTAATAAAGTATATTACTAGTTTAAGTAAGTAAAGTACTTACTCTACTTAAGTAGTAGTTATAAAGTCTCTAATAATAGTAAGTTATTCGTTAACGAATAAGTATTTAATAGCTTCTTTACGTACTAGAGGAGGATATTATAGATAACCTCGACGACTTTACTAAGTAGATAGCTTAGTAGTTTAAGCCTACTCCCCCTAAGGAGTTAGATTAAAAGGAGGTTAAAGAACTACTACGTATATATATATTAGGCTCTAAAGTTATTAAAGTAGCTACGGCTCTATAAAGAGTAATCTAATAATTATAATAGTAGCTAGCTATAGAGCCTTAATAAGTATAAGAAAGTAGTCTAATAAAGAGCCGTAGTTAGCCTTTAATAGTAGGAGATATTATCTTATTTTAGAGTAGGCTAAATACTAAGACTATTATACGTAATATCTCTATATAACGATACTTTATTATAACGATAAGAATCTAATATTACTACGCTACTATTATAGAGAGGTTTAACTATAGTACTATAGCTTAAATCTATTTTAGTAAACAAAACGATAGATAAAGAATAGCCGACTTACCTTTTTAACTTTAATTATATACTTCTCTATCGGAATATAGATATCCTTAATAGTCGTATTAGATACGAGAAAGCCTATAGCCGCTAGCGTAGTAACTCTAATAATCGTAGGTATAAGAAAATATAAAGGTACGATCGAATTAATCTTATCTATAAATTGCGCTTATAAAGCTATTTTTACTCGTAGGTAGAAAAAAACCTAAAGTAATATAGAAGTAATATAGTCTAGAGGACTTTACCTATTAATAAAATCTCGTAGTATAAAGGAGGTATTAGACGTAGCCCCTTACGCGTTATTATAAAGAAGCTTGTTCTCGATATTCTTTTTACCGTTACCCTACCTACGGCTCTTTTATTAGTCGTATATATACGGGTCGTAGACCGGTACTCTATAGAGGCGACTCGAAGTAGCTAATAGATAAGAGATTTGTTAGCAAAGCGTCGGTGACTATTGATCTAGAGTCTTATTTGATGTATTTGTAGTTCTAGAAGGAGTTTCTTCAGATGCTGGTATGTGCGCGCCGTTGACGCTAGCCTGATGAAGCAGTTACAGAGCGAGTGAATGAAAACAGCGAGGTCTTGGCGCGTTGTCACTCACCATAGCGCTTTGCAGCGCGATACGCCAATACATGTGCGATGAGATGGGACAATTTAGTGTACACCATAAGCTGTATTATTACACTCTATGTGTATAGCATGCTCATCCGTCGCAAGTAAAAATACATAACTAAACAGTACATCGCGAGCGCAATTTTTCATCTTCCCTCGTACATCTCAAGCGCAGCAACAAATGGTGAGTGCGAAATGCACATGCGAACGGAACAACGCGCTCTCCTCCCTAGAGCTCGAGGTTGAGCTTCCACGCCGGCGGGCCATGTGAGAGCGGGCCGCCTCTGTGGCAAGAGGCCCAAGTGAGCACATCTCCGCTCACTTTCCCTTGGATCTCTCGAGAGCCCAGAGGTACTCTGCCATGCAGACGTGGTTCCTGATAGTTGTCGTTAGCTCAGTAATGGGGATAGTCATGCGGTGAAAAGACATCACACTTACTTGCGGTACTGTTGGCAAGGCCGGCAAGGCATGGCGGAGTCCTTGCGCTCAAGCTTCTCACCAGCGCCGGTAGGGGCGGCGGAGGTGGGGATGGTCGGCGCGGAGCTTGGCGCATACCAGTGCGCTGGGAAGTCGGTGCGGTCGTTGTTGCCGAACGCAACGAAAGCATCCCTCACACCTGCGTCGAGGAGGTGAGATTCCGCCTCCTCGCTGATCTGGCCGTCCCAGTCGACCTCGTCCACCTCCTCGTACGCTTTGGCGAAGGCGGGACCTGGAGGGGAGATCTCTCTCTCAGCCTGCTGTGAGGCTTTCTTCTTCTGCTCTTGGTCCGCTTTGAAGATTCTGCGGAGGTCAGGAGGGCAGTTGTTGAAGTTGTTGTTCATCTCCGTGGTTGTAGTGGTGGCCATGGCTTCGATGTGGTTGTTGGATGATCGGTCTGGGGAGATCTCTTGGGGACTCCAGGGCAAGTGATATTTATTCATGCAGTCTACATTTCGAGGAAATTCGGCACACATGCAGGCGCATTTGTTGCTGAGTAGCTCATAATCTTCGACGCCGTGGTAGCATTTCACCTATTGGAATTTCTTCATTCGCCGTGGTATCTTTTCGCCTATGGGAATTTCTTCATTTGTCGTAAGTAAGCAGATATAATTCTTGGCGCCCACGATGAAATTGGACAAAGTCAACTTCACTTCACCTCAGCGCGTGGCAGCGTGGAATCGAGCGCCATCGCAGCGCTTTCGTGAGCGACGTTCTAAAATCTTAACGGCGTGATGGGAATCATCACTGATCATGCACGACAGGTAAGCCTACAGCGGTGGTCTCCTGAGGGCGCTTGAGGCGGTACGTGAACTATCCTATCTTGATGTGTTAGCTATGATCTTCTCCATAATTCGACTAATTGAATATACACTACCACTCGATGCAGAGGCATAGTAGGACGCAAAAGCTGGGAGAAACCTCAGTAACCTAGCACGATCTACGAAGCCTCAACTTGCACATGCACCCATCCTCGCCATCGCCAGCTCATGTGCGTCTCGCTCTGACTCCTGCGCTTCGTTGCTCAGCCGAGCATGTGAGGAGAAGAGCACTTCACCGGTCACAAGCAACCTGCCAGGATCAAGGGTCTTTCCTGGGCAAACAGAAGTCGTAACGTCGTCCGAACGATCATCATCCTCCCAGGTGAAGGCATTTCCCCGCACGTCTTACAAGATGCTAAGGACGGGGGCTTGCGTCCGTATGAACGGAAAGAATAGGGACGATTTCGGTATCGAGGCGGAGAGCAGGAAGTGTGGTGATGAAGTCCGCCGAGGATCCTGGTTGCGCCAGCTCTCGGCTCAGCTGCAGCTGGCTCTCTGGGTATGAAACGACGTCCGCCACGGAGCGTGGGAAGGCTGGTAACGCATCTGATTCACATCTCCGCATATGCACGACTCTCAGCGGGCCACATCCGTCATGGCTTGTTCGACAGGAAACATGTCCAAGGCGGCCGTTGGCCGAGGCGAGACGGGTTTCTTGGAGGCCGTGGTATAGACGACACGCGATTTGATGGGATCTGCGACCGGGTTGGAGGAATTGCCGACTCGTCTGGGCCGCAAGAGCCGGCCAGGCTGCGGCAAGCGACGAGTCAGGCGACACACTGGCAATTTGGGCAGACGCGAGGGGAGGCCAAGGCGGCGAGGGAGGGCGTGAAGCACGAGAAGAGCGTGAAGAGGCGCGCGGAAGGGGTGGGTGTTTCTTCACAAACTCGCAAAGTGCTCCAATCACCGTCACCGCCCGGCGAAGTGGATGGTGAATTGGTACGGCACTGCAAGCTCGGAGCTTATCTCGAGCCTCGCCGCCCGCTCGTCTGCAATTGCTCACATGATCGTCGAACTTGAGCCGGTGCGCTGTTCGTCCTCTCACGTCTGACTCGGTATGAGCACACCGGCCTGCCTCTCTGCCACCTCTCTCTCCGCCCTCCTACCCCCTCCTCCGCCCTCGGACCACGGCGGTTCGCTTCGCCGGCACTCCTGTCATCGCATTGCACTAACGCAATCGCGCGCAGGAATCTCTCATGGCCGAGAGAGCATGCCACCCGGGCACGACCAGACGACAATCCTTCCGCAAAACGCTCGTCGACGCTGGTCTCCCGCAAGAGTACCTCGACGCGCTGGAACAGAAACGGAGGCAATTGGACGAGTCAATACATAAGTACATAGCGGCCAAGGAACGGGAATACAAACAGTATGAAAAGGAATTGAGACAGCAGTATAAGCTCGCACAAGATAAAGAGATCGTAAAACCGCGGCGGACGTCTTGGGAATCGACGCAGGATATCGCAGGATCGCCGCGGCTCCAGGGCCAGCAGCAGTCGGTGGTAGACGTCCTGTTGGCAGCGGGCCTCAAACGAGACCAAATTGGACATTCCGTGGCCGTGGCAGTAGTCGACGACGATGGCACCCCCACATTGGAAGCCAAATCGTCCATGGCGGGCATGACAGACCGACGGGCGAGCATCGAGCGGGACAAGGAATTCGTTGGGGTCTTCACGCCCGCTTTCTTGCCAGCATTGGAGAATAAAGCTCAGTCGACCAACGCTGCTGCTGAGCGGGGATCTTCGGCACCACCGCCCAGCAGCGCAGGCATTGAGCAAGGATCCGATCAGGACAGAGTCCATCGAGCCCACTCTGATAGCGTTGTGCAGGCCCAAGGCAAGAGGCCGGCGCATTTGCAACTGGTGGAAAGGACGTCGTCGTCTGGGTCGTCGGCGGATGGCAAGCTGACGTCGGCGTTGAAATCACCGACTCATGCATCGAGGCAGCCCAAACGGAAACGAGTGTCTATTGCAGTGGGGAATTCGATTGTCGCACCGTCAGACAATGTCCCTGTGGATTTGAGCAGTAACAATCACACGCCGTCCCATTCCCGGACCAGGTCACCTGCTTCAGAGCGGGACAGTGGTCCCACGAGCGCAGCAAGAGCAGTGGATTCACTAAAAGATGCTCAAAAGCAGGCCGAGTCCACGGCCATCCTACCCGAAACTTCCCAGCCCTTAACGAATGGAAAGTTCCCCGTAGAGAAAGCCCCCAGTCCCATAACAACACCATCCGCCCAACCTTCACCCCCACCGCCAGCGAGAGCCTCCCAAATCGACGCAGACGGCGACCTCTTCGACCTCGACGACGAAGACGACGAGCCCTCAGCAAAACCAGAACCCATACCAGACGACCCGCTCTCGAGCGAAGACGACATAACAGGCCGCGTCTCCCGGAACCCGCACTTCCTCGACGACGGCGATATATACGACCCCAACGCAGGCATAATATCCGAACCCGAAGAACCAGAAGACAACCACGACCACGCAGACCACATAGAGTTCATGCCCGGGTCCGCGAACGCCTCGCAACAGCCCACGAATCCGGGCTTCCGGCGGCCGTCTGTTAGTATAGACCCCGTATACGCTGGGGAGAACTACGCTCGCGCGGAGCATAGCGCGATAGTGAATGAAGTTTACGGGTCGTCGTATGTGCGGCCCGCGAGTAAAGGGTCGTTTACGGCGGGGTCGCTGGGGGAGTCGTTCATGGCGAGGAATGCGGAGATGCTGAGGAATCGAGCGCCGCAGGATGAGTCGCAGGTGCGCTCCTGATGGCGCGTGATATCTTGTCGCCTGAGGCGGGGGGACAGATACATATATATAACGAGAGATGGGATTGGGATATATGTAGCCTGCAGATGGCACGACGCTACTGCTGCTTCTTCTTCGCCTTTGGATACCCCCCAATTGCACAAGTTGGATATGAAACACATTTGAGCAAACACTCGTATATCTCCTGCTCTCTGCTTCAATGTATCGTCTTTCACTGTTGAGTTTTGATTCGTCTTCTATGTATGGTACACTATATCACGTGAGGTGAAACTTTTCCTCTTTCCGTTTTCTTTTGCCCCTTGCCAGAAGTCGTTTTTACATGTCTTTAATCGTACTACCATCCTTCTGCAGTCCATCCCTCGCCGTCCTGCCCTCTTCTCGGAACGTCTCAGCCAGTCCACGCTTGGGATCCTCATCAGGTAAACCGGCAGCTCTGCGGACTTTCAGTACCTCATTCCGCACCGCCAGCGTCACGTCAATGCGAAGCTGCTCCACCTCGCGACCAAACTTCAAGTCATGATCCGTCAGGATACCTAGCTCATCTTTCTCACCCACCTTCGCACCAGAGCCCTGTAATCGCTTCTGTCTCGCCCTCTCCTTCAATGCTTGCCACTTCTCCCTGAATGGTCCAAAGACCTTCTCTGTATCTACGAGATCCCCGAAATTCACCTTGACATCCCGCCCAGGTCGCGGTAGAGGTCTCGGCCAGGGCCGCTCGTTGTCCATGATGTTTTGTGGACCGTCGATCCACATGGGCAGGACATCTGGACAGGGCTCGGCTTCGAGAATTAGACGCGCGACGCCCCATTTGAAGTATCGCATGACTTTGTCCGGGTGTTGGTGGATCATGCCTTCGGGGAAGATGTGCACCCAGCTGAAGCGTCTGCTTGGGTACGCTGATGGAGCTGGGAAGTTGTCTTCTCCGTTTGTCGAGTATGTCAGTTCGGCTGAGGTGAACGGGTCCGTTTTGGGGAATGATGGGGAGCTTTCTGATGATCTCGAGGCACCCTCCCAGTTCTCAGGAGCGGCGTTTTCATGCGGGTCGCTGAGCAACCGTATACACTGGGTCATAGTCGGTTGAAAAAGCCCCCCAAACTTCGAGTGCGCCGCGCGATGAGTGGGTAAAGTATTACCATACGAGAAGAAGGCGGACATCAGACTTTGTCGACTTGGTCAATACTCAGCAACAACCAAGGCCAGGCGTTCGATGTACGTACCCATTCTTGAAACAAATATCGTAGCTGCCAAGCGACCAACGCATATTGTTCGGATTCCAAAAGTACCTATTCGGAAGGACACCCCAAATCATGGGATCGTCCAGTCTGTACTGCTTCAGAGGGGCGTCAGATTGACTGAAGTTGTGCGAAATACGTACACGCTCACATGGTTTGAAACTACACAAAATTCCCCAAATTAATACCACATACATCTCCCTCATTTCCAAGACATTTAAAGATCTCATCAAAACTCACCAGTAATCAAACCCTTCGTCCTCATCTTCTCATCCCGCCTCCCATCCAAAATCTCCAGAAACCTCTCCAAACCCCGAACCTCGGTTTTATTCAAAGCATATAAAAAACTCCTGGAGAGGAATCCCACGGTCCCGAACGCTGCGGCGGATGTCCATCGCCAGGGGAGGGTTGGCTGGTAAGGCCGCTCTTTGGCCGCCGCCATTGCGACCAAGAGCGGGTTTGTTGGGTTTATGAACGCGGCATCGAGCAGCAAGCAGGGGAGGATGGAGGAGGTGATGTCGGAGACGCAAGGGCAGGGATTCGGCGTGGTTTGTGGCACGTGAAGAGATGGTTGGTTGGATGCGCGTGGAGGGGCCAGAATGTGCGGTTCGATCTATGTCGCGATTTATGGCATTGAGGCTGGTCTTTCACATGCAAAGCGGATATCTTTAGCTTCCTGGACATCACGGTTGGTAGATCGCAGAACCGACAACAACCATGTCGCACAGTAAGTCCTCATCACCGCTTTCACATGTACAACAAACTGACATCCCAGGCAAAAGAAACACCTCCCTCGCCTTCTTCACCGCGCACGAACGCAACGAGCTAAAATCCACCTGGGGCTCGCGCGCAACCCGCCTCACCCGCGACAGCTTCCTGCCCTTCGGCAGCTGCCAACTATGCCTCCTCCCCGCGCGTGACCCCGTCGCCTGTCCCAGCCATGGCCACCTCTTCTGCCGCGAGTGCGCTCTCAGCAACCTCCTCGCGCAGAACAAGGAACTGAAACGATTGAAGAAAGAAGCTGAGAGGAGGAAGTTGGAGGACGAAGAGGAGAAGGATTTGGAGGATGCGGAGGCACGGGCGAGGGCTGTGGAGGAGTTTGAGAAGGTGCAGGCGGGTTTGAGTGTGAGGTCTCGTGGGAAGAAGGGGGGTGAGAGGATTGTCGGGTGGCAAGGTGGGAAGGTCACCGTTGAGCAGGATGTGGAGGGGCAACCGAAGGGGACGAAGAGGAAGTTTGAGGTCGATGAGGAGGAGTTGGTGAGGTTGGCGAATGATGAGAGAGAAAAGGTCAAGCGGGTTATGTCTGAGGAGAAGAATGCGAAGAGCGAGCTGCCGTCGTTCTGGGTGCCAAGTGAGACGCCGGATAATAAGAAGGCTGCGTTGAAGGCGATCAAGGAACATCCGACTTGTCCGGCTTCTGCGGCAGATCAGCCGCACGACATTACGCTCAAGAAACTCGTCACGGTCATGTTCAACGAGGAGAAGACAGACAGCAGCGCCGACAAGTCTTCGAGAACGTGCCCGAGTTGCAATAAAGCCTTATCGAACGCAACGAAAGCCGTTCTGGCGAAGCCTTGCGGACATGTGCTCTGCAGACCTTGTAGCGACAAGTTTCAGAAGGCACCGGAGAAGTCGGCGCATGATAAGGAGCATGATGAGACTGTGAGGTGTTATGTCTGTCAGGAGGACGTTACCCCTGGGCGCAAGTCGAAGCGGAAGAAGGACGATGGAAGCAGCGAAAAGGAGAGCAAGGTCGAGAGAGGGTTGGTGGAGCTGAGCAGCGAAGGCACTGGCTTTGCGGGTGGTGGCAAGAATATGGTCAAGAAGCAGGGCGTGGCATTCCAGTGCTAGTCGTCTAGGACCGTCACGATACAAGTTGGGGAGAGCATTCAGCATCAAGACCATGAACAGTGAACAGACATTCAAGTATTTTCTCATCACAGCCATCTCAAATATCTCCTCGTGACCAGGAGAACAACCTCACCAAGCCGTAATATCCTCCACTTCAGCCTCCCCAAAAACACTGGCCTTCGCCTGTGTGCTCTCTTCCTGCTGAGGAGGCCAATTGACCGGCTCTCGCGACATGATATGCCCCAGCTCCCTCTTCATGAAATCACGCAAAAAGCCATTGACCTGCTTGAACTCGAGCAAGAACGCATCATGGCCATCAGGACTATCGATCGTCTTCAGCTCGCTGTTCGGAATCGCGATAGCGAGTTCCTGCTGCTCAGCATAGGTGAAGAGGCCATCGGATTGAATGCCCAACACCAATGTCGGCTGCTCGATCAGAGCGAGGGCTTCTCTCACTTGCTCCGGCGTTGGCGACCCAGTCGTGTCGGTACGTCCACGCGCCACATCGTGCGTATCCAGCTTGCGCGTGATGGCGATGTAGCAATTCGCATCGAAGCGCTTGATGAATTTCTCGCCTTGGTAGCGCAGATACGACTGCGCGGAGTAGTAGGTGGAAATCTTCTTGCGGCCTGGCTTAGCTTCCACCTCCAACTCCGTCGTGCCTGAGAACTGCGGATCTTGCACAGATAGTTTGGGCGAAGACTCGTTCACAGGCGAGTTCTCGCTCGAGGCGCGCCTCGGAGAGCCCACATTTCTGTGTCCCTCGTTGTGAATAGCGAAGTGTTCACCGTTCGGCGTCTGAGGTCTCTGTGGACCATTGATATTCTGCTTCTTCTGCGTCGGATCCGGATGGTTACGTCCAAAACGAAGCTCGAAAGAATCTCTGCTCCGGTAGGTGAGCAGAGCCGACATGCGTGCAGCTCCCAGACCGCTCGCCGGCGGGTCATCGAACGAGTAATACCCATCCTCATACTTGGGATCCGAGTAGATGCTCTGCCGCTGCGCCTCACCCCAACTGATCCCCCACGCACTGTACCTAGCAGACGTAGCGATCGGAATGATGGTCCTGACATAGTCCTTGCCAAAGTACGCGAACTCCAACACGAGCATCCCACCCATCGACCCTCCAATGACCGTCGCGATCTGCTTTACGCCGAGATCGTCCAACAGCACCTTGAAGAGGTTGACGTCGTCGCGGATGGTCGTCAGAGGAAATTCTGGTCCATAGTGTCCCTTCTCCGGATCTCCATCTTTCGCCGTGACGGGGCTCGCGCTGCCGTACGGACTGCCGGGGCTGTTGATGCAGACCACAAAGAATCTCGACATGTCAAACGCGCGCGGCTCTTCTCCGTTCTTCCCAGGTCCTCCAAGCAGTGGGCCCCACCAATCTCTCACATCTGCGCTGCCCGTCAAGGCGTGGCATATGACCATGGCATTGTCGCCCTCGGGCGAGAGGGTACCGTAAGTCTTGTACGCAACGGGGACATTGTAGAGCGTCGCGCCGGACTCGAGGGTGAAGGAGGGGACGATGGCGATGTCTTGGTTCGGGATGAGTTTCACGAAAGGGTTCTCGCGTTCGTCTTCCGGCTTGATGCGCTCTGTACCACACGATTTATCAGTTCTAATGGCGCATGTGAAAGTTTTCGGTCTGCGGCTGGGAGCACGTACTGAATTTGAAGGTGTCGGCGGCGGCGTGAACCAGTCCATTGGGGGCAGTCGTCATCTTTGGGCTTCGAACAATTGTGACATGAGCTGGTGTCGCAAGAGTTGGAGGTGGTGAGGTGTCATGGTTCAAAGTGACGTGAGTCAATTGCTCTTTATGCGACCTCTGGCACGGTAGTGCCGAAACTTCGAATCCCGAGCTCTAGCAATGGCATCATCAACGCTAGGGAACTCTCAGAATAAAAGTACTGTAATCGACCTGGTACCTGGTCCCAAACAAACACATCAGGATGCCCGGTCACGCGTCGTCGCGTGAAGAAATGTATCTTATGAAAAGGAGGCGGCTTTCATCTCACCCAACGTCAACCGTCACATGAAACGCTAAGTCTGAATAGGCAACAGCAGTAAGATTAACTTTATATGGGTATTTACATCACAATAGCAGCGACGATGGCAATGACACTGACGACAGCCAGGCCTTGAATGCGTACCGCCGAGGAACCAGCATTCTCCACCCTGTCAGCAACGCGATTGCACAACAGCCGGTTCTGTCCTCCTGACGACAGCCCAACGACATGCAACCTCTCCGTCGCCGTTCCGAATGCCGACGAGTTGCCCGCCGAATATGGGTCACTGAGTGTCCAAGCCCAGGTCTGGCCGCTCTGGAGAGAGGTCTGGTTTGAGGGTGCAGTGGCGTTTCCGAATGCTGGACATTCAGTCAGTGAGGCATTTCCATACATATGTCACAAAACTCACCATAGGCCTGAGTCGCCCAGCCTCCACCCTCAATGGCACCAAACGAATCGGCGCACTCGTCTCGGTACTTGAAGTATGGGGGGAAGTCGTTCGTTTCGCATCGCGTTGATGCCGTCATGTTCCCAACAATCGCATTCACACACGCCTCCCCGAGTGCACTCGTGCAGTCACTTGACGAGGGATCGTACTTTGCCGAAACATTGAGCGGGAACTGGGCCCAGATCAAGTACATGCAGGAAGGTGCGTACGCGCCGTTATTCTGGTCGCTGCTTTGCTTGACTGCATCGTTCAAACTTCCACCTTGAGGCCATGAAAAGTCATACGTAGTGAAAGCAACATGAGGATTGGCTGGCCCGTTCGGTTGCGCAGTGTCGAGGTTCGTGCCAGTTATATTCGGCATGTGAACATCGCTGGTCTTCAAAGTCCATGTCCAATTCTGGTTGCTGTTGCTGGCGTAGCTGAAGCTCACTGCGTGGGTTTCGTTGGCCGCTCGGTCGTTGGCTCTGAAGGTCTGATAGCCATCGGTAGGGGCGCTGCTGTTGGCATCGAATGTGACATAGTTAACGAAGGCTGAGGTAGAGTGCAACAGGGTCGAGAGGATCGGAAGTAAAGCTGTCGTGCCCTTCATCTTGTCGACTTGGGTCGCTTCGACTTGCGAACGTAGAGCAGCGAGACGCCATTATGTATGTTGCCGCCGGCTTCTATGGCTATGGTGATAGTCCTGAAGTTAGCCGGCTGCGAGATCCGCAGAAGGATTCAAGTCGCCTTGGCAATGATGGCAAGCGCCTGCCAAGGGGCACGTTGACATGAACCTGTACCGTACACTATGCCGGAATACCTGAGGCAGTTTAGGATGCGAGCCTGCAAAGATCAGCCGCAACGTACAGCCACTGCCAATGGTGTGGTAGTTGAACTGCGCCGCAAAAGTGAAAAGAGGCCATAGGATGTCTGGTGCGTTTTTGCCTCCCCCACACACCCGCGATCCACAACACAGGTACAGAGAACATACTGACAAGTGACTCGTTGGTCGAGACGTTCGATACCACAGCTGCCGTGCCGTCTACCACTTTCCGCCTTTGCCTTTCTTCTTCTTGTTGCCACCTCCACCGCCTCCTTGCTTCTGCTTCACAACATCAGCTGCTGGTGTCGCTGGCCGGCTGTTTTCGCTGTCATTGCCAACTGCACCCTGGCTGTGCAATGCCTGTCTTGCCTTCGCCTTCTTGCCCTTGGGCTTGTAGGTACTGCGATCTCGTAGAGGTAGCCATCGCTCAGGGTCTGGCTTCTTGTTCGGATCGTAGTCTTTGGGTATCAGACTCTTCCGTATCTTCTTGGCCTTCTTCTGCTTCGGCTCGGGGGCAGGTCGCTTCTTAGTGGTAGTCGCAGAAATGGTAGAGGGCGGTTGAGCTATGCCAGCGCTCTCAAGCGCATCAACATCAATACCACTGACCAATCGATCTATCGGGGTCAGCGATTTTATCTGGCTGTCCGACGCCTCATCTGGTGATGCCGCCAAAAGGCCGGCAGCGGCGTATCTGTCGTTTTTGTCGGCATTGTGGAGCTCTTCAAAGATTTCGCGACTTAATTTGATGTCCTCGGGGGCCGTGGACTCCAAGAGCGCGCTTCCCGCCGCCTTGAACAAGTGTACATGGCCAGCAGGTCGCTCTTTGGGCTTTCGCCGCCAGTATCGAGCCGCCTTGGCTAGCTCGTTGCGGGCTTGAGATGTTCGACCTTGGCTGTCGTAGAGGCTCACAGTTGCGCCCACAAGACCAGGTGCAAAGCGTACGTCCTGCTCCGTAGAATTTGTGGACTGCTCGAGTCGACTGAGAAAGCTTTCTAGGAGGGTGAGCGCCAGGTTTGCGTTTCCAGTCAACACATAGAGCTGTGCAATGGTCAGGATGAGGCCAACGTCGCTTGGTCGCTTCTCCAAGACAGATAAAATTTGCTTGATAGCCTCCTTCCCAGCCTGACCCTTGGCGTGCGCCGCTGCGTTGACGACAGATAGTGAGGTGTAGAAAGGGTTAGTTGTCGGAAGTGATTGTTGTGATAAAGTTCTGGCTGTTGAATCGGCAGTACCCCTGTATTTCAGAGCTTGCAGTTCCGAAGCGTACTGATTCCGTTTCAAAATCGTGGACTGGTACTGGAAGGGATAGTCAGGATTGAACGAGTCCAGATCCGTGGTCACCAGCCGTTGCGCAAGAAATGGATTGACATCGTGTTTGGGGGCGACGTTGTTGATCTTGGCAATGTGCCGTGTGATAGCATCTGCGATGTCCTCAGCCTTGAGATGCTGAGCCAGAGCCTCCGCCTCTTCGATTCGTCCTAGCCTTGAGAGTACGTAGATGTGCTGAACAGTGATAGGGAGAAGCTCAGTCTGCTTCTCCTCATCGCTCATGTCCTCGAGAGAATTGCATAGGTCCTTTGCTCGTCTGAGCAGCACTTCGCCTTGGCCGAGTTCACCACGTGCTATGCTCCCACACGCAGCGTTGTATGCGGTCTCAAAGGCGTCCAGGTCTTCTCGTCCAGGCTTCTTCTTCTGTACCAGATCTCCACGTCCTGACCACTCTAGCTGAGCGTCCACCGCGCCTGAGTTGATGCGCAGATCAGCCTCAAGATCATTTCCCCGGCTTGAGGAAAGCTCCTTGTACAGATCCGCAGCTATTGCGAAATCCTCAGTGCGGTATCTTGCTTGTGCCTCAACATGTTGCGATCCTCTTTGCGAGTTCTTGTGTGCCAGCTCGGCTGCGTCTGCCGGTTTTCCGCTCTTGTACAGCGCATATGCGTGCTCGAGAGTTGCCCTCTCGTTCAGTTTCTCGCCGCCAGCGTCCAGTGCCGTCAATGCATCTTCGTATCTGTCCAGCTTCAGCAGCGCCACAACCTTCACATGCTGCGCTTCCAGATCGCCCTTGGACTGCTTCAGCGCTGCATTGGCCTGTTTGAGGACCTCTTCGTGGTCGTCGAGGTGAGTTTGCTTCAGAAGTGAAGCGAGTGACGACGACATCGTGATTCGTGTAGGGCGTCCAGGGGCTGTGGTGAGTGTCGGCAATGACCACAGGCTGTCCTTGGATCGTCGCAGGAGCCTCAAGCGAGTGGTCGTGTGCCTGTGATGATGGTGCACCTGTGGCCGGCCTGAGGTCGAATATTGACCGGCAAGTGCCCCACTTCGGATTGACTTCACCTCGACCACTCCGCAGCAACGGCACTGCCTCCTGATTCAAGATCACCCAAAAATCAACCATCTCCTCGTACATATTGAAACATGCTCCTATCTTGACACTTCGTCTTCATCAATCTCCTCTATCTCATAAGTACAATCCAGTCCTCGTAGGCTTCATCAGACACCATGATGTCCTCCTCCTCCCCTCTTCTTGCACTGCCGCGAGAAATAAGAGACATTATCATTTCCTATCTATTCACAGACACACCCTACGACACTCGCGATACTCGACGGGTAGAGCTCCGCATCAACAACAACCACGCGATCCTCCGTCGCTCCTTCGTGGTCCCGCCACCCAGTTTCAAAGGCTGCAGCAAGTTGTTCCGAACCTGCAAACAACTCCACCACGAAGGAATGTCTTTCCTGTATCAACAGCTCGAGTTTCGCGTAATCATCGATGGTCGGCGACCGGACTTCAAGCCGACGCGAAGTCGCCTTCACTCAGAGTACCCCGTCGGAGAACTGCAGTTATGCAGTATACTCCGATATATCAGAAGCGTATCACTTGATCTGGCCGGGTTCTCCGCTAAGGACATATCGAGACTGACGACACGGCTGAGAAGCTACCTTTCCGCAATTCCAGATATCAGCCGGGTCAAGACTTCGAGGGTGGATCTTTTCTTCGACTCACCGCTGCAGCTTAACCGTGGCTATGGAGACGACATCGCAGAAATGGTCCGGGAAGTCAAGTCGCAGACCGTTCCAAAAGTCCATCTTGCTCCACGAGGGACGCTTGCGCGAAGTAATTGGGATGGATTTGAGATTTCTCAGTTCTAGGTGAGCATGTGGCGATTGCTTGTGATGCCAGCTGACGACAGGATAGTAGAGACAAGTTGACGATTTTCTTCAGACCACAATGTATCTTTGGCAGCAGCTCCAGCAATCTAACGGCCGAAATTCACCGCTATTTGGTCAAAACGATCACCGGCTTTATCCCCCTATCCATCGACCAATCCACGTCGGCTCCTGTCTATAGGCGGAAACCGAATCTCCTTCAATACATCAAACCCCCTCAAAACCTGTCTTTTCAACTCCTCGTCGCCAATTTCGCCTTCCATGATACCAGCGCCCTCTTTGACCGCATACTCATCCCACCAGAGTCCCTCCACGCCCCTTTCGCGCTGCGTATCGGCCAGTGCCTCGTTCGTATCCAAAGACCTCACTAGCACAGCCACGACCAGTCGACCAACGGCATCGTCTTGCGACACGACGACCGTATCTATCTCCAGACCAGCCGACGCAGGGGTCTCGTCAAGCATCCGCAATCGCAGTGCGGCGAATTTGACGTTTGCGGCCTCACCAACGCTGTACCTATGACCTGGAGGTTCGAGCTCCATTTCTCCGCCCGCCTTTGCAATCTTATTCAACCAGACTCGCAGCACACCATCATCCTGGTTGACAGAGTAGACGACGGTGTAGACGTCGAGGCACACTACCTGGAAGTCCCCTACATCCATGAAGCCGAGGCCATAAGGATATAGGGGAACAGGGCCTGGTCGCATGAGTGGGTCATCGAAGTCCTGGTCGTTCGATGCGGTATTGCTCTCTTGGATGGCAGTCGCCACACAGCCGTCGTCTTCATAGGAGAAATTTGATTCTCGACTGCGCGGCGGCTTGGGCTTGGGCTTTCTGATCTCTGGATTCTTGCCCATTTCATGGATCCACAGATGGTGCTCTATGCCCTTCCTCTTCAGGGCAATGTCACGTTCAAATATCATACCTGGTCACAAACACATCACCGTTCGCCTGAGACACACCATGCTCGACATTCTATTCTTCACGATCTTGCTAATTCTGGACCCTTCGCCCTTTCAGCTTGACGACTAGGAGCATCGACAAACATCCTCATGAGAGACAGTGGCAAGCAAACAGAGATTGTCATGTACTTAACGACGGCGTTCATCTTCACGAAGCAGAGGAAAACTACAACCTCAACCACAATATCAGAGGAGAACCAACAACATGGACCCAAACAACGGATCCAGACACCTCCCCATGACAGGACAAAACCTCTACTCAACTCCACCACCAGAGCCTCTTAACCCCACCGCACCACCAGCACCACCCGACCAAACCCCGTTCCTCGCCGTCGAATACCGCCAAGTCACCGACCTCACCGTCCGCACCATCCTCGACACAATCTCCCACGAACGCTCCCAGACTCTGACCTCCCTCTCCCTCCCCATACTCCTCTACTCCACCAACCAAACCGACAGCATCCCGCGCGTCTGGCTGACCGAAGTCCCCAACTCGTCCAACGAAAACATCCTCCACGTCCCCGTCGCCACCATCTCGTCCTCGGACGAAAACGCAGATACGAGAGACTTGACGGAGTGGCTGTCGATGGCGCTGGCGGAGACCACCCCCGCGAAGAGCGTGGTCGATCCGTATACCTACCTCTGTGGCGCGGAGGACGGCAGGCGGTTAGTCGTCCTGGTGCGGGTTGTCACGGAGGATGCGCAGGGGGTGTTGGAGGAGGAGATGCGGGAGGGGTATTGCGATGGGGTGTGGATGGCAAGGGAGGACCTTGAGCGGAAGGAGGTGAATTATTTGGGGGATTATGATTTTGTGAATGAGTTTTTGGAGGAGGATTTGAGGAGGGAGGTTTTTCGGGGGTTTGATGAGTTGGGGGTTGTGGATGAGTAGGGGAGGTGGAGAGGGTGTGGGAGTGGGCTGATGGGGGAGTGGAGAGTCTGAGTGAAGAATGGGGGATGCACGAGGACGTGAGTGACTTCGATAGAAGGAGAGTTGTGAACAGAGGGGAAATGATGCATGCGATGTCCCTTGCCTTCTGATTTCCAAGTACTCTGCCTCCCGATACCATTGACTTGTGTTCCGAAGTGAAAGATCACCTTTCCAGTCTGCAACAGCCATGTCTGGTCAACAGCAGCAAGGTTGTCCATGTCGTAGATATTCAACCGCTGGAGGAAATACACGTTAGGTTCAAAAACCTCCGATCCCATGCTTGGCCTCAACACAGCAGCAAGTGGACCGCCAACTCCCCACTCCGTAACCGCGGCGGCGACTTGGTGCCTGTCGATCGCATACTCCGTCAAACCAATGAAGAACTGGGGCCGAAGTGCCTCTTGCGTACTGTTATTAACGGATGCACAGCAAACAGAAGAGGAAAGTGTGCACAGTGGAAGAAAAAGGTGTTGCGTAACGGCACTCCACTTGTTCTCGTTCTCGTCAGGGTTGGTGTCTTATGCAGGAGCCCAAAAAGTGCACTAAAAGGATCCTTATTAGCAGCCAGCCAGCATAGCCTCACGAAACGAGAGGAACACGAAGTGCTGCGCTTGAGGGATGGGGATGAGCGCTTCGTTCTTCTCTTGCCGGACGTCTTGTTCTTTCTCTCATCCATCAGCAGCGGCTATTTTCTATCTTTCGAGAGTTATTTACTTGTGTGAGGCGAAGCTTTTGTCCAAGCACGGCTCTTGCTTGACTTGAGGCTTGACCGTTTCTTGTCCCTGTCCGCCTCTTCGTCATCAGCGTTGGCGCGTTGGCACCAGCCACGATCCGTGAAACTAGGTACTTTCGTCCGGAATTCGCATTTCGCTGCGCTGGGCTCGTTTGCGACACGGTTTCCTCCTGGTGAACGAGTATCGATATCGAGAGGAGCGCTGGAAAGAGAGTGTGTGTGGAGGAAAGGGAGGTTCATCGTCCACGACCGCGATTCGCATACAATCCAACATCTCACCGACCGAACCGAACCCCTCCAAGAACAAACCAACGATCGCGCGAACCCACCACCTAGCAGCGCTGCCGCTGCGCAGTGAGACAGAAAAGAGCAGCGACAGCATACATCCAAAACCGCAACCATGTCGCCCTGCAACACCACGCTCGAAGACGCACACATCGTCGAAGACCCCCTATGGCACGACTTCACCTTCCACCACTTCGGCCTCCTTCTCTGCGCCATCTTCGGCCTGATCTCCGTGATAATCTCCCTTTGGCTAATCGCCATGCATGCCCTGCACTACCTGCGCCCGAACGAACAAAAACACATCATCCGCATCCTCTTCATGATCCCCGTCTACAGCGTCGTCAGCTTCCTGAGCTACATGTTCTATCGCAAAGCGGTCTACTTCGAGGTCCTGCGGGACTGCTACGAGGCGTTTGCGATTTCGAGTTTCTTTAGCTTGCTGTGCTATTATATCGCGCCGGACTTGCATGAGCAGAAGGAGTATTTTCGCGGGATTCAGCCGAAGAATTGGTTTTTGGGGGTTTTTTGGTTGCAGAAGTGTACCGGTGGGGAGAATAAGGGGCCTTTTAGGAAGCCGAGGAGTGGGTTGACGTGGTTCAATGTGAGTTGCGGATGCTACAGAAGAAGAGAGGCTGTGGAATTGTAACACTGATTTCTGGGATAGGTCATTTGGGCTGGCATCTTCCAATACTGCTTCGTTCGCGTCTTCTTCACGATCGTGTCGGTTATCTCCGAGGCCTTTGGACGGTACTGCGAGGCGTCGCTGAGCCCCGAGTATGCGCATATCTGGGTGCTGGCATTTGAGTGTGTGTCCGTGACGGTGGCCATGTTCATGGTCATTCAGTTCTACATCCAGCTCAAGGATGACTTGGCCGAGCACAAGCCGTTCCTGAAGGTGCTGAGCATCAAGCTGGTGATTTTCTTTTCGTTCTGGCAGACTGTACGTTTGCGAACCCCTCATGAGGGATGGGATGCTTTGCTGACTTGTGAGTTTTTAGATTGTTATATCTTTCCTCTCCTCTGGCTCAGGACCTCTTCAGCCGACTAAGAAGCTGGCATATCAAGACATCAAGATTGGCATTCCATCGGTCTTGCTGTGCATAGAGATGGCTGTGTTCTCCGTCATGCATATCTTCGCCTACCCCTGGAAACCCTACAGCGTCAAGCACATGTCGACCGATCCATTAATGGCCCCCGGCTCCGGCTACAGCGGAGGCGCACCGAGATATCAAGGAGGCCGACTCGGAATCAAGGCCATCCTAGACGCCGCGAACCCCTGGGACATCATCAAAGCCCTGGCGCGAGGCTTCAGATGGATGTTCGTGGGAGCGAAGCACAGACACCAAGACATCAGCTACCAACCCACGAAGCTAAACGCAGACAACACAAGCTACAGCGAACCAACATACGCCGGCACAGGCGAGCAAGCGACAGAACTGCACGACAAGCGCGGACGCTCAGACACCGTCGGCGGAGAAGGCTCCTACGACGATAGAGCGGGTCTGCTCAGCCACTCGCAAATCCCCGGCCAAGCCCCCAGCAGCAGCCCCTACCGCGCTTACGAAGACGACATAGGCGGCGGCGGAGACCTAGGCACGTCCCTCCACCGCCCACCGCGCGCCGCCTCCCCACCCCTCTCGCACGGCGAGAACGTCTCCTCCACGAAATTCTCCGACTTCGACGCCGAGGACACGGGCTATCATCCTGGCATGGGCCCGCCGCCCGGCTCGAATATCCCCACCGCGCCGAGCGGGAGCGTGCATCCGGCGTATCGGGGGCAGGCGCCGCCGCAGGGAGGGTGGAATGTTTGGGGTGGGGTGCATAGTGGGAGTAGTAGTAGTGGGCATTTGGGGAGTGGGGATGGGAGTGATGCGGATAGTATAGGACGGCCGCCGACGTATAGGAGTTATGATCCGCATGGGTGATTCTGTGTTCGGGTTATAAGGGCGTTAAGGTGGGAGGGGAGGTTGTGTTTTTCGCATGGCGTTTGGGAGGGATGGCCGCTGCCTCTGCTGTGCGAGTGGGCATGTGTGGGTTTTATCATTGATCGAGATACCAATGGAGCGTTGAAGGGAAAGAGTCAATCATTCTTATCATCATTCAAACTGCAAGATTCTTCAATGCTTCTCTGAGATTATCAGACAAGCTCACCTACCGCGCTGCCTCGGCACCGAAAGTGCAGTTGAACTGAAGTACATACATCCCTCTCGTACCTCGTGCCTGGGAGTCCAGTCTAGCGTGTCTCGAATCGAACACGTGCTTATATAAGAAACGAAGTAAACTTCGAGGCTGGTAGTAGACTAGGACTATCGAAAAAAAAAGGACCCGTCGCCGCCCGCGCTGACTTGCAGGAAGGATTGAGCCATCTCACACGAAACCAGGAGGCTTGAAATGCGTACGTACCACTCCCTCTCGCTCGCGAATCCTCTCGTGAAGGATCGGTACATGTATGTTCTAGATCTTTCGAAGGCGTATTGTGCTGCTCCCGAGCAAGCCGGGGGTTTGGGGCTTCGTTGTGTGTGTGTGGCGTTCGCGTTGCAATGCAATGCATTGCAGAAGGCGGTGGTTGGTGGTTTGTGGTATATGGTGGAAGGGATGGCTGCCACGTTACCGTGGGTCTTTTTGGCGAGAGGGCCGGGGGTTTGGGATGGGGAGCATCACTGCAGGTGGTGGAGTCATTGTGTTTGTGATGGGGTTTGGTGTTGAAGTTTGTTCGTATTGTTGTCGAGCAAGTCGACCTTGTTGCCCAGATGCTATCGATGATGATGAGAAAACACGAAACAGTAGGGACTTCAACTCACTCGCTAGAAATGCGAGGTGCCATTGGAAACGGGTTTAGGTTTCCGCACGCTACATCCGCACATCTTGGATCGCAAATATGTTTGAGGTGGACCGATCTGGTCAATATGTGATACTGCAGATCAGATGATCATGAAGCAAGGCCATTGGAGCTGATCCAGGGAGGTCTCGCAGTGCATCATACGACTTCGAGCAGGCACGATAAAGAAGCCGTACTGTAGAAGTCCAGCTCTGTGACATGTGCACATGCTCAATCTGGACCTCGTCAGGTGAGGACGCGCATACCATATGTTCGTTGAGTTTGCGTGGCTTGGGCAGAAAGAGAAGCTCAGGACATGATCCTTGGAGCTGGCGTGCTGGTATCCCAAACCGTCGGGCATGTCTAGGACGAGCTTGCTGGAATCATGGTCGTCAGAGGCGTCCATGTGAAACAGACAGACATGATCCCGGCTTTCCCCACAGCGCCATTATTCAAGATTGTCGAGGTTGCTTGGTGCCGGTTTGCCACAGTCGGAGTGTTGGAGCTAGGGATGCAGCTCTCGGGTGCTTGGGAGGCGTGCAGTGAGAGTGTTGCGCGAAGGTGGCTTGGTGGGTTTGCGAGGCCTGGCCAGCAAGGTGTAGGGTGGTCTTGTTGTACGTCTTGTCCAAGGATGTTGCGTGATGGGATGAGTGAATGTTCCAATGAGACTGACTCGTCGAAGTTGGAAAATCTGCGATTGTTCTTGTGATTGCTGCAGCTCGGGGAAAACGTGCTCTAGTCGACTCGATATAGCAAGCGCATTGCCTTCTCACATGAGCCGCATGCTGCTAGAGTGAGTGGCGAGCTCTCGTCCGCGAAGGAGCAAAAGAGAGTAGGATAGCTCATGCAGAGATATATTTCTAGTAGAGGTCGACCAGGGGTAGCTGTACCGGAGGAGTGGTGTTTGAAAGGTCGTTTTAGTCCACATTCCACTGTTTCAGAGGGTTGAGCGGGCGAGGACTTCATCGACGCATGCAACCACTCGCCCGGCCACTTCAAATTGTCATTGTATGTCGTGGGAGATGTTCCCATCAATGTGAGCAGAATCACATCCCACGCAGTCACCGCAGCGCAATACGAGCTCGCCCAAGTCACCACACCCTCACGCAGACCCCGCTATCACCTTTCGAGCAGTTCGGCAGGGCAAGATCTGATCCAGTGCTCCTCCCGCGGCAGCACATGCAAGTACCTGTCGGCTGCAGGGCACCTTGTTGAGGCGCACAGCAGCACCTGAAAGCTTGCGGTGCTGACAGTACCTACCTGCTGCGCGGCGTAGCTGTGCGACGAGGCCTTTGCTCAGTCCAGCGCCGAGCCGTGGGCAGGTTTCGCGGAGAAGCGCCAGGCCGAGGAGGTGAGGGGTGTCGACAGCAGGCTTCCTAACATCCTCGCCTTATCGAGTGGCTTGCAGGAAGACAAGACGACGAGAGCCGGCGGATTGCGCGCTGGAAGGCAGCGGATGAGGTGGAAAGGTCAGAGAGAGACAAACATCGAATAAAGTCAGAAGGAACCAGTAAACCGTCTTCACGCGCGATTGGATCACGTCATGACCACGATATCCTCAGCGCGGGAAATTTAAAGACATCTCGCTCATCAAATCGCCCATCATTCAGCCGGGGCGATTGGGCAGAAGAACAGGCGGAGAGCGTTCGGCGGGCGAGGCCTCTGAATCAAAGTGGCCATCAAATTGGGCGCGCTGCAGGCAGGATCTGAGGCTCTGGAACGATCGGCACAGCAGTTCGTTTTCTGCAGGCCTTGGCCGGTGGGCAGGATCGCGCGGGCGGCTGTGGTTGGCGCGGAGCGCGTTAGAGTTGCTGCTAAGGGCGTTGGCGACGCTCGGCTGCTGATCGATATCTTTGCTCGGCGTTGCTCCTTTCGCGCTCGCTCGCCCACGCTGTCTGGACTCGTCGCTCGACTCCTCTCCCTGCCATTCTCTCCACCTCCGCCCAAACCACCTCCTCTCCTCGCCTCGACCACCACCACAATCGCTCGACACGCTCGCTGTTGTCTCGCCTTCGCCTCACCTTCGTTCAGAGCGTCCTCCTCCACCACCGCCAGCCCGGCCGCTGCGACAAACGCTATCCGCCCGGACTGCTCCTAATTCACTGTTGCTGTTGCTATTACTGGAAGATTCTTGCTGGCCAAGCCCTCTTTTCTGCCCCCCGTCCGGCCTGTATAATACCTTCCCGAGCCTGCCGAATCGTCGACATCACCACTGCCTGTACAGCCAAAGTCCTGCTCGTCGAGGCCTCCGCACCCCCAAATCTCCGCCCTGGTCGTCGATATCCACCAGCGCGACCGCCAAGCCGACCCCGTATCTGAAACACCCCAGCATCGCAGCAAGAAGCTCACCTGCATGAACTCCTCACGAGCTCTATAGGCAGGTGCCGCCCACTCTCGATATATTCTTACGCGGGCCAGCGCTCCAAACATTCCGTTGCCGCCGGCCATGTTGAAACTGCACAACATGCTGCCCTTCAGATCACAATCCATTGGCCTGGCTCTGTTGAGCCTGAGTGTCGCCGCGTTCGCAGACGGCCTCACGCAGACGTACTGCTCCACGCAGAACACTGGGTCCGACTTCAGTGCTGGTATGCAAGGCCCAACTGCGCGCTCGACGCGAACCCATGTTCAACCGCTGACCTCCTTGCAGTGAACAATATATACCAGTCCAATGGCGCCTGCTACACCGCATGTAACGACCAGCAGTACGCTTTTGCCATTGTGCAATGGCAGAACTGCTGGTGCTCGAACTACATCCCGGCTTCGCAAGACGACACGAGTAATTGCAGCGAAAACTGCCCTGGATATCCCCAAGAACAATGTGGTAATCAAGACGGTGGCTATTACGGCTACGTAGCGCTCCCTCGCGCTGCATCAGGAACTGCTGGGGCATCAAGTGCGAGCAGCACACCACAGCCGGTGAGTACAAGACGAAGCGACCGTCGGGACATCAACGCGACATCGCCCCCTTCCAATCAACACCTGTACTGACTTCCGCTCTCAGTCCTCCACGGAGCAGTCATCGACCGAAGAACCATCTACAACTGAACAACCCGCGACGAGCTATGTGAGTAGAACGATCGAGAAGACAGTGACTCCCAGTGAGAGTCAAAGTGTTGTAGTCTCCTATGTGACACCTGTATGGTTGCACCTTTATCGCGCGACCCTGCAGAGCATTACCCCTTGATCTTTTACTACGATTCAGCATCGTATAACCATCTGCTAACGTTGCTTCCTACAGACACCAACGACGCGCTCCACAACATCAGCCAAACCGTCGACCACATCAACTTCGTCCTCGACGTCAGAGCCCTCGACGTCCGAGCCGCCAGCGACTCCTGTCACCAGCGTTATCATGACAACGATTTCTGGATCGATCGTAACACAAACTGTCACGAGCACACCGGTCGTTGCATCAGGCTCTCACTCAGACCAAATCCCTCTCGAGCAACAGCACAGCGGACTTGGATCAGGTGCCATTGCTGGCATCGTCATTGGCACACTCGCCGGTGTTGCTCTCCTCCTGGCAGCCGCGTTCTTCCTCTGGCGACGAAAGCGCATGAGTGATCGCGACGCCGAGAACAGCACTTCTGGTGGCTCCAAAAAGAGCATGACGCGAAACGTCAGTGTCCTCAGCAAGGCAGGACTTCTCGCTCGCAATCGTCCTAGCATGGGCGAACGAGACCACGACGACTCGTTCTACGTGACACCACCGACTGGCCAGAATAGTGTTCGACATTCAATGCTGTTTGCCGGCGCAGAAGGTGTCAGTCCAGTCAGCCCACTGGACAGCAGCCACTCCAATGATAGTGGAAAGTCTGCTCGAGTCTACGACCAACGGCTCAATCCATCCGCGCTCTTCGCCAACCACGAAAATGGAAGTCGAATCTCGATGCAAGACCAACAGGACTACTCGCGGCCACTGGGTGTCACCAACCCGGATCCCCGAGCATCGTTCGACTCGCGCCTCAGCCGCGGATAGGCCAATGGCCACCAACACCTCTTTCTTCTTGACGACTTAACGCACGTACATGGCATTTAAGCGGCAGTGGGGCACTGCAAGGTGTTGATTGTTTTGGGAAGGCCGAACAACTTTTTTCTTGATATACCCGCGAGGATCATGGCGGTGTCGGGAATCGAAAGACGTTGATGTCTGTTTACATTCACGCTCACGCCACTGTCCATCTCGGCAGAAAGACCACCCCTACATTCACTCGTTTTTCTATTCGACCAAAAGCGGGGCACAGAGTGCCAGACTTTGTGCACAAATTTACTCAAACACCATACTATTACTTCTGTTTTGACGGACGATACAAACGATCCGAGCACACACACTCACTGATACAATACACCATCATGGAAATTCTTGTTCTTTGATTGAGAGCGCGGCGTCGAATGTGAGGGAGAGGTTGGAGGTGGAAAGATGTGTATGTTCATTGAGAGAAGATATTTTGGAGGAAACGATCGGACGGATAGGGAAGACCAAGGACAAGGCCGATGATCTGACAGACACTATCACGACGTGAGAGGTGTAGGGATGCATGGGCCTTGAGCAGACGAAGAAGGAAGGAAAAGTTTCTCAACAAATGGACTGGACTGGACTGTTCTTGTGGTTCTGACACGCTCTATCTACGTAATTATGTGTGTTTTCCTCGATTGACATGGACATGACGCTTCTCTTCAAACAATAGGTATACTTCCTTCACCTTCGGAAATCATTCGACGACTGGTGGACACTACACAGCAGTAAGACGACAGCCACGAGATGCCCGGCTCTCGTGATTCATTTTGTACGATCTAAATCATCACACAACCTGCAACCTAACCCCCAACCTCTCCTTCTGCCAAAAGATAAACGTCTTCTGCTCTCCCCAATCCCTCAACCCCCTCCCCTCAACCCCCTCACCCTCACCACCTGTGAGACTCAACTCAAACCCAAACAACAACCTCGCCAAAAGCACCCTCATCTCCGCCCACGCAAACTTCTCCCCGAGACAACTATGCCGTCCCAACAGGAACGGGTAGAACGCCGCAGAGGATTTCTCGCGGGACAAGCCCAGGAAGCGCGAGGGGTCGAAGGTGTTGGGGGCGGGGAAGGTGGTGGCGGAGCGGAAGATGGGGTATTGGTTTAGGGAGAGGAGGGTCTTTGTTGAGGGTTAGCTTGATGGTTTGGTGGTTGGTGTTGGTGGGAATTGGTGGCATGGTGGTGGAAGGACTTGACTTACCCCCTCAGGCACCCTCCTCCCACAGACGACCTCTCCTCCTTTCCCGACGATTCTAGGCACCGTGACGGCGCTGGGCGGACCGAGTCTCATGCCCTCGCTGATCACGGCGTTCAAAACTTCCAGTTTACTCGTCGTCACCATGCGGATATCCTCTTCCCGGGAAAACGTCCCCCGAACCTCCTCCACGGCCTTGGACAGCCATTCTGGATTCCGTATGAGATACCACAACGTACTCGCGATCGCCGTGCTGGTGGTATCGCTCCCAGCAAAGACGAGGACAGACATGTTCAGTTCGATTTCCTCCTCGGTACACGTCCGTCCTTTCTCCTGCACGGAGCCATCACGATTATACTCCAATACACACTGCACGAAATCCTTCCTGCCCTCGCTCATCCTTAACCTCTCACGGACCTTCTCATGCGTCAACTGCTTATGCCACGCCATGCGCTCCATCGTCTTCGCGGGCATCATCTTCCGCAACAACTTCGTCAGGCCGAGGTGGTAGTGATTCAGACTCGCCACGAGCGCGATGCCCTTGCCGAATTGATTCGAGATCTCGACCCACGCGTGCGGTTTGCCGTTCTCGACGCTCCCGAACGACGACCCGAAGCTCAGGTCGCCGGAGACGTCGAAGGTCACCATGTTGAGCCACTGCACCATATCCACGACCGTCTCCCCTTGCCCCCTCGTACAAAGCTCTCGGAGTTTGTCTATCATCGCCCCAACATACCCCTCCATCGTCCCCGCACACTCCCTAGTCGCGCGGTCCGAAAACCCGCCCATAAACGCCCTCTTAAACTTCGCGTGCGCGTCTTCGTTCGCGCCCATGATGCTGTACGGCTCTTGCGGGTTCTGTTTGCGGAACCACAGGTCCGCGCGGTTGATGCGCGGGTTGAGATAGATGTCTTTCCATGCTGTTGGATCGGTGTAGGAGAGTTCGTTGGGAGCGATGCGGACTATCGGGCCGTATTTGTTGTGGAGCGTGAGGAGGTGGGTGTGGAGGTGGCCTTTTTGCAGGGCGAGGACCCAGGGGATGCGGGAGGCGCGGTGGGTGAGGGGGCCTGGGTAGGAGCTGAGGGGGTGCAGGGTGACGTTGTAGAGGAGGATAAGGAGGGGTGTCTGGGAGTGTTAGGTGCTAGATAGGGTCGTTGTTAATTGGGTAGCGTACGAGAACGAGGATTAAGGAAATAATGCCAATGGACTGGAGCAGGCTTGGGAGAGGAACGGCTTGCAACGAGGACGGTAGGATAGCCATTGTGGAGGACGACTATCTGTGCTTCGAGCACATTGCAGACTGAGAGGTGCTACGGCTGAAAAGAAGACCTGCTATCAACGTCAGTCACATGGCATTGTACAACACCAAAACCCGCAGACATACCTCCATCCATCAGCTTGTGTCGTAGAGCTGCATGCAGTGCATTAGCGTGGACACTGCAGTCAGCGAAATTCGAAGCTCAAGCACACGGCCTCCAAAGTTGAATACAACCCTGCCAAGTGATCGTAAGCCTTGGAATCTTCGGCCGTACAAGCACGTTGACTTTATACGGCTTGCATCGGAACAGTTCAAGCCAGGGTGAGAAGAATTCCGCGAAGCTGCGAACATGGAATCCTTGACATTTGGTGGTATTTGTGTTGTCGAATGAACATGCTCTCTCAAAAGACTCCAACGCCGGCCCCACGAACCCTCATGGCAGAAACGCTCAAATATTCAAAGTTACAATTTGGTTAATACTTCCGTCGGATGCATTCGTGAGTTTAAGCATCTTGACCAGGAGCCACACCGACTCTCTCCTTAGCAAGCAGATCCACCAACAGAGGGCTTGGACGGTTGTCCTTGCCGCCCTTCAGGACATCCTGCTGCTGCTTGTACTGCTGAACGCTGTTGAGGTAAGCATCAAACAGGTAGCTGCTGTCCAATGGGCCACCCTTGGCTTCAGGATGGAACTGAGTGCTGAAGATTGGTCGGGACTTGTGGATCATTCCCTCGTTGGAGCCGTCGTTCAAGTTGGTGAAGTATTCCTTGAAGTCCGATGGAAGAGTCGCAGGGTCAACAGCGTAACCGTGGTTCTGGCTGGTGATGTGGCACTTGCCAGTGCTCAAGTCCAGAGCTGGAATGTTGTGGGCACGGTTGCCGTACTTCATCTTGGTCGTTCCAGCACCCGAGGCAATAGCAAGAAGCTGATGACCCAGGCAAATGCCCATGATCGGGATCTGGCTGTTGTTCATGAGCTTGCGCAGGTTGTCACTGGTAACACGGCAGTGAGTTGGGTCACCGGGTCCGTTCGAGATGAAAACGCCATCGAAGTGGTGGGCGGACTTGTGGATGGGGTAGTCGTATGGCAAGCAAGTCACACTTGCACCACGGCTCACGATGGAGCGGATGATGTTCTCCTTCACACCACAATCAATCAGGGCAATGTGAGCGTTTCCATTTGGAGATGGCACGTGGAATGGCGCCTTGGTGGACACTCTCTTCACCAAGTTGATGCTAGCCGGGTCCTCGAATGCCTCATCCTCGTCGGCATCGTACTCCTCACCGATGGTGATTTTTCCAAGTGACGAACCCTGCTCACGCAAATACGTGACAATAGCGCGAGTGTCAACGCCAGAGATGGCCGGGACTCCCTCGCGAGCGCACCATTCAGCGAGACTCTCCACAGCAGTCCAGTGCGAGTACCTCAAGGCCACATCGGCGACAACAATAGCGCAAGCCTGAATGTTGGGGCTCTCGAAATATTTGAGAAGACCGTACTCATCCCTAGCGGAGGAAGGAACGCCGTAGTTGCCGATAAGAGGCTGGGTGAAGACCAGAATCTGACCGCGATAAGACGGATCGGTCATTGACTCTGGGTATCCCACGAGAGAAGTCGTGAAGACAGCCTCGCCACTAATGTTGGCCCTCGCACCAAAGCTCTTTCCATGGAAGATTGGACCATCGCGAATAGTGAACGTAGCACGCTCAAAGGACGGCTTGGTCGAGCGAGAGGAGACCGGCGGCGGAGGCGATCGGGGGGTGCCATTGACCACCGTGGCATTGTACCTGACCTGGAAGACAGGCTTGAAAGGCTTTGTGAAGCCGGTGGATGGCTTGAAGGTGCGGGTAAAGATAGCGGAGGCCATATTCGTGATTTGTGTACCGATTACTGCGTGCTATCGGATGCTTCAGTTCACAGATGCCTTCCAAAGGTGGTCTGCGATGTAGTCTGAAGGAGCGTTAGTCTTTGCGTCTGCATCGTGACAGGGCGTGTCTGGCGCTCTCCGGGAGAAGAGCGGTGGGAGTCATTACCCTGGCTTGTGAAGAGAGACGGAAAAGTCATAAAGCCAACCTCAGCCTGGTCAAAGGGTGGGTGGTGATGGAGAGGAGCGTGGAAGAAGAGTCTTCGAGCCGCAGCTGTAGTTTGGCAGTAGTGTTGTCAGGATGGTGGTGGGACGCAGAGTGGATGGAGGTGGACGAGGTGCAAAAGCCAATGACTGTCACGCGGCGGGGCGAAAAAGTGTGAGAAAAAAGGCCCAGAGTGACGACAAAGCCCGGTTTGTTTAGCCACGACACAGCACAGCAGATAGACCTAACGTAACGCCTTCAGTGGCCGTCGCACACACTACTGATATGCTATCTATCCTTTTCACTACTCTCTAGTGCGCGATAACGGGGCGGTGAAAGTGATCCCGAACAACATCCTCACCACTCAATGCGGCATCGGATTTGCTTACCGCACTTCGTCCTTCCTCGGCACAAAGCATTTTACGCCTTCACTACAAGGAGTAGACTGACTGAGTGAGGACAACAGAAGACGCATGTGATGATAATCATGAGGCATTGGGCCTGTCATGGCCTGAGGTTGTCAGCTCTCGTTACATAGGTACACAGCAAAGTGGCTTGACCGTCCACGCAACCCGTGACAACCCCTCAGCCTTGTGCGATGGCAAGATCAGATTTTGAGTACATCGGTGCTACTCTATGGGAGTTGGCGGCCTCGTTTTCCATCACTTATCTGCAATTGTTCGACAATTCGTTCGGCTACAATGTCTTGCAGTGAGAACAGGCAAACGGGCATCTGCCATCTTCTCCGCCTTCCAGCCAAGGTCCACGAACGTATCTTCCACTACCTGTTCTCGCGAGATTGGGACTACTGCGAAAAGCTACAGATCACTGGAGACCGACAAGTATACTTGACGACTTCCAAGCGCCCCAGGTGTTTGGCCGGATCTGATGATGCAGCTATCTTACGGACCTGCAAGCTGCTGCACGATGAAGGACTGCCCGTGCTATATGAATGCTCGAAGTTCATCGTCACAATTTCAATGCCAGTTGCATATCCCCGTAGCGAAGAGGTGGAGGGTCTTCCGCTTGGATCTATGGCTTCGACCAAGACGATGTGGCGAAACATGAAGCATTTGAAGTTGATTGTGCGCTGGGAGCAGCACACTAAGAAACTCGTTTTTACTGTTCACGACTTCGTGAACGCTTGTCGAGACAACATGGGCCTCAGCATCTCTGAATTGAAAATAGAGGGTATATACAGCCATGATGGATCCGTCAACCCTATCCTAATCTGCTTGGCCCGCTTGAGATATCCAGAACCTCCAAGGGTGTGGTTCAAGTTCACCGAAGTCCGGTTTAGGCGGTCTCCAGACGTTAGCTTGGAGGATTTCCTCACAGCCACTGGTGGTCGGGATGTTTCAAATGAGTTTGAGACACAAGAAGACCGCCTGCGATTTCCTCATGTAAGCGTCCATCCCTTGGTTGGTGTGCTTGATGCTGATAAACGAGAAGCCCGAGGACTATCAACGTTGCCAGGTTCGCCCTTCCAACCGGAGGCTAAGACTATATCCTCCCTGGGAACTAATCGACTACCAGGGATCCCGTGCGCAGGGTGGGGCCGAGTATCATCATCATGGCTGGATGCGCAGCGGTGACAAAGATGTTGAGAGCGAAGTGACTCGTCGAGGATAAGTGCGCTTGATATTTGGATTTCGACACCAGAGGGTCCCGTGGACATCCATTCTTGGGACCAGGTCATACTGCTTATGAGGTGCTTAAATGGAGATGAGCGGATAGTTGAGCCGACGTCTTGCTAAGTACGCAGCAACAAAGCGGTTTGGGGCTTCGCTGTTCTGGTTGCTGCAAATGTATAAGTACAACGCATCAGGAAAAGAACTTTCGTCGTCATACCATTTCATCGCATTCTGCTATTTCCACTCCACCGTGACTGCTATAATGAGCCACACTCGGACAGCCCAAGCCGTCGTCGACACCGTAGCTGTACCCTGGGTGGTACTGAAGTCACCGCCTTCCAACGCTGCCCGGTGCTTGTTGGCCTTCTTGTCCATATTGCCTTGGCCTGTACCATGCTACCACTCAAGCAGTCGATCCTTGTCCTTCGCTTTTGCTCTTCTTCTTGCGCAGTGTATGCCCCATCGGACTCCCATCCCACCCTCTCACTGATTCCTAAAATTCTTCTTCTGATAAAACAAATCCGTCCTCGAACTCCCCAAATTGATAATCTTCGGACACCCATCGCGATCCTTCTCCAGCCGCGTGCACTCGAAGCAGTAGAAGGCGTCCGAGATACCCTCGCCGCCGCACACGACGCACTTGTTCTGGTAGTTGCCGAAGGCGCATTCGTCGCAGATGCGCACGAGGGTCGTGGGCCGCACGTACGAGTCGCAGACGGGGCATTTGCCGTCGCATTTGTCGCAGAGGCGGCCCATCGAGGTGCCGGCCATTTTGCGGCACATGACGAGGTCGCTGTTGGGACGTGGGTTAGTAGGTGCTGGAGGGGGAAGAGTTGGAGTAAGACTTACGGATGATGGCGAGACATGGTCGCTGTTGTTTGGAGGTGATGGAGGTCGCGGTCTCGCCGAGATCAGATCGGTTGTTTGTTCGAGTTACTCAGTCAAGAGGCGTCTGGAGGAGAGAGTGCTGTTGGCAAAAAGTTGTAGACTTGACGACGTGAGCTTGAGAAAGTGCTCGAAGCCTGAGGTCTCAAAAGTGGCTGACCAATGTGGCGACGCATCACATGCGGGGCTGGAGATTCACTTGCACATGCTCGCGTGACATTCACATAAAGACATTTCATTCCCGTATATTCTTTACAATGCCTGACGATATCCATTGCTATGCAAAAACACAGACATCTGTCGTCTACAACTTCGACTTCCCCGAGCTCATCTCTTTCTTGGCCTGGTCTCGTAATATCCGCTTCAAGATCTTTCCCGACGCATTCTTTGGTATTGTGTCTAGAAAGACCACCCCACCCTCTAGTCTCTTGTATGATGCAAGCTTCTCTTTGATGTATTGAGCAATGTCCTCTTCTGTAGGCTTGCTACCGTTTGGATCCCGTCTCGTGACGTATGCTCGTGGCAGCTCTCCTCCTTCTCTTACTGGGTCTGGTACACCGATGACTGCGGCGTCGACGATATCGGGGTGAGATAGCAGGACACCTTCGACTTCCGGCGGCGCTACTTGAAATCCTCGCACTTTGATCAGTTCCTAAATTCTCTGTCAGTTCTGCTCTCAATATCACATGGCTCGTTCTCACCTTCTTCCTGTCCACGATGTAGTAGAGCTTGGTCTTTGGATCTATCCAAGCGATGTCACCGGTGTGGAAGTAGTTGTCCTTATCCCAATCTCTGGAATTGGCCTCAGGATTTTCAAAGTACCCCTTGATGATGGTCGGTCCCCGAATGCAGAGCTCTCCTCTCACATCGTACCCGCTAATGTCCTTGCCATCGTCGTCGATAAGCTTTGTGTCCAGGTTGGGCAGTGGCCAGCCAACACTACCGGTAATGTCCTTCGCGGGATAGGCATGTCGCGTAGCTATGCAGCTCGTCTCCGTCATGCCCCAAACTTGAGTCAAAGGAGCTCCATCGTCCAGAAGCGCTTGCATTCGAGCCTGTGGTGCCTTGTCCAGAGGAGCTGCTCCACATTGGCCAACCTTTGCCGATTTCAGGCTGTATTTATTGTTGAGAGGGCTGTTGATTGCCATGACTGCTATCGGTGGGACGACTCCAAGGTCTGTGATCTGATACTTTTCGTGTGCCCAGAACCAGTTCTCGGGGTCGAATCTAGGCAGGACGTAGGCCTTGTCTCCGTTTCGCAGGGGAGTACAGAAAGCACCTGGAGCAGTGGCGGCGTGGAACATGGGCAAAGCAAGCAGACGCTTGACCTTCCATGGTCTGGGGTTGGTCTCGTAGACCAGCGTATGTTGAGCTGTAAGATTCAGATGAGAGAGCTCTGCCGCTTTTGGGAGACCTGTTGTGCCCGAACTGTACAGTCTCGCAGCGCCAGTCATGTATGCCTTGTCGTAGTCGTTGAAACGCACCCAGTCCTGCTCGCCATGTTGCAAGAGGTCATTCCACTGCAGGTAGCCCTCTGGAGTCTTTCCTGGGTCATGATGTCCATCCGGGTTGAAAATGATTACATTCTTCTTTGAGATGCCATTGTCCTCTGCCGCCTTCAGAATGTTGTTCAACAGCGATGGTTGTGTGAGCACGAATTTGACTTTTGCGATCTTGGTCGTGTGGGTGAGCTCGTGTTGCGTATACGCAGGATTCGTTCCGGCGTATACTCCTCCAGCTGCCACGACTCCGAGGAAGAAGAGCCTGTCCAGGTGTCAGAGCTGTTCACTAAACAATGCATTAGGGTACCCACGGATAGTAAATGTCGTTGAAGGAATGTATCGAGACACAATCGCCTTTTTGAAGACCAATAGCTTTGAATCCAGCAGCGAGTTGTCGAACGAGCTTGTGTGCCTGTCTTGCTGAGATCGATCTTTCTGGCTTCAGGGCGTCAATGTACATGGGCTCGTCCCAGTCATATCTAGCTCTGTTAGCACAGCCAAGCAGTTCTGTGGAATGCGAACTTACTTCACGTGGTCGAAAGTCCAGCTCAGGATGTCCTCGTTGGACAACGGAACGTGTTCTTGTGCGAGGAACGGCATCGCGTCGACGTGCTAAATTTTGATCTATGGCGAGCGGAGGGTGAGAAGAGAGAGGGAAGAGGTTAGGAAGTGGGAAAAGAATGCAATCGAAGGCCTTACTCGCACAGTCTTATCTCCAGCCGACGGGACGTGTGCAAGTACATAACTCACCATTCCCACGCGCGAAGAGCTTCAACTATATTCCTGGATCTCACACCGAGGTCATCAGACGCGCCTCTGAGTCGGGCCGCTCTAGTCAAAGTGATGAAATGCCGTCCCCCGCCTCCACAATGCCTACACTGCCGGTCCAATGTGGCATAGTTAGCTGGAGACGGATGTTTGTGACACGAATTCCCGAATGGTGTATCGCCGGTGATGCAAGTGTGGCATTTGACTGAGCGCGGCGTGCCCGGGGAGGATCATTAGAGTGCATATGTCCGACCAAGCTTCTGCGGGCAAAAGATGGAGGTTAGAGAGAAATGTGACACGCCTCGGGAGAAAGAACTGGACGTTGATGTGGGGGCCGAGAGCAGCCGAGAAATCGGCTTTAAGCCGATTCCAACCCTCAGATGTATGCTGATGCATTGATCAGTACGTTGTCTGAATATGGAAACAATGCCATGAATGTAAGACGAAGCATAAAAATGTGATCGTATATGACAGATCCGATTAGTGACCTTCGGATCTTCGTGCCCACGCCGACTGCTCCAGAAGGATATTCTTGCTGACGCCAATGGAATCCGTGTGCTTCCTATAATCCGTCCCAGCACGACATGTAGTCAGATATATCTCTGGGTGGGGGCCCTATGTCGAGAAAATCTACATCACAACGAAGACCTGCCCGTATCTTCCGCAGCGTGATGACGACGTCCTGGGAATCCGGGAGCAAGATGCTCTCTCCTGGGCTCGACTCCTTCGAGGCATGCGAATGTCTGACTCGGAGTTCTCACGACATCACTCGACATCGGATTCTTCCAGCGACAAAGTGTTTGTCTAGTTCCGGTGTCCGCCGTACCAGTGTCTCTGGTGGCGTTTCTTGTCCGGCTTGAAGAAGCCCTGGCATGTCGCCGCTGCGCAGAGACACCAGCCTTTCCTGGGTGGCATGAAGAAATTTCTCCCCCTCAGCGATCAAGATCTGTTGCTCCTAGCCGGTATAGATGTATTGGACCGTCTCACCATGATCGGGGCAGGCAATCGTTGGTGCAAAGGCTTAGAAGGCCAAGTCGATGCGAGGCTCGAAACTGCTTTCGCACAGCCCAACAGGCCACTTCCGGATCATCAGATCTTTAAGTCGCAGAGTACGTTCGAGTGCCGACGATTCTGCGGCTCAATGACGATTTCAGCTGCCGCATAAGTCGATCCATCGTCCAGCAAGAAAAGAAGCCAGAGACGAGGTGACCGCATCGCCAACGATTATGTGGTCGCAATGGCAGCGTGCGGCAGTCACAGAATTTCCAATATCTCGTCTTGCTTATAAGGCGTCTGAGATTGTCGACATCAACTACCACTTGCATCAGCTCGCATGTCATAATACAGCAAGATATCAGTGGCAGCTTTACCGACGGTATGCACATCGCGTGGAGTCCAACAGCACACATCGGCCTCCTGGTCGTGACTTCGTTTTTCGGCGGCAGCGCTTTCAGCAGTCTTGGTCGCATTCGTCGCTCTGGCCGTCCGACTAGGAAGGCCGTTGTCTTGTGGAAATCATGTCGACTTCTCACCTCTCGCGACCCATCTGTTAGAGGCTGTCATCGTCGTCATAGTCTGCCTCGTAACCTCGGGGATCGGCCATCTGGCGTGTATGACTCGTTGTCGGACGTGAAGACCCATGGTCAGGCTGATAGCCACGATCTGCGAGAGCCTCTGTGAGGGAACAGGCTGTTTGGCGTAACTCTCTTTCGATATGGATCGAACCAGGGCCTAGCACGGGGATATCCATAATCCTGGATTGTGTAAGCATACAGATGTCAAGGAAAGTTATTGATGTCTACCAACCATCTGGTTATTGCTGCGTTCTTCTCCGAGCTGTCCACGCTACTCTGAGGCGTCAGAGTCTGTCTGTCCTCGATGGCGAACTTGGGATCCGGATTGAAACGAGCAGTGGTAGTGAGGTGCTGGTGGGGCGAAAGGTCTCTGCTGTAGCATTCGACGCATCGTCCGTTGGGCTGCGTTATTTTCATCCCACGAGGTTCGCAGCGATAGTGAGGTGCTTTTCAAAAGTCAACACTATCTCCATCAATTCAGCTTTTACTGGGCCACTCACCGACGTCACGCAAGCAGACGTTTGGAGTCGCCGAGACGTGACCGCACGAGTAGGAGACGATGTACGTTCCGAAGCACATTGCCGTGGGTGGCGTTGAAATCCTCTGTAATGGTGGTGGAAGGCTGTGTTAAGGTCCCATCGCTTGAAGCACATCCTCAGAGTCGGTGACAGTGGTACTGACTTGCAGATGGAAGACAAAAATTCGCAACAGACATGATCAAATAAACCGAAGTATAGAGGTGTCAGCAAGAATACCTAATACATTGGAATGGGTGGATAGGAAGAACTTCGTGTTTCGGGTGTCCCAATGCCAGAGTGTCCGCGAATGGGGAATCCTGGCCGGGCGAGTCAGATCTTTTTGACGTAGCGTGAGCGGTCAACCAGACCACAACCAAGCAGCGCAAACTTACGACAGTGTCTCTAGCGACCCCGGGACCGCCACCCATTCGCGATTGCATGTCTACACCGCCTCGAGACCGCTCATTGCGGCAGAAACTTGACTTCTGTTTGGAGGCCCGCCTTCTGCAGCCTCTCGAGATACGACGAGCTATTGGCAAGCGCCCCGGGGGTGAGGATTCCGCCCGCTTTAAGACCATGCATTACCGTCTCGTCGCGGGCTATCGTCACTGCCGCCTCGCACAGGAAAACAGCCGTCAAGTGGTACATACTACCTTCCCATCTCATCTGGCCAAATGCTCTCTTTGGATCGTTAGGGTCCGTGACGTCTGCGTTGGCAATCGCGCGCCATTCGCAGTATTCTCGTTTAGCTTGTCTAGACATGATCAGGCTTGTGGCGTAGTGCAGCAAACACTTTTCAACTCACTCTCGGGTTGGTCCTTCGCCCGGCTGATAGACAAATCTCTTGATGATCCAACGGACTGGTGGCAGGATAAGTGCAAGTGCCCCGAAAGTCAGAGCAAAGTGGACGATCAACGCATGAAGCGTACCCTTAGCCCGCATATATGGACTGAGCTGGAAGTTCTTGCCATAGAATCGGCCGCCGTCAAGAAGACTCCACGTCCGATTCACAATTGGCGCATCCGTCGGTCCCTGGAGCGAACTCGTGAGCAGGCCAAGATCGCTGTCATTCCGTATACCCGTCAAGATCTCCAACAGAGGCTTTCGGCGCTTCTGCTGAGGTGGGGATATGCTGCATAAAGAGAAGGGCGACATGCTCTTTGCGACCTGGCGAAGGTTGTAAGACTCGAACAAGGTCAAGAGCGTGTCCAGAGTTCCGCCCGATGGGATACCCTTGATATCGTACATGATATCAACCACCTCTGCAGTTCCGACCGAGAGCGCGCGGCGGATATGAGTCGCGAGCATCCAACACATGAGGTCAGTGGGCGCGCTCTCTACTCCGTTTTGCGGTATCATAATGGCCCCAGTTTGCTTTGCTGTCGACTCATACTTCTGCACCATGTCGTAGACCCATGGCACTTCTCCTATGAAAGTTGTCAGACTGAGTTGCCGTCTACTGAATCGTTACACGGTAGCTCACCGGTGCAGTCGAGATAATGTGTGCCATTCTCTGCGCAAGCTTCGAAAGGAAGAGTACCGTAGCGGTGGTAGGGTCCTATATTCTTTGAGCATCCACTTGCAAACCCGGCGTAGGCTGGGTTATTCGCGCACCGACTGTACTGATGAGCACTTTCGTCTTCTTCACGAGCTTCACGAGGTCATCCTTGGTCAATGATACTATCTCGATTCCTGGTTGTTGGCGATCTTGATTCAAAGCATGCAGCTCGCCGGCCAACTTTTCCAGCTTCTGCTGAGACCGTCCAGCAATGGCCCATTTCAAGTCGGTGGGAGCATTGGTGGTGAGGTGCTCTGCCGCGTACTTTCCTGTGTATCCGGTGGCACCGAAGACAACGACCTCGTACTGGCGCTCCGACTGTGGCATGGTGGATGGGATGGTAGGTGAGAGATGGGAAGGAAAGAAGAGGGCGATGAAGAAGCACAGTTTTGCTCGTTACCTGGTAGCACTCGGAGCAAGGACTGGGAACAGAAACCAGTGGCCGAGATTGCGACACCAATTGGTCTTCTGGTTGCTGCCCCTAAAACATCCCGAGCAAGCGATTGTGCACAGAGCCGAGGCGTCACAGCTCGTGGAGAAGTGTTGACGAGGTCGACGGGAGAACTCCTGACCGTTGCACGCGAGCGTGAGCAGGATAAGATATTGATTGAGCGCGTCAAAATTTGATGCGTCTTTTGGTTGGCGTAGCTTGTGGGTCAAAACGCTCTGCTCGCTTGCCGAACATTTTGCGCAGTCTCAGTGGCACAGACGGCTGGCGCTTGACTGCTGGGGGTCATCTGTGGACCTGAGACTACATTTTGCGTCAAGTCCGGTCTTGGCAGTCCACCCACAAGCATCGAAACCCCGTGCCCGTCTCTACACTTCAGCGACACCCTCCATCTCTCTGTCATTGTCAACCACACACAACCGCCACAATGACGAAGCGCACCAAGAAGGTCGGAATCACCGGAAAATACGGCACGCGGTACGCACACCCTCCATGATATTTCGCTATTCCGGTGGGACAAGGGAAGAAGTTGGACACCACGCCTCGAGCAGTGACCGGTTCTTCCACTTGGAAAGCGACAGCAATACCTTTCCGGATATGTTCTGACTCTTCCTGAATAGCTACGGTGCCTCGCTCCGAAAGCAGGTCAAGAAGATCGAAATCTCCCAGCATGCACGATACACCTGCACCTTCTGCGGAAAGGTCACCGTCAAGCGCGAATCTGTTGGCATCTGGAACTGCAAGTCATGCGGCAAGACCGTAGCAGGAGGAGCATACACCGTCTCGTACGTACTTGGAATGGAGTGGTAGGCAGGCAAGACGTTTTTGAGGCTGACAAGAATACACAGTACCCCAGCTGCTGCTGCGACTCGCTCGACCATCAGACGTCTGCGCGAGATTGCTGAGGTTTAAGATGGCGATTTTCATGCATTGGGGGGCTTTTACGGAGTTTACATGGGCTCGCGCTCGAGATGGGCAGAGCAGAGCCGGTTTGCTAGCGACCTGAACGAATGAAAGTCTCACAAACGACCAGTCAATTCACCCACCTTCCTTTCCTTCACCAAAAGGTATCGCCGAGCCGAAACCACATCGGACGTTCGCGCATGACTCTTTGTTAGAATCTAAACCAATCAGTGCAAAAGCATGGGCACAAGATAGTGACGCCAGGACGAGCGACGAGGCAATCTATCTCAGGCACGTTCGGCGGTCTCACAAGACACTCACGCGCCCACACAATGTCATTCCAGACTCACTTTGCCGCAACGCAGTCACAAGGACGAACATTTTCGGTCGCTGATGAAACCGATGCCTGGCGGTCGAATCACGTGCCTTCCCCGGATTCTTTGGCGAGTATAAAGCTGGACTTCCAGTGAGCTTCCTCTCTTCTTCGTCCCACTTCAAACCTCGAGTCTTTCACAACTCATGTCCCTCCCTCCACACTCACCTTCACTTACCTCAAAACAACCCTCAAGGCATGGCAGACACATGCATTGTCTGTTTAGGTGACCTCCGAACGACTTTCGCCGAGGACCCACCGCCGGAAGCTGCCGCCACTGTTGGTGATGATGGAGCTGGCAAAGACGATGATGCCAAGAAGATAGCGAGCTCGAGTTCGAAAAGGTACTATACCTGAGATGCCTTGATCGATCCCAAAGTCCGCCTTACCGGCGATGCACTACCTACCATACTGGAGGCCTCCTTGGCCTGCCCACCGCGATACCGTTTCGGTACCATGCTTCCTACTTGGACGGCTTGAAGATCTAGAAGATATTCGCCGAATAAGCTTGGAAGGTGAGGTTTTTCCCAGCTTTGCATTTGTTTGCGAAGCGGCTGGAGGCCTCCAGTATGCATCAGCGAACCTAGGCTGACATTGTGTTGCATAGTATCGAAGACGACGACGAAGCCGTTGCACACCTCTTACCCTGCAAACACGACCTGCACAACTCCTGCCTCAAGCCATGGGTCGAGCGAGCGAACAGCTGCCCAATATGCCGAACCGTATTCAACATGGTCGAAATCAGCCGGACTCTTGGCGGGCCAGTTGCCGACAGCTACGCGGTGAAGGACAGGACTCAAGAGGCGGAGATAGATGCTTCGATGATAGTGGAGGACGAGCTGTTCGCGGTCGAGGCATGGGACCCTTGTCTCGTCTGCGGCAATGCAGACGACGGCCATAGTGTCATGTATTGCGACGGCTGCGACCGGACTGTTCACATCTTCTGTGCTGGATTTGACGACGCCCCTGATGTGTGGTACTGCGAGACATGTTTGGTCGATCTGGAGAATGACACGGACCTCCCGGGCATGGCGTCGGCACTGCGACGACGCCCTCGCGCTCGCAACGGTGCTGCAAATGGAAACGCCAACCGTGCCCAGCCACGTCGCCGTCGCCAGAACGATGCTTTATGGGCTCGTGTATGGCAAGAAGTATCACGAAGACTTGATCTCGACCTGGACTTCCCTTTTGACGAAGAGCCAGCTGACCAGAGGACCGAAGAACAACGTCGCGAGTTTCAGCGATGGCAGCGGAGATTCGAGGTGGCCAGCCGCCAAGGCGCCACAAATCGACTACGCGGGATTGCACAGGCGTCGCTACAGCAAGACTTGCCACCTAACCCTGAGTCCGAAGAAGAGATTCGAGCCTGGAATGCTTTCGACAAGGCCAGAGAATCGCAAGATGCCCCACAAGATGCTCCCGTCAACACCAGACGTCGCAAGCGGCGCAACTCGGACCTCCCAGAGTCGCCTCAAGAGCATGAGCAGTCATCAGAGCACTTGGATCAACCCCAGCTCAAGCGTCCCCGACTGAAGCGCCCACCACCAGAGCCTGGACAGGCTGAGTCTTCAACAGCAGCGCATCGAAGATCTGCCGCGGAACCCACATTCCTATCTTCCCTCCTTCATGAAGTAGAGACTAAGCCCGCATCGGCCGCTTCACCGGCCACCTCTGACCAGGCGCCTGGCCAGTACTCGCCAAGAAATTCCTCTCCAGCGCGTTCGCCTGCATCATCCGAATGCGGCACTCCCAAGGCTGGAACACCGCCACCTCATCGGCCTCTTTCGCCCCCACTCTCCTCGACCATCATGCCAGCCATGTCACCATCAGCGCAGATATTCTCGCCATTTTCACCAACAGGATCTAGACTGGACCGCGATACTACAGACGGCCTCCTACGGCGTGGACGTCGGCGACGGACAGTCCAAGAGGATGACGAGCAGGAGGAAGCAAGCCCTGTCGAGCGGCAGTCATCAGCATCGCCATCTCGTGCACTCTCGTATTCTGCAAAGGAAGAGATCCAACGCATGGTTAAGCTGTCGCTAGGACCTCGATATCGCGACAAGGAGATCACGAAAGATCAGTATACCGACATCAACAGGGATGTGTCACGCAAGCTATACGATCTGGTCGGTGACGCTTCGGCGCTCACCAACTCGGATGAGAGGGAGAAATGGCAGAACGTTGCCGGCGAGGAGGTCCAGAAGGCCGTGGATGCTCTTTCCACAAGCAATGACACATCTGACGAGTGATGGATGACTTGTCCTGTACTGAGTTGGAAGTACATGCGTGATGTTTTTGAAGCAGCTGTTCATCCCGCAGGTCGGAGCAACGACAAGGCGATGAAGTGATGACTGTCCTTTGTAGATACCCTATAGCGTTTGAAATGACCTTGATACTATTGCAAACATCTTGAGATGAGATATCACACCATCGCATCGTCGTAATTGGAGGCCTATCAAAGGCCGCCTCGGCCAAGCTAGAAAGCTCCGGTCTTCGGTGCTGAAGGCTGTGCGTCTCTTCAGTCGACTCCGTGGCGTTCGTACTTTTATTCGAGCGACGCAATCTTTTGATGGCGCGCAGCTGTTGATCTGTGGATTCGAAAACGATGGCTTCAAAACCTCACGTCGTTGTCATTGGGTATGTCGGCTACTCACTCCACGCCATGCAAAAGACTGACAACAGCACAGCGCCGGAGTCATTGGCCTCACCACCGCTGTATTTCTAGCTGAGGCAGGATACGTAGTGACAGTCGTAGCCGCTCATGTACCCGGCGACTCGAGCATTGAATATACCTCGCCATGGTACGTCCGAGAACACTTATCAAAAGCACCAATGATTGACACGGCGACAGGGCAGGAGCTCACTGGCGGACCCACGCCACCGTCGACGAACCAGAGCAATGTGACTGGGACGTACAGACATTCCAGTACTGGCTCGAGTTGGTGGGTAAGGAGGAAAAGGACTCCAAAGTACCGAAATCTGGCTTGAGGGTATAAGTCCTCCAAAAACTTCACTCTACAACCGCACCTCTCCTGACTGATTTATGCCAAACAGCTCGAAGAATCCATCCACTACTGGGACGGCCCCGTGACCGAAGACCTCTGGTGGGCGCCTCACGTGCTCAACTTCCGGCAGCTGAACACGTTCGCCGAACCCATCGCCTCGATCAATGCGACCCGGCCAGCTCATGCCCCCGAGATCAAATGGGGTGCTACTTCACAAGCTTTCTCCATCAATGTCCCGCAGTATTTTCTCTATCTCCAGGAGCGTGCGCGAGCTTCCGGGGCGGTGATTTTCCAGTCGAAACTGCCGACTGATGGCGGGTTGGAGAAGGTTTTGAGCGCGGCGGAGGGGATCGCACATGCGTTGAAACGGGGGAAAGTGGAATGTTTCGTGAACGCGACGGGGTTGGGTGCGAGGGAGGTTTGTGGTGATGAAGGGATGTATCCGATCCGAGGACAGACGGTTCTCGTCAAGGGCGAGGCGAAAGCCACGAGGACGAGGTATCACGGCGGGAAGATCGGCGAGGGGTCTACATCGTATGTTATCGTGAGGCCGGGCTCTGGGACGACGATTCTCGGTGGCACGAAGGAGAAAGGGGAGTGGAGTGCGGTGCCGGATGAGGCGACTACGAAGAGGATTTTGGAGAGGTGTGGTTGGATGGCGCCGGAGTTGTTGACGGGGAAGGATGGGGGGTTTGAGGTTGTTAGTGTGCAGGCTGGGTTGAGGCCTGGGAGGGTTGGGGGTCCGAGGACTGAGAGGGAGGTTGTGAAGGGGAGGCAGGTGGTGCATTCGTATGGGCATGCGGGTGGTGGGTATCAGAATTCTATTGGGGCGGCGAGGAAGACGATTGGACTTGTTGGGGAGAGTGTTGGGAAGGGGGCGAGGGCGAGGCTGTAGTTTCCAGGAGTCTATATCAATGACCATCGTGACTCGCTGCACGGCCAGCTGTAAGTAGAGTGCGGCGAATCGCTTCATTTCTTTATTCAGGCTCCGTCTCAGCCTTTGCACTCGCTCGTCGAGAGTCTCACATGAGGCTTGGATATGATAGACGCTTTGTAGATGAGCTTAATGCGGGCATATGGCAGAGCCCTCCGCATCACTGCATCTCGCTCTTGGCTTGGGCCGGTTTTTGATCTCCCCAAACAGCACGCTGTCGGCGAACGGAGAGAATCCAAGCACTAAGTTTGTCGCACTGCCAGGTCCCCCTGGAAACAACAACGGATGTCCCGCCTTCGAGTCGATGCCGATCCGTTCGTGGCTAGGGGCTGCACGTGCTTGTGATGGCGGCAATATTGCTGAACCTCTTGGGTACGGCTCACCCAGCAGCACTCGCGGCCTGCTCTCCAGCAACTTGCTTCTCCGTGAGCTGCTTGAGAAGATCTGCAACGACCTTGGCATTCTCGTCGGTCTGTTGTTGGACTTTGCTCTCGCCGAGGGTATTGAGCTGGCCAAAGAGCCACATCTCCTGAAGCTGCCGGATCAAGGTTTGGACATCTTCAGCAGTCTTGATCTGAAATGATGTCAGCTGCAAAGGTAATGTTGGATTTGAACGACAGGACTAACCAGTGCGCTCGTCTCGGTTTTGATTTGGTATTCGGTGACAGCGGTCACGCTGCGGTCTTTTCTGTTCACCTTTGGTCGCATGTGAGCAATTCTTCGAGACATTGATACTGCTTGGGGCGCAACGCTTACAGCAGAGAGTTCGAGGAGCTTTTGAAAGCGACGGACGAGGTCTTCTTGCAGTTTGTCGATTCTAGCTGGTCTGATTTAGAAATAAGACTCCTTTGTCGTGATCGCAGACATACTCATGAATTCACGCGTACTGCGCATAGGTTGTGCCATTGCAGATTCGAGTTCTCTCCGCTCGAGACAACCCAGAGCGACGATGGAGTTGTTAGCCGACTTTGTCTTCGATCTTTGAAGTGATGAATGTTTTCAGTCGTGAAGTGAGATGTTGTGGCCTGAGGCCGCCATTGGACCCTGGCCAGTTGCTGGGGTGACCTCTGTATTTACCAGCCTCCTTCCAAGTCTGGCGTCACACTTCCAGCCACGCCAAACCACCACCCTCCAAAACCGCCCGCATTCCTCTTCCGCACTTCTGGAAAGTCACTCACATCCACCACAATCATTACGCATTCACTGAATAATTCGTGCAGTGCCGACATCAACGCCGACCGTACGAAGTCGCCCCCTCACTGACAACGACACTCCCAAGAGCTCGCTGAGGCTTCGGCCGGCAGCTCACATCGACAATGGCACCCGTACCGCCAGTACTCGGCTTCTTGTTCGCTCCCAGGACCCTCAAGAGCTCAGAACCTATTCCTGACCTCTACGTCTCCTCCCTCGAGCTCGACATTCGCAATGCCGACCCCGCGAAACTCGTCGGCCGTGATGCCTCTCCCACACCAGCTCTCTCACCGATTCAAGAACACGACCTGCAGACGAGAACGATAGAGAAGCGCGCCGATACCAAATTCGTCAAAGGTCAAGGCGCCAGCCCGCCTGAGAGCTTCAACAACAAGGGCTTCTTCGCTCTTTTCGCGATACTTGGTGCTGCCATGGTGCTGGCTGCGATCTGGTTCTTCTTCTGGGCTAAGAATGGTGGCTTCCACTTCCGCGAAGGAGACTGGGACGACTACAAATCCACTGTGCTCCGTCGCAAGGGCCCTGATGGCAAGACATTGAGTAATGCCACCAAGAGCACCAAGCTTGGTGGAGGGAAGTCGATCTACGGAAGCCAGCGTTTCGCCTGGCAGAAGAACATGGCTCAATCCGTCGTTGGAAAGGATGAGAAGGGCAGAAAGGGTGTGCTCGGAAAGAGAGGTTGGGCCAAGACACACAGCATCACCTACAGCGACGACTTCACCGAGACTCTGGCATCGCAGACTGTTACGGACGAGATGACGGAACTTCGAACAGAGCCCGATTATGACAACAGCCACCACTCGAAGCGCTATCGTGATCGCGATGTCAATGCGTACAAGAAAGAGAAGCCAGCTCGAGTTGGTGGTCTCAATCGCGTAGCAGACGGCAGCCACTTTGACTATACCAACACCGATCGTTCCGATATCTTATCCGAGTCCGTCGTTACCGACAATTCATCCCAGCCAATCCTACCCAAGCCTAAGGACAACAAGAAGAAGGACAAGGAGCGAGCCGAGCGCAAAGCACGTGAAGAGGCAGCAAAAATGGAACGACGATGGAAACGCGAGGCAGAGGAGGCAGCAGCAGCACTTGCCCGCGAGAACGCACGACCACCACCACCACCCGCACATGCCCGCAAGAGCACCAGCCCATCCAAGCAACCATCTCCACAGAAACACCGCCGCGACCGCGCTTCCTCGCGCTCTGCGTCCCCAAAGAAGCGCGACTTCTCCTACACCAGCGGCCCCGAATCCGAGATCCTCAGCACAGCATACACCCAATCCACCTCCCAACGCACCGCAAGCTACTACGACGAGTATCGACCCCGCGCAAGCGAGAACCCTCGCTACTCGTCAGACCACGGCCATGCGACCCGCGCCAGCAAGAGCAGGCAGTCGTCCCCGCGCAAGAAGCAGCAGGCCCGTGGAGGCGGAGGAGGCTACCGACGTGGTGGCACCGACAGCGACCTCGAATGAACACGATCCTGAATGGGCTTAAGCTCCATGCGAGCTGATGTGATGGGTTTTCCTTCACACACGTGCACTATGGCTTTGGAGGCGCGGGATGCCACGTCGTTGTGCATGTTCAGCTCCTGTGAGACGATTAGGACCACCAACCGATCCGATGATGACGGAAAAACTTGATGAAGATGAACTGGAGACGAAACTCTTGGGCCCCGATGGTCGAACTACGGATGATTGATGGCGCTTGAGTTTTCGTGCTTGCTTGCTTGCGTTGTGAAGTGTGACACCGGCTTGGGCAGCAAAGCAAAGCAAGGAGACAGTCGGGCCGAGGGTGAAAAGTATACCTTGCCTCATGAAAGCCCAACGACGATGGATGACTGGTATGAGGCGATGGAAGGAAAGGAAATTTTCTGCTTGGGTTACATGAGCGTCTGCCGGCATTTGCAGGCGTTTGGACTGAAGGGCGCCTGTGTGGGATCATGATTAGATCGCAGTCGTAGAGATCGTATAGCATCTTTGTATGAAAGGAATGAGAATCAGAATGAAGCATAAGATCAAAATCCACGCAAACAGCAGTCTCTCATTGATTGCTCGCACAGGTCTCTCTCTCTCTCTCTCTGGCGTATGAAAAAACATCCCAATGTATCATCATCTTCTCGCTGTTCCGTCCATGTGCTCGCTCATCGAATACACCGGTTGCGTTGATAATTCATACAGTCTTGCGTTGCTGATGTTCCTGGCTCTCATGCTCATATCCATTCACCTGCCATTAGCAGCTTCAATCCTGCCTCCTTCCTTCCTGCGTTCCGTCAATGCAAAACGTATAAAAGATCCGAACATGTTGTGGGGTATAACTAACAGACAACAAAACAACAAGCAGAGATCTCGCTCATCAAAGCAGAGACAAAAGAGACAGAAAAGGTCCCATTCAAGACCAGGTATCGCTTCAAGATCCGTCGCTAAACATCCCCAAGCAGAAAAACAACTTTTGGACGCAACCCCTCTCTCAAAAGACCAGCGATCCATACTTTTTGACAGAAAACGCAAGAATTCTTCCTCCATGCTTTTGGAGCGCTCATCCCTTCCACGTCTCGCCGCACAGCAGCTTGGTGGAAGGGCAAAGCAGAGCAGAGCAGAAAAAAGGGATTCGTGTCGTGTCAAGCGTGCATGCGGTAGTTTGTTGTTGGGTATCCAGGTTGAAGAAGAAAGGAAATGGCATGCTAAGTCGTGGAAAAGGTCTCGCTCGGAACGCTCAGATGGATTCGTGGAAAGATGTGTGTAGTGGAGAGTTGTCGTAAAGATCGCCCAAGATGTAGCGGTCGAGATCGGGGTGATGTGTAGATGTATCGTCGTCGTCGTCGTCGTCGTCGTCGTCGTCAATGTCCTGCTTTATCGTCGCAGGTTCGTTGGGGTAAATAGTAGGGAGTTGAGTGGGTTTCTCAGTACCCTTTCTCGAACCCTCCTTCGTCGTAAAGTTCTTCTTCACGGATGACCTTGTCTCGTCTCGAGACGCGAGAGCGGCCCATTCGAGACCCAGAGCTCTTTGAATTACTGCTGCCTTGATAGCCGCTGTCCCTTCCAGAAGTGCTCGCAATCACTAGCTGTGGCGCGCCACCATCTTCACCTGGTCTCATCTCAATTTTCGCGTCGCCGTAGACGTGGAGTACGGTATCGCCACTCTTGATCTTGATGCCATCTGATCGAGAAGCCTTGGATCCCGAATGGTTGCTACTCTTGCCACGAGAGACATGGGAGTGCGAATGAGAGCCGCTCTTACGGTTTTGGGCTTTGATATTTTCAGCAGTGAGTTCGTATGGTTCGCCACCGATGTTGCGTTGATAGGCGGCGACCTTCTCCTCGCGCATGCGCTGTTCTTCAATTTTGTCGTCGAGCCTTTGGTCCTGCAATCGTTTGATGAGCTTCGCTTGGTCCTCTTTGGATAGATAAGCGGAACGTCGGCCAGTTGGGCTTTCGATGATGACTCGAGAGTAGTCGGTCATGCTCGACAGCGACGTGGCCTTGGTACGTCCCGACGAGGCTGTGGTCGACACAGATGGCCGACGGCTGCTATGCGCCGACGATAGCGTGCTTCGTCGATGGTTGCGATCAACGACAGCTCGTTGTGTCCTGTCGGAGTCGTTGATGTCCGATGACGATGGGTAGTCGAGCCCGGTGTCCGATCGAGGTGCACGTCGTAATGGTTCTTGCGGTCGTGATTCCCGTCGACTCTTGGTTGGCACCGCCGTTTCAGTGTAGTACTTCTTGTTGACCGAAGGTCGCCGCGACGATTGTTGGACGACTGCCATCCTTCGCTCCTGTGGTCGTGGATCTCGATAAGATTCGCGCCGTCGTCTGTGGTGATCCTCTTCTTCAGATTCGGAGTACTCGCTCCCCGAAGAAGCAGAGTCGGATTCTGATTCGGTCGATTCAGGGTCTGGGAACTTGCCTGGCATGGCAGGGCGATCGCTTGGTCGTCTCGCTGATACTGTTCGGGTAAGGCCAGGTGCTGCAGGCTTGAACGTTTCCAGTCCAGGAACGTTTGGATTCATCTGTCGAGCAGAAAGGCCGCCAGCATAGCCAGGGAAGCCAGGGTACGTCGTTGCTGTTGGTGATGTTGGCGATTGAGGCAGTGGAGACTGTGGATATGGGACGACTTGAGTCGGCGGTGTCGTTCCGAGATACTGCGCTTGTTGAGCATAGTACGGGTAGTATGCAGAGGCTGAAGGAGGAGGTCCCGGTCGAGTGGAATCGTATGCGTAGCCTGCATTCATGCTGAGTGGCCTTGGTCGCGACATCGAACCAGACCGAGGTCGCGCTGGCGGAGGCATGGCTTGAGCAGCGCTCATCTGGCCAGAGTTGACTTGCGCGTACTGGTACTGAGGGACTGCCTGATACTGGGCGGGAGAGTACTGCTGCGGCGGCGGTGGTTGCTGAGTCGTCGGCGGTTGGTAAAAGGTATGACGTCGCTCAGGGTTAGGCTCTGAATAGCATTTGGGATTTCGACAATTAGAATCTCCGCGCGGACATTTGGTAGTGGAAGCGGCCACAGTGTGCGATCTCTGAGTGCTCCTCGCACTGTCGGCGCGGTGGAGAATGGGCTTGGTTTTGACAGGACTCTGTGGCTGTCGCGCTGAAGTCATGGCGGGCGCAGGGGCAGGGGATTTGCTGGAAGTGCTGACCAGCGGCGCGCTGGCGTGCGACGAGTAGCCCGAGTCGCTGGCTGCATCTCGTCGGTGGGAGGAGCGATCCGTGGGTTTCAAGTTGAGGTTGGCATGTTGGCTGCGAGCTGGACGGCCAGTGTGCGACGCCTGGACGACCGTCTCGGGCACGACGCGGCTCTCGTCGCTGTCGTAGTCCTCGACCTGCGCAGGCTGCGCACTCACGCCTTTCTTGTCCTGAGGCATCTCTTCAGCCTGGCGCTGTAGCCGTGAGGCTGGACTGGTTCTGGCTCTGACCCAGCGGTCGTCAATCGTCAATCCTTGGGCCTGGGGAAGCGACGGCGGCGGGCGAGGCCGCTAAGCGAGCCGAGGCTGGCGAAGATCGGTGGTGCGTGCTGGAGAGTGGTGAGGACGTGCTACCGGCGGTGGTGGCTCTGTGTTCTTCCATTCATCATTGTTCGGGTGTCATGTCTCGGATGGTGGGAGCGTAGGGGCATTGTCGTCGAAGAAGGCGGCAGGCGAACAAACGGGATGACTGTTTGCGCCGGGCCACTTACGGCGTCCTGTCGTCTCACCGGTGCATGCAACAACCACTCACACACACCTCACGATGCAGCAGTAGCAGCAGCAGCAAGCTCCCGGACGACGCACTGCGCGGCGGCGACGTGCTGCTTCTTCAATCAACGCGACCCGTAGCGTCTCGAGTGGCCGAGCGCGCCCGACGGAGGCTCAGCCGGCGATGGTGGTGGAGTGGGAGATGGGCAGCAAAGCCGTCAGACATCGAAGCCCAAAAGCTGGGGTCCTGGGAGGCAGAGCGAGGGATGGGCATGGGACCAAGACGCTCTTTTCTTTCGCACACAGCCGACAAGCGCCTCCAACTAGACGGCAATAGGTTACAACGGCCTGCATGAGCGTGGGTGGTCTGCACGAGCTGCAGCTCGCCCAAGCCCGGAGAGCGTCACGTCGAGTCGGTTAACGACTTTTTTTCCACTCCCCGACACACGCAATGCACGCCCGCTGCGGCTTGGGTTGCACAGTCCGCACATAGGCGGGCAAGTCTACCTGTCTGCCTGCCATGGCCGCCTTGTATCATCGTCGTGCTGCCTACGACCGGCGACCAACACCTCCTCACGGCACTTTCAGGCGCGTGGTGGGTCGAGCGGGTGCCGTCCATGGCGGAGGTCAGCGACAGCGATCTGATTCCTTCAGCGGAAGGCCTCGGGCGATATAGAGCTGGGTTCATCCCCATACTCTGTGCGCCTTTGGCAGTTCATCACCAGTCGTGATCAGCAGTATCGCATCTCGGAACCAAGCATTGTATTGTGTACATATGCTGTGCCAGGTACCTTCTACTTCCCGCATCTCAGCTGCGAAAGAGACGGACAGCTCGTGGATTCTGCCTGTATCGATATCAGCATGCTTTGTTCTTCACAACCACGAGCCACTGCGAACGCAGATCCACTTGGGCTATCTTTGTGAGATGTCTGCACGACATCGTTGATGGAGAGAACCGGAAGGACGCCTGCCAGCAGGCCATGCTGAAATGTACACAACGATGCCGCCATCCGCCCAGATACAGATGAGAGCTCGAGCTCCATTCGCTGGTACCGTCGACTCTCACCGCCATTCAGGACACGCACCAATGGCCGCGAATGGAGTGTCCACATGCGAGCGTGATGGGCGAGAACATCTGTATGCTTCGACAACCAAGCCAGAAGGCGTCAGCGGCCGGTACGACAACGATCGAAAGAATAACGATTTGTGTTCGTTGTGCTCAGACATTGTCAAGAGATGAATAACGTTCCCTTCCCATCACGACAGGATACATCTCGTATCAACGGCGACGGCATATGTCGATGCGTGCTGCATCCTGTCTGCCAAACGCTGACGTGCGACGCCCGCTCGTGAGGAGCGGAGTCGAAGATAGGCTCCAGATGCTCCACGCGCTCAGCATTCGGACGCAGTGCAACGGCTTCCTGGTGGCGAAAGAAGCTCCACATCATGGCCACCGCCTTGGACTGCAGCTGGGGAAGTATACATTGTGGTACAAAGGTGGAAAAGGTGAACCGGCTTACGGTCCCGGAGCAGATATTGCGGTCATCGTCTTGAATTCTTCCGTCTATCTCAGCCCGTCCAGAGTAACTTGAGCTGACAATCAAGCCCACAGATAACGAGCCAGAGATTGTCTCTCATGCAACCACATGCCTGCTCATGGGGTCAGTTCAATTCCAACTCCCTCCTCACCTGACATGTATCCGTTCGCCACAACGCCGGCCCGCTGCTTTCTTCCATACTTCTTTACATTCTCTCCACCGGCGTGAGACCCAGGAGCTGCATGCCGTTATTGAGCACAATCCTCGCGGCCTCGTACATTGCCATCAGGGCGACCTTCTTCTCTGGACTCTCCGCGTACATCACGCTCAAGGTCTTGGCGTTCTTGTTGTTGCGGTCGATGGCATCGTAGCACGAGCTGAGCAAGTGCGTCATCTTGAAGAGGTAGGTGAGGACGGTGACAGGTTCGCTCGTCTTGTAGGTGTTCAGGAAGACATCAGGCCATTGTGCTAGTGACCGGATGAGTTGAACGCCTTCCTTTGCTGTGATGAGACTGAGGTCGGCATTCAGCATCTCTTCCTCGGACACGATGGCCTTGCGCTTGATGGAGCAGAGACGGGCGTGCGAGTATTGCAGGTACGGGCCTGTGTCGCCTTCAAAGCTGGTCATCTTGGCCATGTCGAAGTTGTAGCCGTTGACCATCTTGCCGCTGTAGTCCTGCACCATGATTGACGAAATCGCCAGGGTGTCTGCCGTCGCCTCTGGGTCTTGCACCTGCTCGTACTTCTCCTGGTTCTTCCTCATCACATCATGCATGTAGTCTTTCACGCCGTCCAAGCTGTCGGCAAGCGAGATGACGGTACCCTTACGAGTGCTCATCGTCTGACCCTTTGGATCCTTGACCATACCGAAGCTGATGTGCTTGCACTTGGCAACGATATCGCTGTAAGGTGCGCCCATGAGCGAGAGGATGGTGAAAAACTGCTTGACGTGGACATCCTGCTGTGAGGCAATCACGTAGATCATCTGGTCGAAATGGTACTTCTCGTAACGCTCAAAATTGGCCGCAATGTCACGAGTCAGGTAGAGTGAAGTGCCGTCCCTCTTCTTGACAAGGGTCTTGCCGAGCGTAGGATGACCATGCTTGGACAGATCCACGATGACAGCGCCTTTGCTGTCTTCGCTAATGTTCTTCTCCTGAAGCACCTTGGCTGCCGTCTCCATGTCGTCTTCTTTTACTGTTGACTCTCCGCTGTAGTCCTCGAAGTGGATGTTCAGGCGAGCGTACATCTCCTTGTACGCCTCGATGGAGAGGTCTCTGAATCGCTGCCAGTTTGCGAGTGCTTGCTTGTCGCCATCCACCATTCGCTTGAAGAACCTACGAGCCCGCTCATCGATGCTTGGCTTGTTGGCAAGTTGCTGTTGTACTTCTTCAAGTTCGGCGTTGATCTTTTGCAGGTTCTGCTCGTCTTCATCGGTCCACTTGTTCTCCGGTGGCGCTTCAGCCTCTTTGCCCTTGGCAGGCTTCTTAGGCTTTGGTGGGTTTTTCTTCTTCTCTAACTCCTCCTTCTTCTCGGTAATGGCCTTCACAGGCTTCTGCTCTTCAGAGTTGTCGCGGTTGATCTTGACATACACGTCGTTCAGATGCTTGACAGGATCCTTCAGCAAAGACTCCTCATTTCCGTACTTCTCGAAACCTTCTGACAGAACGCCATACTGCTTGCCCCAATCTCCGAGATAGTTCATCGACACAGTCTCCCATCCTGCACGCTGATAGAGCTTGATGAGGAAACCGCCAATGATGGTACTCCGCAAATGACCAGTGTGGAACTCCTTGGCGATATTCGGACTCGAGTACTCAACAATCACCTTCTTGCGGCGGCTGTTCGGGTTTGATGGGTCCTCGAGGCCGAGATTTGAGTTCCAGCCAAAGTTGCTCTTGAGTCTGTGGATCGCGGGAATGACAAGCTTGGCAAGAGGTTCTGGCTTGAAGAAGAATCGCACGAAAGTCTTGTCTGCCGTAGGCTTCTCGAGGAGTGGAGAGTCAAATTTTTCTGCGATCTCCAGTGCCAGTTCGTCCGGCTTCTTGCCTTTTAGTCGCAATGCAGGTACCGGTAGGACGAGGTCACCGTGCTTCAGGTCTTGCGTCCACTGGACTGCGTTGTCGATGATAGGAACCTCGGCGCCCGTAATCTCATGAAGTTTGTCGATGATAATTGAGCGGTAAACGTCGACTGGGTTGAGCTGCGGGTAGAGGTTGATTCCTTTTGGCTTGGGTAAATCCGAGATGCCCAGCGTTTGGAGTTGTGAGGTGACGTGGTTGAGGCTGGCGGCCTCGCCATTGGCAGCTCCATTCGAAACGGCCATTTTTGATGTGTTTGCAGTTGAAAGCGCGCGAAGAGTCGACGTCTTGTATCCGAGTGTTTGTGTTGTGACTGATGTCTCGTGACTCAGTGACTGCTTGAAATTTGAAAGAGTTTTGACTGCATGTAACTTGGTGAGTCGGTCGAGGCTAAGCCGGCATGCCCGAGAAAACAAAAGCATGCACAGGGTTGCGATTGCTCGGCGTTGAACGGTTGTCGATGGCGGAGAACAAATTTATTGACAACATTGAAGCAAAGCGGCAACTGAAGTTGTAACATTTGGACGGGGTTGAGCACAGACCACTTTATGCCTGAGGCACCCAGAGAATTGAAAGGGGGCAGCCCAGCTTCAGCGTGGCAGTACATGTAATGATTGTGAGATGAAGAACCGTGGTGAAGGAGATCAGAGCGGCAACACAAATAACGACAAATTCTACAACACTATTATCCTACACCACTCTCCGCCCACCCCATCTTTTCCCGATCGTCATCGCACAATCGCGCGTATTCCAGCAACAGCCTAAGAACATACACCGACATATCCTCCTTCCTCAGGACCTTCTCCGCCCACGTCTTTCCATCCAACGCAATGTTCCTCGCAACATCATCATGGCCCTCCAAGCCCAGCTCCTTGTTCCCAACGAAATACTCCATGATCCCGTACACGTCGATGAACGTGTTGTCCATGGGGACGAAATGCTTCCAAGGGACCAGACGGTCGTCGTGCCATTCTTTGTAGATGGTGGCTTTGATTGGGAGAGACGTACTTCCCAGGAAACCTCGATAGCGACCGCTGAAGGAGTTGCCGTCGATGTCGGGGAGGTACTTGTATGCGTATTGCTCGGACATGGGCATAGCCTTCGCCACTGAGAAGTAGGCGTCGTTGTACGGGCATCGAGGGGGATCAGGGTCGGGGAAGCAAAGTAAGTGAACAGCAGCCGCATCCGACCACGTCGCGACCCAGTCACTGAGACCTGTTTGACCGGCACCGGGGACACGAGCAGCCAGATCGTAGGTGTCATTCTCCGGTAGCACGAAGTTGGGCGCTCGATAGTCCGGACGGGTTTCCAGCTGTTTGATGCTCGTAGCGTTGATCATAGACACAAAGCGATGTCTCTGGAATCGAGCCCAGTTTTCAGCTTTATTCCTGCCTCCACTAGCAGAGCCACGCCAGATGAGCTGATCCTTCTTCTGTTCCCAAGGATCGCCATGTGAGTCTCCACCCGAATAGAAAGGATCATCCGTCCAATACATCGCCGGTGGGAGCAAGATCTCGTTGTTCATCGGTAGTTTCGAGCCCCCGAAAAGTGGAAAGAGCGTTTTCGTGTTGGAGATAGAGATTGGCTCTACGAATGTGCCATGCAGGCCTTGGAGATTGGGATGATCGCAAGGGGAGGAAGCAAAGGTCCAGTTCGACACATAGCCCTCATGCGAACGTGGTGGATATCCAGATGAGAGTGGAGGAGGGTTTGTATAGTCCGTCTCGATTTCCGCCTCTCGTGCTGGGCTATTGGGTGCGCAGCCAACTACAGCCATAGGCCAGTACGCTCCGATTGTATCCCAGCCTGGATCGAAGTGTTCCGGTGGGTGTTCATCCAACTCTTTCAAGCTTCCAAATTCCATCTTCAGCTCATCCACAGGCACCACTTTCCTGCTCTCGGATTCCTTGATCATGTACTCATTGATCTTCTCCCAAGGCGTCACAATCCTGCTCTCGTCCATCACGTTGATAGCCAGATCCAAGTCTGGCAGATACTCCGCCACGCTCTGCACCATATCTTCCCACAAGCCAATCCATGGCCGATCTTCCCTTGGAATATCAGTCCTGCCTGTGGCATTTCCATTCCTTACGGATATCCTGTGCACGAAATCGTTCGCCTGTTCTCGAATCTGCTTCGCAGGTATCCCCCAGAACGGGTTCAAATCGTCGTATATGCGATCGAAAAAGTCCTCCACAATGAGCGCCGAGTGATTCGCCGCAAAAGTGAACCACTTATCGAATCCAGGCGGTGGCTGCCTCCCTCTCCGTGCCTGATATGCCTTCGCCGCATCATGTAGATTCCGTGTCTCTTTATTCACCAACGTTCTGAAGTCTTCGTTCGCTCGTAGTATGAGTTGATCGGCCGGATGGTTCTGTTTCGGCGAGACGGTGGTTTTAGGAGTCGTGGAGAGCGGCGAGCCCAGTTGAGAAGTGCTCAGGTGCTTGGAGAAGTCGAAAGAGGCCGGTAGGAGGAACCAGCCTACCACGACCAGGCATACTGCAGCAATGCCCAGCTGGGCCAGGCGACTGTGAAACGAAGCTGCCGAGAGGAGCATCGTTCTCAAGGTCCAGGAGATGCGGTGCCGGCGATGGAGTTGCTCGCTGCTTTCCGCCGGCGCATGACTTGAAAGAGCTTTAACGAATGGCAGGAAGGTCAAAGAGATCGGTCATACCACCATTGTGCGACGCAAGCAAGACCACCGGCAAGTTCGTATTCGAGGCTCCAAGAAAGTCCAGGAGAGGTTCCAAGCTGGATTAATCGGCACCGGAACCCTAGTTCGTTGGTTAATCAGCGAACAAAGTTCTTCCCCTAATTCTTAATCAATTGGCTCAATTGCTCCTGCGTGCAATCCTCCCCCTTCGATCCTCATTGCCTAAGAATGAATTAGGTCTAAACATTACCAAGACTAACAATACTTCGTCTATCATCTACCTCATCTAAATCATAACCTCTGGCCCCTCACAACATCTTCTACGTCCCCTTAACATACTCCACCAAAACCTCCACCAACTTCGCCCGATCCTGCCGTATATCAAACACCGCCGCATGATCATACCCATCCCACCAAAGCACCTCCAACCCACTGCCCCGCCACCTCTTCGACTTCTCCGGATTTCTGCTCATATGAGTCCGCAGATGCATCTGCTTGTGGCCGGTTACGTCCTCGACGAGGACAGGGTCGGGCAGGTCCCTTTCGGCGAGGTAGGCTCGCACAGCGTTGGTTTTGACAATCAAGTCGTCGCTGCCCAAGCTCGCCGTTAACCGCATATTGTGGTTGACCATGAGATGGTCGATTTGGTCTCTCCAGAGGACGTTCTCGCTCCAGAAGAAGTATCGTCCGAGGGTGTGGGCGATCTGGGGGTCTTTGGAGGCGAAGTACCATAACTGCCATTCGTTCGCGCGGACCGGTGGCCGCACAGTGAAGTTGTAGGCGACGTCTGGCATGTGCAGGAGGATGCTCACGGGATCGATGAGGAGTGTTGCGGAGATTCGGGGTGAGAGATGCGGGTCGTTCATCACGTGCGTGCTCATCACGCTGCCGTAAGAGTGGGAGGCGAGAACGAATCGACCGGTGCCGAAATGGTGATTGATGATATTTGTTAATTGAGAGACGAACTCGACGCGGCGAGGGATTGAGGTGGTGATTCGAGATGAGATCTGGAGGACTTCGATCGCCACGATCCCGACTTGATCGTCTTCGCTGGCGCCAGCGTTCAGGGCGCGATGTAGCTCGTTCAAGAACGTCACATGCGTGAGGAGGCCCACTCCTATTCCATGGATGAAGACTATGGGCAGCCGGGTCTTGGAAGTATGTCGCCGCAAGACATACGAGAAGTCAGGCACCACCGAGACGTGGCGAGTGAGCAACGCAGCAGGTCGAGGTGGGAACACAGCCGCCAGTCGTGGCAAAGTTCGCCTGTGATACTCAAAGCCATTCTTCAAGAATAGTGAGATGGTGAACGTATCGACCAGCATAATGAGCGAGTACCAAAGCAACGTCCTAGATACTCGACGTCAGCTGAATCCCCATCAAGGCACACGACAAGATATAACCAACCTTGGCTCAATCTCAACCGGATCCAAAGTCAACCTCAAACTCCTCGCCTTCCCAGGCCCCTCCAAAAACCCCTTCGGCATCATCCTCTCCATCTTGTCAATGTACTCCTCAATCTCATCCGCATCTCCCTTCTCCCCAACCTCCCCAGCTCTTCCATCCCAAAACGCCCAATCCGTAAACCTCCTCAGCTCCTCTCTTCCAATATCCTCCACGGGCGACCCTCGAAACCACCCGCTGAGAAACACAGCAGGATCGTAGATCTCCGACCGAACCTTGCTGAACAGCGCCCGTCGCTCCTCTGGACTCCGTTTCGGCGGGTGAATCGCTTTGCGCTGGATATATTGATTATACCCCACGAAGAACAGGTAGAACACCGCCTCCGGCGCCCACAGACTCCACAGGACATAGTTATTCAGAAACCTATCTCTTCCAAAGCTCAATGGCTGCCAGAACCTCGCCGCGAGGACCCAGATCGTATACGCCAGACAAAACGGTCCATATGCCTGGAGAATGCTAATCACGGACCGGATGGTCCATCGGTTCCCCGGGGAGTCCTTCAGCATCTTGGCCATGCAAGCGTGACCGGGTGGGCCGAATGGGTCACCGTCCCAGCAGAGGACGGAAACGCGAATCTTTCTGTGATGAAGAGAAAGACATGGTGAAGGACGCAGCAGACGACAGCGGAGGTTATATCGTCAGTTCGTTTTCGATCGCAGCCGACGCGCTCCGACTTGCGCGCGAGGAGGAAATTGGCTCGCAGACCGCGTGCAGATTGAACGTTGGGAGTTTCCGTCGTTCTCGCTTTACAGGGTCGTAAGGTTTCTTTTGGCCCAATGCGAGGGTGATCGACGTCACTCTGCCGGCTTCACATGTCAACCTTCCTTGCTCAACTCTCCATCTTCTTCTCAACGATAGATAGCAAGGCTGTTTAAGGACGAGGCGCAACACGAGGGGATCCTGGAGCCTTGCCAGTGCTTGGTTGGACAAGGTAGGAGAGTTTCAATGGCAAGTTGTACCTATCCTGGTGCCTTGCGTTCCAAGTTGTTTACCTGTCAATACTGAATCCTTCGCGTTCACCGCATCTCTTCATCTTCTCCCCCATCTCTCAGCCTACACCACCAAACAACACTGACAACATACCCGCCAATGGAGCCATCCTCACCCTCGGAAAGCAGTCCCCTCCTCAGACTGCCCGCAGAGCTCCGCCTCCAGATATATCAACACGCCCTCCACCCAACATCCACCCTAACCCTCACGTCGACCAAAACAACCCGGTACGCCGTCCTCCCAAGAATCTCGCCAGCTCTACTTTCCACCTGCCCACAAATCCACGCCGAAGCCCAATCCCTGCTCCTAACCGAAAACACCCTCGCCCTCACCCTCGACGCCCACGAAACCTACTGGCCTCCCATCTCCGAGTCGCGCCTCCCGCAAAGCGTCCTCGAGAAGATCCAGCATCTATGCGTCGTCTTCGACTGTACGGTCAGCTTGAACGCGCGGTATGAAGATGTAGACTTTGGGGCTTTCGAGGCTTTGATTTCGCTGAAAACACTTCGCGTCGCGGTGATTCACGTGACGGAGGACGTCTGGGGTGGGCCCGGGAGGGATCCTGTGGAGAGGTGTGTGGAGTTGTTGACGGAGGTGTTGATGAGAGTGCCGAGGAGTGCGAAAGTGTTTTGTGGGATTGAGGAGGGGACGCAGGAAGGGGTGTTGTTGGAGGAGAAGTTAGTGGCTAAGAGACAGGGAAGGCAGCGACCGGAGGTGATGCAGGTGGTGGAGAAGAAGGATACTGAAGCGGCGGTTATGAAAGTGCCTGGTGAGCTTCGAGGGACGAAGAATGGCGGCAATCCAGACGTCTTTGCACAATATCGTGAGCAGCAGATGGGAGAGGCCAGGAGGTTTGCTATGAGCTAACATCATCGACGTGTGAACGATGCGGATCACGAGATTGCCATTGGCAGATGGAGAGAAGCAAGGAAGGCTCATTGAGATGGAACACTGTATGACTGCATACGTGTATCATGCTACGAAGCAATGCAATGAAGAGATCGAAGCGACGATGCACACAATCCTCCTTTTGCCACGATCGCAGAGTCGCCAAACACGAGCTTGTGCGAGACAGTCTCAGTCAAGCAAGCTATCCTCCTTCGACCAATCCTCGCCCTGCTTGCCATGCTCCTCCTCGTTACCTCCGATCTTGAAGACGTCCACGTACTGCACGCGCGCACCTCCGAAAGATGAGCGGCTGGGGACGTCTGCTGCGCCGTCGAATCCCAGATTCATTCGCTGCATGTTCGCGGTCGCGTCGTCTGCCGAGCCGAGGTCGATGAGCTTTGGATCGGTCTTCTCGGGACTGCTTTGGTATGAGTCGATGTGCTTCTGAACTCGTGCAGGCTCGTCGTTAGTGAACGCCTTCCACGAATCCGTCGACTTGGACACAGAAGTCTTGGATCCAGTGCTTGGACGCGGCTCGAGCAGCACATTCTCGCCTGGCCTTGGATCGACTCCGATGGCATTGTCCTGTGGGCGCTGCTTCGAGCGGCACTTGGCGCAGTTGACATCCTCGTGCGAGACTGGATGGCAGACGAGCTCACAAGGATGGCCGCAGGGAAGAGTACCACCACATGGCTGATCGCATCCTCCGAGCAGTTTCTCCCAGCCGTCCGGCTCTTCAATTTCGACAAGGCGATCATGATTCGAGCAGCGAACGGGGAAGCTGGAGCCGATTCGGACTGGCTGGGTTGGAGGAATGTCCTTGCGAATGGCCTTCGTCTGGTCGTGCTTCTTGGCCGCCATGATCTCAATGACAGACTTCCAAGTCGCGCTGTTGCGGTGGAGCAAGAGGCCGTTGCCGAAGATGTAGAAGCCACATTGAGCGCGAGACAGAGCAACGCACACTCTGTTGTCGACGTTCAGGAAGCCGATCTGGTTGTTTTCGTTTGAACGGACAAGGCTAAGGATGACAATCTTGTTCTCCTCACCCTGGTAACTGGAAGCAAGTTAGCCAACGTTCTTTGCATATGACACTCAGTGGCTTTGTGTATGAAACTTACCTGTCAACGGTGACGACGTTGAACTTCCTGCCTTCCAGCTGGCGGCGGAGGTCTGCAAGAATGCGCTTGCGCTGGCCGTTGTAGAAGGTCAAGACGGTAATGTCTTCGGAATCCATGCCATTGTACACCAGGTGAGTGAACAAGCCAACGACCATCTCGGCTTCCATGGGATTGAGGCTGCTCATCTGCTGATCGCGTTGCTCCGACCACTGGTGCGTGAAGAAGAATGAATTGACGCCGCCCATGCCAGGAACGGGTGGTCTGATCGCAGGGCTGATCACAGACTGATGGTCGGTGATCTTGGCGCCATAGATGGGAAACAACAGTCTGCGAATCTCCGGAATCATTCGGCGCTGCTTGATCAGCGTATCGAATTCGACGTTGTTGTTGACGAGCCGCTCGAACAGAGACACGTTGAGGTAGTACGGCTCGCCCTCGTGGACTCTGACCTGGGTGTGCGGACGAAGCTGCTGGTGATCGCCGACGAGCACGAGGTTTTGGAGCGATGGTATGCAAGCCACGGCAACAGGACTCTCCAATGTCTCGGCGGCTTCCTCAATCAGGATGGTCTTGGGTTGCAAAGCTGAGATCAACGCACGGTACTTGCTAAAGCCAGCTATTCAATGTCAGTCTCATGTTCATGTTCATCACAGCATTCGTAGCCATGCAATAGGACTTACTGGTCGTCATGCCGATGACTCTCTGCCGCTTGAGAACGTTCTCATCTCTCTCCCAGTAGCCGATGCGGCGCTTCTCAACTTGCTCGTTGTACCGCTTGCTGATGTCGCGGACGCTGGTGGTGATTTGCTTCTTGAGTTCAGCCTGCAGGTAGCGATAGATGCTTGGTCGCTTCGCTTCAGGAATCTTCCACATATCCTTGTCCTTCAACAAGTCCTTGATCTTGGTGTCACTGCCGGGGACTGGGCGACAAGTGAAGTTGTCGGCAAGGGGAAGGTAGGTGCCGGTGAGGTGCTCGAACTCTTCGTCATCCTTTGCGTTCTCCGCTTCCGTCTCTTTGATTTGCTCAAACTCCAAATCCACCTCTTCAAAGTCAAAACCGAACTCCTCTCGCTCTTGTTTGGCAGGGACCGGAACCAACTTGTCACCAAGCCAGATCAGAAACGGCGATCGAGCCTCGTAAGGGTTGGACTTCTTGTCTTGAACCCATTGAGAAGCACCAGATTCCAAGGAGTCAGCCTGAGGTGTGGTCAGGAGTTTGAAGTTCTCCAGGGTCCGATGATCGAGAGGCTTCTGATTTGGCATGAGCGGCGTCAGGACAAGTGCGAATTCTTTCTCCATGTCCGCCATCTTCTTCCTGGCCATCCCAAACATACAGCCAGCAGGTGGGCTCTCCGCGGTCAGGTTCCGGACTTCGTACAAGGTACGCTTCTTGATGACCTCCTTATCCTTGCTTCTGCCGCCGAGACGCACGAACTCGGGTTCGAATTGGGCAATGTGACGAAGGATTTGGTCAATCGCATGATTGGTCTGGCAAGCAATAATGATCGGTCCATCGTCAGGCCGGCGGTTTCGTATCATAATCTCGATGGCTCGAACGGAGACATGAGTCTTGCCAGTGCCCCTGTTACCACTGTGTCAGTATTGGGCTTGGAGACAATGTCACTGCGTACTTACGGGGGTCCTTGAACGATAGCAAGGCGCTTGGTCAAGATGCGGTGAAGTGCCTTCAACTGCGAGGCATCAAGCTCAGACTGTGGCTGCAGTGGCCACTGTCTCAAGACGTCGACGTTCTCGTACGTTTCATGCTTGTTGTTGATCAGAGCAGACGTCAAGTCCATCTGTGGGTTATCTCGAATGAACTTGGGTACGTCAACCTGGCCCTTGACGTCGACCAAATGCTCTGACAGCGGAAAGCTCTCCTTCATCATATGCTGCAGAGCGAGTAGTGTTGGCCGAGCTGCTTCGTAAAATGATGATCTATCTTCGACCATGACGTATTCTTGAGCTGGGTCAATCTCGATCTGGTCGGCACGAGAAAAGAACAAGTCAATCTCCGGTGGGTTCTGTTGCACGCCAGCTAGTGGTCTTGCGGCGATGGTGGCAACGATGGCCTTGCTGTTGAACATGTCACTGGCCGGGGTAAGTACCACCAAGCTACCAGTGATGAGGCGCTTCGATTGCTCCCAGATGATCTGTTTGCCGGTGCGGACAAGACTGAAAGTGGCTCGTACAGCGAAACCTCGAGTGGAAAGGGTGACACCACAGATGTGTATCTGTGGTCAAGTCAGCGTCAAGACACGAACTTTGGGCCGTGAGTGCCTGCGTACCTTCTCGTAGATACCGACCTGGCCAGAAAACGCGTCTTCTGCAGCCTGAGGGGTGATGCGAACTCTGGCCACGGCATCCCGCAGGCCTTTGATGGCGTCCTCGCGGAGGAGCTCATACTGGGTTGAGAGGTAGTCTTCGATGTCCTCGAACGCACCGATCGGCTTGTTTGCGGATATTTCGACTACAGAGGATGCCGAGTCGGTGTTATCAGATGATGAAGAAGAACTGCTACCGTCGTAGTCCAGAATTTCCTCTGAGGTTGGGAACTCGGGGCGACGAAGCCAAGCTCCGCCGGCGACTGGCGGGCCTTCAAAATACTCGCGGATGCGCGGATTGAGCTTTGGCGGCAGCAGTAAGACCTCGACCTGGCCAGTAGGCTGCTGACAGTCGGCCTTGCCGCCGCGTCTGGACCTACTGATTCGCTCCGAAAGATGCTCGTTCATCCTGGCGAAGTCTGAAGTCAGTGGCCGATGGAAAGCATCTGGCGTGTGGATGTTTCGAAGCTGATGGGTGAAGTGGATGTCTCGAAGCTGATGAAGAGTGTTGTTGTTGATGGCGGTGGTGATGATGTTTGGTGGTGGATGGAAGCTGGATGGAGGTGGAAGAAGTTGGAGTCGGAGTTGGCGATGCAGCGGTGAGCTTCGACAAACGAGTGAAGGAGAAGAAGGGGTCAAAGCTGCAACTCACCTTCTCAAATCTCTCGACAATCCCAAAGTCAACAAAACAGTCGACTCAGTGTGCAGTGGCTTGGAAGATGATGAAGTCGGGGGGCGCGAGTGGACTTTGGAAGAGAAGTTGGTGATGGCAGAAGAGGTGGAGGAACTTTGCAGACGCGAAGAGCAAAGATGGAAGCGCATTGCAGGCGCGTGGGTGCACTTACCATGGCCAGCCAGACTTGCCTTGATCATACATCACACTACGGTGCAGGAGCGCGTGCAAACAGCGTACTTTCTTTCAACGCGCTCTACAGCGCTTCAAGAGACCATTTCACCCGCCTGCGCAGTAGATGCCTCTCTGATCTTCTGACCTCGCTTGATTGCACTGAACTCAGGGAACTGTGTATTCTCATTCCAAGAAGGTGTAAACAGGCAGCACGGGTGCCGCTTTCCTCGGGTTGTTGCATGTCGCCTGTGCAGTCCAAGAGGGGAGATTTGACTCCGTGAAGTCGTGAGTGCGGATGTGAAATCAACCCCGTCCAGAATGCCTGCTTTTAGGTGCTGAAGTGGAAACAATGCGGCAAAGCTGTTCTTAACAGCAGGCAGGCGCACAGGTGAGGTTAAAGTTGAAGGAAGCGACGAACGCCAAGACTTACAACGTGCGGCTGAGCGGGGGCGGGCGCCGATCACCCAGCTTCGGACTTCACACTCGCGGGTGGTGGTTGAAGAGGATACATCCCAAGCTTGCTAACTGTTAGTCCCCTGCCAACGCTGCCGTGATCGCGTGGTCATCTGTGTTTTGCCGGAGAAGAATTGCAGAACTAATCAAAACTCACAGGGCTTCAAAGACCAACTCCCGGCCTCCCTCCCAAGCTCCTTGACAACCGCATATATGCGCTCCGGGGTGGTTCGGTAGTTGACCTGCTCTCAACAAATGCACCTCTGGATCTGGCAACGGCGACGAATAGAACGAGCCAAGACTTGAACCTTCCACTCGTAGAAGAGACAAACACTCAGAAGCGCTTTCCTCTCCATAAACACACCCACCCAGCCAAAGAATAGACCCTCGGCGGCACATTCAAGAACATACACAATGGCATCCTTCGACGATGACAATGATCCTACAGCTGGATCTCAAGATGAGGACGAGAACGAGGACGAGGAGATGGAGGATGTCAATGAGCCTACACAAGACGACGATCAGGACATGGATCAAGGCGGAGATGAGGACGAGGAGGATGAAGGCGACGAGGATAATGACGATGACAACGAGGACGACGATGATGACGATAAGAACGAGCCAGAGTCCCCGTCGCGCCGGGCGAGCCAGCATACAGCTGGTCGTCGCTCTACGAGTAGGGAAAGACCGCCAGGTCCTGCTGTCGTCCTGACCTCGCCCTCTCCGCGAACTTCTGCTGTCAGATCGCCAGGCACGGCGGGACTGGCATCATACATACCACCAGTGCGTCCGGAGGCTCTTACAGCACAAACATACGACATTGTCCCTACAATGGCGGCGCCGCAAAGCACCTCGATAAACGCGATTACAGCTACACCTGACATGCACTGGGTCTTCTCTGGCGGCTCGGACGGATACGTACGAATGTACAATTGGGTTGAGACTGCGAATGGCAAGGTACCACTTACTGTCGCACAGAAGCACCCCTTTGTGGACAGCGTCATGAAAGCCGGCTCACTGCTCACGTACTGGGAGAATGAGGAGTCCTCTGCGTTGAAGACCCCACCCTCCAAGGAAGACGAAGGCAAATGGACGAGTCCAGTCTACTCGCTCGCCGTTCAACACCAGGCAACTTGGCTCCTCTCCGGCCTTGAGTCTGGTGGCATCAACCTTCAAACGTGCAGACACCAGGCTGGAACTCGTATTGCAACACTGAAAGAACACACCAGCGCCGTGTCTGTTCTATCGCTGTCTCAAGATGAAAGTAGTCTTCTTTCTGGCAGTTGGGACAAGAACATCTTCGACTGGGATCTGCACACAGGCAAAGTCAAGCGATCGTTCAAGGGCGCAGGACAACAGATTGCTGCTGTTGAGGTCAGACCCATGAGCGATGTACCCATTCCTGAAGTCACAGAAGTGCATCCCCAAGTCAGCACGACCTTCTCCAGCAACAACGCCGACAAGCCTACCGCCAATGGCACACTCGGGAGCGCGAACAGCAGACGCCCCTCGAAGATGGGCGAAGGCGACGAAGATGCTATGGGCTCTCCTGAAGGCAGTCTATTCGGCGAGGGCGATCATGGCTCTCTGTTCGGCGAGGACACTGGCGGTGGTGGAGGCGGGAATGCTTTCGGCGATGAAGATGATGCTCTTGCTCGGGCGCTTGAAAGCGAGATGCAAGACGCCGAGCAAGATGCACCTGCTGAAGCAGATGTGGAAATGTCGGGACTAGGAAGCGGAGGGCCTGTCCAACCACCAGAGCCTGAAGCTTCAACATCCACCGATACCAAAGCTGCTGATCCTCCTGCGCCATCAAATGGAGAAGCCAACGGCAACACGGAGCAGGCCAAGGCAACCCAAGAGGCCGAACGACCAGGAACAATCGTCACGAATGGACTGCCTCATTCTGATGAACCTCTGACTGCGCCGCCAACGAATGAAGACCAGCGATCCTCCGTTGCTGACCTTCCACCACAGTCGGAATCTACATTCCTCGACGCCTCGATCGATGGTACGGTGCGCATCTGGGATAGACGAGTGTCCGCTCCCATTGCTACGGTTCACCCATATGGAGGCACAGCTCCTTGGTGCACGAGTGCATGCTGGAGTCCGGACGGGAACTTCTTTTACGTGGGCCGCCGAATGAACGCTGTCGAAGAGTACTCCATCCACCACCTCAGCTCGAAACGATCACAGCCAAATCGACAGCTCAAGTTCCAGGGTGGAAGTGGAGCTGTGTCGGCAGTGAGGTCAATGCCAAACAAGAAGCACCTCATTTGGTAAGTCTGCGCTCAAATGAACATCTGCTGAACGGTACTAACTTCATCTCACAGCGCCTCGCACGACATTCTCCGAATCTACGACCTCGCACAAGCCGAATCGAAGCACAGAGCCGTCCCGTTCACGATCATTCCAGGACATCGCGGCGGCGTCATCTCCTCCGTGTACATTGACCCTACGTGTCGTTTCATGCTGTCTGCCGGAGGGAATCGGGGATGGGAAGGATACAGTACAGAGGTCTTGTTGGGCTACGAGATCGCAGCTCAAGATGATAAGGGCGTCTGGCATAAGTGATGAACGAGAAAGGAATAGAACTTTGAGAACCTCAGGGTGGCATTGCACGGCATGGCGACGGAGTGTTTGGGTGTTTGATGGATGTGGAACGCATGATACCCTGGACGCGCAGTTTTTATGGGTTCGATTGTAGGTAGGATGCAATCGATGCTTTCTATGAAAACTTATTCAGGGAGATGTTTGTCGCCAGTGGGTAAGTTGGCGTTGATAATGGCAAGTATCTCGCACATGCTACTCGTCAATCAGAAGCTAACAGGTCTTTTCAGATGTTGATGACTGTCCCCTCACCCCCAAGCCCGAACACGAGTGCTGGTCCGAAACACTCTTGTGAGGCGGTATTGCTCGGCTCAAGAAGAGCAAGTCGACAAAGTCGCTTGCCACTCGTCAAGACATGTTCGCTCCTCACGCCCATCCAATGCCAAATCACCGGCCAGCCAACCCTGCGAACCAGTCTCGCATCCGGCAATCAGAGGATCAGACCGCCCACCATGTCGACTTCATATACAGACCTCGAAGCAGGAGGAGGTCAGTAGTTGCTTTTTGAATCTTCAGGTGCGTTCTTACTTGAAAGCTAACTTCTTCATTCACCGCTGCCGCCTTTCGTCCGTTGCTGGTTCCTTCGCACTCCCTCTACTACGCCTTCGACCGTTACCATCACTGTCCAGAAGTTATTTCGCTGGTTTTGCTTTCACTCCATAGATTATTTAAGACTTCACTTCACCCTTTAATTTGTAGCTCGCTCACTACTTCACTATTGACTTTATTTGCAGACTTACTTATAACTTCACGTCAGAGTCTACTTGTGGGCTCGTCGGCAATGTGGCCAATATACGGAACGAGCGAATCAGCCTCTATAAAACCACAGAACAAGGATATGAGCCTTGTCTCAGGTGGACCTGCATGCTAAGAAAGGTATCATGGTGTGTCTAGAGTGAAAGTTGAGCGAATGCTAAACTCTGCAGGAAAGCTGGGTGAAAAGATGAAACACATTCACTTGAGATTCATGTCTTAGCGCGCTTCGGCCGGGGTTTGCCGCTCTAGCGGCTTCGATCAACTTCACGTGGACGTCGGAAGGCACGGCCTATATTCAAACTTCGCGGCGCGCGCTTTTCAACTTTCTCCCCACGAACATCCCCGACACCACCACCACCACCATGCCAACGAAGAAGAACTTGAGCTGCGAGCTCATCGATGGCACCTCGGGCGGCGCCCTCCGCGAATGGGGCAAGCAGGCTCTCCCCTGGGGGAAGGGGGTGAGCTGCTTCGTCCAGGCGGACACTGGGCGGCCGTTCGGGGTGCGCATCAAGCCCACCTCCCCCTTCCCTCCCATCGTGGAGGAGCAGCGCACGGCGGAGCGCAACCGCAAGGACTTCGTGCCGTGGCACTTGCTGTGCACCTTGCGCTTCGATGAGCGCGTCGAACAGCGCATCATCGTCTACCTCGACGCTTCACACGCCCACTACAAGCCCCAGGTGGTGATGGAGGGCCGTTTTGTGAGTCGACCCATTACACTCAAATGTCGTCGCAGCTACTGACATACCCAACAGGTCCCCAACGACCAGGGCAACCGCTACTGGCATCGGTGGGTGTTCAAGGAGGCTGGCTCGGGGATAGACCTCCTGTTCGACGCCTTGTCGCTTGGGCCTTCGGAAGAAGAGATGAGCGACGAGCAGCTAGCCGGCCTTATCAAGGGCCTCGATCCCAACCAGCAGCAAGACACCACGAGATCGGGCCTGCTGGAAATCACATGCCAACGCGTCACGGTCGAAACCAGCTCGCAAATGCAACGATGGCAACCAAGCATGGACGCCGAGTTTGATGATGGCACAAAAGACAAGGTGTGCATCACTTCTTGATTCAATTTCTTATGCAGATACAACTGACTACGAACAGACCGATAAGGACATCTCTCACAAAGCAGCAATCGTCAAAGCCGGCAACAAGAAGGCAGGCAACTTGCAGAGTACTATCGGCTATGTCCCCTTCGACGAGGAACCATACGCCGTCTTCCAGTTCAGATACCGCAGCGAGGATGTCCTCCGCAAATATGGTTTTCCAGGATTTCCGAAGGAGGTGAAAGTCCCACAGGTACTCATGCACACGGTAAGTCTTGGAGGAGCGGGTATGAAGCGGAGCGTGGGTGCAGCAGCAGGCAGCGAGCAGAGCAACGAGCAGAGCGACGAGCAGAGCGACGAGCAGAGCGACGATGAGCTCCTGAGCAAAGTGAAGAGAGCAACGACCGAGAGAAACAAGACCAGTGGCAACGGACAAGTGGCAAAATTTGCCAGTGCAGGAAGTGATGTTGGTGATGAGAGCGATGAGGAGGAGGAAATGACAACGGAGAAGCGAGCCGAGATGAGCGAAAGCACTCGAGCCGAATGGATGCAAGCACAACATGAAGCACTCCAGCAAGTCGACAAGGACGACAGCGATAAGGAGAATGCAGGAATCCCAGACAACAATAACAAAGACGCTACGAAGGATGGCCTCAAGGCACACCTCAGCACAGGCAAGAACGCCCGCTGGACAGCATCTGCAGCTATACGCTCAGGCTTGAAAGACGGAGAGAAGGAGGAAATTGACGACGATGGCGATGCCAACAAGGAGCATGAGTGGATGTCCAACATCATCAAGAAGAATGCTGAAGATGCCGAGGAAGAAGTCCTTTAGGCAAGCACGTCGCAACTGCATCACAAAAAGGTACGTACTCACTCACCCCAACAAAAATGCCAAACGTCGCACACACCATCTCCGGGGAACATGCACGTTCAAGCACCCATGGCTGACCAGATCTACAAGCCCGCCGAATCCGAACGGAAAGCGAACGCCAAACCACCACGACGGTGTTGCATCATGAATCGAACATGGATATCAAATCGCGAGGCTGTCGCTCGAAGCGCAAAGAGGAAACATCATCGTCATGGAAGACGCCAGATCAGGCCTGTGAAATACCAGATCGGGGTCAAACGATGTTACTGCATTCAGACATAGCGACAGAAATGAAAAGAAAGGAGCGTGAGGCTCACGACGCTCTAAACTCGAGAAAGAAGTTCCTCAATCGGTGAATGTGCATCGCTATAGGAATCTGAACCGTGTCCATGCCGTGCTCATGCACCGTCGTACCGACGGAGTGGCCGAAGGTCACCTGTGCAACCCCCATCCGCACCGGCAAGCCGGATAGGCAGTCGTGGCGGCGTGGAATGAAGAAGATGTGGAAGCCATGTGCTGCTCGCCAATCTGGTGGATGGCGCAGAAGACCCATTGTGATGCTGAGATTTGAGATAATGCAGAACGTCCACCTGAACATCGCACCATCCCGCCTCATCATGCGAGCTGCCGTTGATCGAGAAATCGGGGCGCCAGCCTCGCAGATCCAGATCTTGGCACGGTGCAATGAACAACCAGAATGATCGGCCACCGCTGGGTCGCCGCATGTTCTCGATGGCACGTGTGTACCTGCGTCAGGTAGGACGGTAGGGCATTCCGCACTCCCTCTCTATTCCCCCTTGCAAGCCTCGGGGTGATACTACAGCGAGGACGTCAATCGAGGCATCTCGGCACGCGACCCACGCCTAAGGTGGTGCATCTTCTCGAAGGCCGAGCTTGTTTCGTCGAAATGCATTCTCCCAAGCGTCGGACAGGCCGTCGCCTCACCCATTGTCGGCCTCACTGACGGATGACTGCTTCATTGGTGGACCGCCATCGATTGCAGGATGGCCGAGCCCGAATTGCAAATGTCGCAACTGTCAAACACCGCAGAGTGGGTGTGGTATCAAGCTTCACAGAGCCTTGATGACGCCCCTTGTTCCAGGACGCGGGCACTTGCAACCACACCTGTCATCAGCAGACGTGCTTCCACGCCCAACAACCACTGCTTTGGGCCAGAATTGACAGGTTCCAAAACGTTCGAAAACCCCGATGCTCCGATCGATCAATCGCCGTCTCGAATCCACGCAATGAATTGATCGCTGGCTGGGCGGCGATTAACGAGCGCATCTTGGTACCCTACCTGAGGGAAATGAATCCTGGGACTTCGATGAAAGATCAAGTGCGATTGCCGGAACAGGGAAGGCGACTTGATGCTGATGAACGACGGCAGGGATGGCGGGTTCTGGATGTGCTTCCACAGATTCGCTTTCTCGCATCGCGCGAGCCTATCCATCGCAGAGCAAGCATTATTGTGCTTCTCAGGGGTGGGCCGGTAGTAGATCGTTGGTATGCTCACTGGTGGGCCTTTCTTTCAGATTGACGATGGCGTCCTCGCGTGTTCTCTTCCGCGGATAGCATCCGCATGCGCTGCACGTCATGGGCCATGGGTGTTTCGCGTGTGGACGCATCCCTGCTACTTGTTGTCTCGTCGGCTCGATTGCGGATTTGTTCGGGGCGAGCAGCAACCACCACACCTCAGCTTCGCCAGCCGCATGCCCAAAGCGAGGCGAGACATATGCCTCAATATTGCTGTGTGGTCGTACATCCGGCCATTGGGGCGACTATAATTAAAGGCTGCGAATAAGAGAAGAGTCCAGCTGGCCAAGGGACAGACGACAGGTGAGGTCCAGCAGGACAAGGTTTGGAGGCAGGACACGTTCGCAGGGCGAGCAGGGAAGCACCGGTGCCACGGGCCTGGGTCTCGGAAGAATTTGGTCCTTGGGAGAATCGTTGTGATCGGATCGTCTCTGAGATATGGCGGCTCCCGACCGATTCGTCAATCACATCTCTTTGAACGACGCCTCGAATCTCACACTAGCGATGTTGCTGCTAGGCTGCCCCCTGCTGCAACGACGCCGGCGGCGAGGGCCTGGGCGGCGGCATGGCTTCATTCAGGCCGTCTACTCGTGCACCGGGCGAGCCCCATCTGCTCCTGTGCGATTCTGGCTTCAGATCATGTCGTGCAAGCCACTCTTTTGGGCTGGTTCGATGCACCAGATTGGCAGGGACTGACGTCTTCTTTGCTTCTTCCATCGCTAAGGACCTTGCGCGCAGTCGCGGCACCTGGATATTGACCGAGGGGGGCAACCAGAGGAGCTAATTTGAGCGTCAAAGAGAGATATTCCGGAGAGCCCCAAGGCTCGCGAGCCTCAGAGTCTTGTATATAACAGCAGTCGATGTGTCTCGTCATAGGTTTGTTGTCTGGTAGCTTTCCCACGCCGTTCCATCGTTCGAGCCCAACTGCCTCCTTCCTCCACACTCCACCAACCTACAGCTTCCCCCAGAACGCCACCTTTGAGCTTTTAGAGTTTCAAGCGGCTACACCAACCCTCGTTGTAAGTGCTGTCCATACACTACGAACTTTGATGTCCCTATGGCGTCGTTCGTGAGACAAAACTGACAACGAGACAGACATCCATTGGACGGACGATTGACTTTCCTGCTGCTCGGGTCTCGCGCTGAAACGACACTTCCCCAAGTTCCTCACCGCCGGGTCCCATCACTATATCATCCGACCAATCGATTTCTACCGCAACCACAACAATGTCAGACAAGACGTACCTCCGGGATTCATGCGGTCCTCGTGCCGTCGATTCCGGCCACAGATCAGACAAGAGTCGCAGCGACAGTCGACGCCAACGAAACGGTGACGAGAAGCCGAAGTCGAAGCACAGCTCCTCGAGACGATCATCGAAATCGGAATCTAGCCATCGAAGGAAGTCGTCGACGGGGTCTTGCGTTACCAGCAACATCCCAGAACGACCGACGTTCGAACTCGACGTCATCGGGCAACCGCAGCGAAGCATTATCTTTGGCTCGACCGTTGAAACATCAGTCATGGTCAGCCTGAAGGTGCCATCTCCAGACATGGTAGCTCAATACCGGAGTCTCGATACCTCGCGCTTGATGGCAGTCATTTCATTGGTTGCCGACACTCGTGGCGGCGAGAGAATGCCGATCGAATGCGGTACATTGACTGGCCAGAAGATGTTCGACACCGTCCACCCGGTCCCTGTAGAGTGTGCAGAAAGCCTGGCTCGCAGCCAACCATGTCGACTCACGCTGGGCTACTTCTCCTTTCCTGCCCTGCTCATACGACAGCCAGGGACATACCGACTTCGAATTACTTTAATCAAGATGAGCAGCGCTGGCGCCTCATCTGGCGGATCAAGCATCGTGGCGGCCGACAGCGACTCGATCAAAGTCGAGCGACGAACGACAGGCTCTGGTGGTAATCCTCGCAAGCATCAGAGGAGTTAGATTGGGACATCCAAAAGTTTTCGGGTCTTGTGTGCCGTCGTCTGCCCGAGCATACTTGTTTTCTGTGTTATTGGCGAGGCGTGTGGTGTCTGGGACAATTGTATACTGAGTCGGGTACACACAGGACGGTCGGTCTGCATCAATCACTTGGGGAATTGGCGGATTTCGTTTTGCTTTTTGTTGTACTTATCAGAGTTTCAGATGACAGAGATTTTGAGCTGGGATGAACCAGAGTCCCCCCTATTTGGGACGCTGTGTATATGTCTTCATACAAGAGATTAATGCAAAACAATAAATACACAGACTTGCAATATCAAACCTATCGAGCTTCCTCTCCTTTGATTATCAGATTGCAAGATCTGTCTGACCGAAGTTTCGGAGCTTGGAATTGATCGTGGAGGTACGTGAAACGCTCGCCAACTGCAGCTTCAACGATTTCGAAATCTTCTTGTTGTACATCGCAGTGATCACGTCGTCCACCACGTCGATATGTATCTCCTCCGACGGTTCGCGGAGCTGCATAATCACATGCAGCAAACCCTCAGCCATGACGTCCTGCTGATCCATTCGCACGATAGGCTCGGGGCAAGCAGATTCCATATCCATCCACTGGCGTCGGCGTCCAGTGAAGAAATCAAGCTTGATTGAGATCTCATTGTACTCGTCGCCGTCGTCCAGGACTTGGCGGACAGTCAAGCCGGTGAATTCTGCAAATGGTCTCAGAGGTACGTCATCATCTGAGGTCTTTCGAATCCAGCTCTTCGATCTGTCGAGCAAGGAAACCCGGACCATCGTGTTTCGAGATAGTGACGTCCGCGAGAGGAGGCTCACAGTCTCGACAAGTTTGGACCGTTACGCTCTCAGCAGAAAAAATTCTCCATGCCGGGAGGCAGGTCTGGACGTTGGAGGAGAAAGGCACCACAATCTGCTTTGGCATCTGTTGCTGTCGACTGGATGTGCTTGCCTGGAGCATGTAGACTCAACCATCATGAACGAACCGAACGATGGACCTATCCATACCAGCGTTGTTCGCACTGACATTTGCGAGCTCAAGCTTGAAGCTGCGACCAGGTCTGTAGCGGCTGCGATGTGGTTATTGTGAAGATGACCGAGAAAATCGACTCAGGGGTAAAAGGGGTAAAGTCACGCCCTACTGGAATTCATCCGAAGAAATGCCGGATTGTTTTCGGATTCGCATTTCCTATCAAAAAAGTCAATGCAAAAAGCAATAGATAGTGAGTCAATGGGGTTGAGAAAAACCTTTCGAAGAGCCAGAGAAGAAACGAAGTCTCTCACGATCGGAATCGGAGCTGGGAATCGAGCCAGGTGTTGCGAGCCAAAGGCGGCATCATGGACATCAGAGACGTCGACGACACAGACGCTGAATCAATCCATGCCATCTACGATCACTATGTCAAGATATCGGTAGCAACTTTGCAGGAAGACTTACCGACACTCGAGAGCATACGCAACAATATCAAGAGACTCGAGTCAATAAATATGCCCTTCGTGGTAGCAATCGATACATCCAACGGCCAGGTGGCAGGTTACGCTTATGGAGACATCTTCAACGAACGATCCGGGTACAAGCACACCGTCGAAGACTCGGTATACATCAACAAAGACTACACCGCACGGGGACTCGGCAAGGTGCTCTTGAAAGAAGTCTTCGCTAGACTGAAAGCAATGGGGAAGAAAGTGGTTATTGCCAAGATGTCGATTCTGCCGGACGTCCGACCGGAGGACATGGCTACATGCAGGCTGCATGCATCTTTGGGGGCCAGAGAGGTTGGACGAATGCTGAAGGTTGGGTACAAACTTGGGGCGCTCGTTGATGTAATCATTTACCAGCTTGATTTGGAGGAGTATGAGGCTTCGTGACCGCAGCGCGGGGAAGATGCGAGGAGCAAGTCATACACGCTGTTGGATATGCAATGATTCCAGCAGGCCGAGACATAAGATCGTTCAACCACATGTTGGTTCCAGCATGAGGCTCGAGATCTTCGATAGTCTGGGCGAACGACTTGGCTTGGAAACTGGACCATGGTAGTCGAACATGCACCAAACTCGTGGATACCGATCCGATCATCATCGCTGCTTTTCTTCAGAGCCATGTGGCGACTCCAAGAAAAGATGGTGTGTGCAGGTCGAGAAGCCAAGACAATCCAGAGCATCATGCGTTCTCTTTCGTACCCGGCTCAGCCCAGCCACCGCAGATCTGGGCATCTTCCAGCCAGCCCTACTTCCCACCTCTACCGGTCTTGGAATACGCTCTGAGAATGTCAGACCACGTTGTTGACAACAACAAACACCTCGTGATGCATTTCCAAGACCAGCTTCGGAGTATTTCGTCCTAAAGTTTCGATAGTCGAGCGGGAGGTGAGCAAGAGGCTGAGCAAGACAGGTCTTCTTTTCCCGAGGGCTTGCCTTAGGGTGTCATCCGCAAGTGCTGATCCAACGAAGAACAATGTCCTGTTTTATTCTCCGAGAAGAGCATGACAAACCAAGCGAAGTCCTCGTCGCCGTGAAGCGAATGCCCTTTTGGGTAATCCAGCGCCAGATACCAGTTTAGACAGGGAAGTCCTCAGGCAGAATCGTGGGAGTGGTAGGAAGAGGAGCCAGCGGCAACCCAAAAATCCAATCGTAAGCCCTGAAGGTTGCACGCCACGTGAAACTCAAAGAATCCTTCGTAGCGCGTGAGAGGGCAAAGAATCCAACACGCGGATCGCGCAACAAGTGTGCAAGCAAAACGGTACCGGCGGGCAACGAACCTCTCAACCGCGGCGAGTAGTCCTGGCTCGCAGGAATGATGAAACACCTGCCGTCAAGCGTAGCAGTGGCGTTTATGCAGTCAGCACGCTGTTGCACGTTGATTTCTACCCACACCCACTACCGTGCTCGCCCTGCTGCGTGCATTGCATGAAGGGCCTTGCTTTTCGAGAAAGCACGCATATGCAGCGACCTGGGAGCTGGCGCCCGTTTCTCTGTCAGCTCTAGCGGTGCAGGTACCCACGCCAGTTGGATGGATGGGCGAAGGAGCTTCATCTGTCGTGCTACCGTTTAGAGCGTGGGTGTGGTGAGACAAGAGTGACGAAGACCGGCAGGAATCGATGGAGCAGTCGTTGTTCGTTCGCTTGCCGTGGTATCTTGCCGAGCAAGAAAATGCGAACAAAAGCACCTGTTCCTGTGCGGAACCAAAGATAAGTCAGTCGAAGGATGTTAGACTTTCTTACACAATGCTTCCTTCCCTTCGAGGGTCGTGTCATGAACGCCACGGGCGGCTTTGCAATGCTTGCTCACCAAGAATCTGACGAGATGCCAAAGACGCGAGAGGGAAGCGAGGAGCAAGAGTCGGGAGGATGGAGGATTGAAGTTCCACTTGCGGAAGGAGTACAATTGGTAAGGGTACAGCGCAACAATGTATCGTCGCAAGCCTAAACCAAACATCAGATCGTATCGCAGGGCACGTCGCGGGTCATCAAAAGCACAACACCACTTCCATGCAACTCCTTTTCAACAACAACAGTCATCCGCGCTCGCTCGCTGGGTATCTCATTTTCCGACCGTCCTGATAACGCCACCAGTATTCCTTCCGTCCATGGTTGCGCACATTCGCATTTTCGGCGAATTACTCTGTTCCTCCAGATGCAACGTTCCGTCTTCAGTAGTAGGTAAGTAGTGATGATACTTGTCCAATACCCCCGCCAGTTTCAAAAGCCGATACCGCCACTCGATTTTCTAGTGGTGTGTGGGCAATCGCCGTGGCTGGCAAGTCGGCTGTCCAAGCGGCTCTAACCTTTCCTACAGGAAGACCACTTCGGGGCGTTGATTGGGGGCCATTTCGCGTGGCAATTCGTCTGAACCATGTTCCAGGCTCTCAAAGAAGTCCTCTCTCCACTTTCCATAGGTCGAGTGCCAAAGTGGGTGTCTCCTTGATGACGGCGAAGATGTCTTGAGTGTTTGCCAACTGAGGATGGCTCCTGAAGAGTTGCAGAACAACGTCCCGTAGTCCTCGGTCGGAATCGATCGTCGAAGTGTAGACGAATTCAATGGCATCTGCAAGCTCGGGCGCGTCGTAGTAGCAAGCAACTGCCATCTCAAACTTCCTCTTTGCGAGTTGCTTGAGACTTGGGATGTCGTACTTCTCTGCAAGTGCGTACACCTGTGTGTGCAGGAGAAGGTGTGATTCGGATTCAGTCGATTCGTAATCCTCCTCATACTCCTCATCACTTCCCAAATCAGCCTCAAGTGGAGGAGTTCCAGAGCGTGCCTTTGGTGGTGATCGTGGTGCCTTGTCTGCGAAATCGAAGCTCGATCGTCCATCGCCGTGCGACGATCCTGGTGGAGTTGCCGGGGAGTCTGGAGTGTTGTAAAATCCAGCTTGCGCAAGGAGAGGATCTTGGATCTGAGTCAAATCGAGCTTCTTGGTTGCCTTCTTGCGTGCGTCAGAATAGGCTCGATGTCTGAACATCGCCGACGGTGCTTGCTCGGGCTGCTCGTTGAGATAGTCGAGGTGGTAGAAGTCTGCAGAACCATTATCAGCGATCGCTGTTGAACAACACTTTCATTCTCGAGCATACAATGTATCATCTGTTCCACAGCCTCTTCATCGTCTTCGCTGAGATCGATAACGCCCGTCTGGCTTTCGCGGAACTGGTGCGAACAGGCTCCATCGAAGAACCCGCTTCTCGAGCAGACAATGGCTCGGTGACAGGCCCATTGCCTGTAGTTGCAAGTGATCGTGAGGTCGCTGTATTTACCGCCGAGATGCAACCTGTACCTGACGTGAGCGACGCCCATTGTGAGCAGTTCGGTACAAGGATCGATACTCACGCCGAAAGTGCGGTCATCAACTCATTTTGAGCAGTTGGCTCTTGGTGATTGATTGGCGACAGAGCCATTGTGCGTCGAAACTTTGCGTCACGTCTCGGTCGGCGAGGAGATGGTGGAGAGCCGTTGCGAGTCCGACGACGCACAGTCCCGTCTGTGAAGCAAGCTTAAAGGCAAGGCTAAACCCCGATAACGGTCGAAACGGTATCGGATACGACTGCGATTGTCGATAAATATGCTGGCTGGTGAGACGGATTTGTCGTGGTGGGTTGGCGAGGGACAGAGCAGAAAGGTTTCGTCAAGCTCAGATGGCTATGCGCGGGACCTGTATGATATACGTCATCAGCACAGCACAGGAATCGGACAGCGAACGGCGGCGGCCGACTCAGAGGTCATGACCACATTCGCCCGCCTGAGGGAACGGGGACCACCCACGCGTGCTTCTCTCGCGGTCCAGGCGTAGCTTTCCGCTAAGATGTCGCTTGGCCGACCACAGGACGCGCACGCTCTCAGACTCCGGCTGCTGCTGCTGCACGAGCCCAGCCGTTGCTGTCTGACTCCACGGCACGACCGGCGGCGCACGTCTCAGGGCACGTGGCTGAGTACAGCCTTTCTGGTCGGAAGGTTGGCTATTGGACAGCTTGCTCAGATTGCCGGCCGAGCTGGCGAGATGAATCTACTCCGTCTCACTCGACGACGCTTTGGTCAAACACTGCGTTTGAGGCGCTTGCCGTCAAGCTGAACCCCGAATGTTGGTAACGAGTCTGGGTGAGATGAGATGTGGTCGTAACAAATCATCGACTAAGACAGGCGAATACGGCGTGGATCTGAAGGAGCTGAAGGCGTTGATGCTTTTGGGTCTTACCAGACAGCGTCTGTGGGCGTTGGACAGAGGTGGCTAGCTTGAATGACTTGAAGCAGAAAATAACAAAGAATGCCATCTCGTCGCTGGGCTGAGCACCACGCTATTATATCGAATCTTTGGGCGACGGCTGCACCGACAACGAAGCGACGATGATGCCTGTTAGCACAGATCGACAGCACTGTCTCGTTCCCGCCTGTCTTTCCTTGTTCAGCATCCGTTGAAAAGATGCTGGTGAGAGGTCAACCGACAGTTCCAATCCCTGCGCACTGTCGCACGAGTGAGGTCGTCAAGCCGTACAGAACCCGGTATGACCATGTCAAGCCCATGTGGCAGCGAGGTACAAGTTGGACACGACAGGCGCGGCCACTACCTCCGAGGCTGTCATACAGCGCCTACTGCAACATCATTCCAGCAAAATTGAAAGGCCTGAAGGCGTCCGGTACCGAAGCTGTTATTACGGACCCGGCGTAGTCATTCCTGTGATGGGCAGTCGCTGATTGCTGAGCATAGTAGTATCCAATCCATGCCCTCAGGCATTTCGTACACGGAGTATTGAACGACGGCAGGAATGGATCGCGCTCCTGCGTCCCATCAGTAATGCCGGCATATAGCCCTGCGTGGCAACGCGATGAGTTGTCAATTTGATGATTGGTCTGCTGCAGATAGAGCCAACATGTCAGAACCCAATTTGGCGGATCCCACCATTCAATAATGCTCCAGGGCGTCTCCATGCACACGTTTCTGACGTTGAGTGTCCCTTGACGATAACGGGACCCTGTGGTATTGCAGCCCAAGCATCACTGCTGCCATGGAGAGTAGCAAGATGTCGATGCATCGTATGGTCGACTACGGGGCGAGAAGCAAGTTTCTCCCGCATGGCTGCAGATGCAGTCGAGGCATGGCGGAGACGTTTGTCGTGTAACCAGCCAACGCCACATTACCAGGTGAATTTCCGCGCGTTTCGGCGGCCGTGGAACGAGGGAGCGCGGACAGGATCGACTATCAGTCTGCATCTCTTCCAGGGTCTTGATGCAGTATGATGAGGGTTGGGGCCGTTATTTGCAGCTTGCAGGAATGACGAATGAAGACTGGAGTCTTAGCAGAGTCTGAGCAAAAGCAAGGAATTGACTTTCCGAATCCTTTGAAGTCTGATTGCCATCGCTACAAGGGATCAGGCTGAGAGACATTTCGGACAATTGAGACAGTCCGAAAATCTAGCCTCCAGAGCACATGATTGCGGCCAGTTGTGAATTGGCCGAGGTCATGATAGACCTTTGTGAGCGGGGGCCATACTGGCAATATGCAGGCCAGGCGCACAGTGGCGATCTGTCCATGGTACTCAACTGCGCCGAAAACCACGCCTGTTTCAGGTGTTCAAACGCAGCCGAACTCGCGAGGGCCCACCCATGAGCAGAATAGCAGCTCCGTACGATGTGACAAGCCTGCGTCTGCGTCTGCGTTAGGCGCTCTATGTGCAGTCCGCAGTAGTTACTAGGAACGTAGTCAGTACGCGCTCCAAGCCGTGCGATATGGGAGGTGTGTTGCCGGCCGGAAGTTCTCAGGCTCCTTTTCGACGTCCTGTCCAATGCGTGGGCAACCGGCGGAGTACATGGTCGATAGTTGGCGGCTCAAAGGAAAAGCTCATCGCCTGTGACGGCAGCGTCGACTTCACTCGGAGTCCCGAAGACATGTAAAGTTCTCAACCTTCACATTTACGATGAGCGGAGTGCGGCTTCTGTTGGGGCCGTTCTTTGTCTCGCGAAGGTCGTCCCCGCCTTCAACCTGCTATTCTTGTCGGACGCATAGCTAGGATACCGAAGACAGCGGCGAACCCCGAGATGGCCAACGTGGCGAATGATGGGATGAACCTGGCTGGCGCATTTTCTGGAAGGGTGTTGATGGGAAGTGAATGCGAACAATGCGCGACTCGTGAAGTGTTTCGGCATGGACCGCCGGGCCGCCAAGACGTTTCGGTCCGGCCTCCGACGTCATGAGCGACTGGAGCTCTCTCACAGCATACCACACCACCAAGCCTCTGCGAGTCGCAAGACATCTTCCAACTCACCATCACGCTCGCTGCTATCGAGACTGAAGCATACTCGGCTAGCAGACTGACCACACCACTGCGCGCTGAGTACGACTGCCTCGACGATGGCCAGCGATTTCAAGCTGTCCGCTACCCTTCGCGGGCATGAAGAAGATGTAAGCTTGTGATCGCCTTCTCCTTGCCAAAGCCCCATCATTTCTCTCTATTTATTGCCCAGCACGATGTGGCTCTCAGCCATGACCTTTGCGACCATGTCTAGCTAACGACGCGGTCCCCAAGGTTCGAGCCGTCGTCTTTCCCACCAGACAAGCCATCTTTTCCGCATCACGAGACAACACCGTCCGGCAATGGAATCTAGTCTCGCCCAAGCCACCGACTTACGATGACACGATCGCCCTGCAAGGTTCGAACTGGTTCAACGGCGTCACGTATGCGCCGCCTTCGAAAGAGCACCCGACAGGCCTGGTAGCGGCTGGAGGGAGGGAGACCTTGGTGTTTGTGAAGCAGGTTGGGCAACCGCCCGAAGAGGATACCCATCGAATGCTGATAGGGCATGCCGGCAATATCACTTGTGTTGCCTTTACTGAAGATGGGAACAAAGTCATCAGCGGTGGCTGGGACAGTCAAGCATTCGTATGGGATGTAGAGACTGCGAGCGTTACCGCAGCGCTCGAGGGACATGGTGGACCTGTATGGGGTGTCATGGTGTATGACTCGAAGCTTGTCCTTACTGCATGCGCCGACAAGATCATCCGCGTCTTCGACATCAACGGCAAGACGCTCGGCGCCATCAAGGGCCATACCGATGTGGTTCGATGCTTCTGCAAGCTTCCAAGTGGACACTGGTCTGGCGCAGCTTTCGCATCTGCGGGAAATGATGAAGTCATACGCCTTTGGACACTTGAAGGCCAGCAAATGGGCGAGCTCGAGGGCCACAACGCATACATCTACAACCTTGCAATTCTCCCAAATGGCGACATCGTCAGCTCGTCAGAGGACAGAACTGTGCGCATATGGCGCGATGGGAAGTGCATACAGACCATAACGCACCCTGCGATCAGTATATGGACAGTGGCAGCATGCCCAGAAACGGGCGACATTGTCAGTGGCGCCAGCGACAACATTATTAGGGTGTTCTCACGAGATCCTGAGAGACAGGCCGACGCAGAGGTATGTGATACCGCGAGACTAAAGCGATGCCATGCATCTTCTGCAAGCGACACGATCTTTGGAGACTCACAAAGCTGACGTGTCTTTTGCAGACAATCAAATCTTTCGAAGAGAGTAATCGGATGTACGCCATACCTGCCGAAACTGCAAGCCAAGGTCAACCATTCGAAAAGGAGAATCTTCCAGGGCCAGGTACGTCTTATCTCATGCACCTTGAAATCATCGCATTCCGCATCGCTGGGTCTATTGTCCATGGCAGACGTAGAATTGCATGGTTCTCGGACGTTTCGCAAGCGATCTCCTTCGCTCGCAGGAGGCTCGCAGGAGGCTTGCAGGAGGCTTGCAGCTAGATTGAGCCACGCTAACCGATGTTTCAACAGATGCACTTCAGACGCAAGTCGGGAGCAAAGACGGGCAACAGCTCTTCATTCGCGAGCATGACGGCAGCGTTACCGCCCACTTGTGGTCCACTTCTACCAATCAGTGGAATCTGGTACGCATTTTCGCAGGCCCTTGATTTTCGTACATGACTGACGTATTTGTGCTTTAGATTGGCACTGTGGTGTCAGGTGAAGGAACAGGAGCATCCAAGAAGACGCACAACGGCAAAGAGTACGATTTCATGTTCGACATCGACATCGAGGATGGCAAGCCGCCGTTGAAACTACCATACAATCTCACCGAAAGCCCGTGGGATGCAGCTCGAAAATTTCTCGAAGCCAACGAACTACCCTTCTCCTACTACGAACAGGTGGCGAACTGGATCTCAGACAACACAAAGGGTGCGAGACTTGGACAGGACTCGGGTTCTGCAAACCAACCTCCACCACATGTGCGTGACCCTTGGGGCACAGAGAGGAGGTATCGACCAGGAGACGTCGGCTCGTCATCTGTGTCAGGCCAGCGGAAGATACCGCAAAAAACATATCTTGATATCATCGAGGGCAACCCAGGAAATGCGCTCAACATCATCTCGCAGAAGACGGAGGAACTCAGCAAATCTGGCAGCATCACCCCTGAGCAAGCACTGCAACCTGATGAGCTCGCAGCTTTGAAAGCTCTCCCCACGCAGCTGCAGAACAAGCAAGACCCACATCCCACCGAACCGCAAGTGTCTGCTCTACTCAAGGTTGCGTCACAGTGGCCACGCAAGAGTAGGGTGCCTGCAGTGGGTGTCTTGGCCTTGCTTGCCGTGTCGCCTTCGTTCGTCAGCACGACAAGCGCGGGCGAGACGACCATTGTCGAGACGCTTGGCGCAGCCGGCCTACTTGACCCGCTGCAAGAGACTGCAAATAACGTCGTACATTCGATCCGATTGCTGGTGAACCTGTTCAAGAGCGACTCTGGACGCCTGATCGCCGACGGCACATACGACGCCGCATTGAAACTCGTCCGACCTTTTGCAGCTCAACCAGAATCGCCAGCGCAAGCGAAAGCATTGGCGACACTGTACCTCAACTATGCTGTCTTGCTGACCAGTGGCGCTCCATCTGGTGAGGCTGCGTTGCGCGAGGCCAGGGCAACGACGCTGCTCACCGACATCGCGACTCTCCTCGAATGCGAGAGCCCTCATGCTGGAGAAGCGGACGTCCTCTACCGTACCCTCGCTGCTCTCGGCACATTGCTATCTCTGGGCGATGACTTCAGACAGTCGTTGAAGAGTGGCGTCTCAGGCACCCTGCACTTCGTCTCGGTGAAGCCGAGTTCGCAGCTTCCCAACACCAAAGAGCTCATTCAGGAGATCAGGGATGAGTTGCGTTGAGCGTAGAACGCTCTGCGCTTGACGATGTTGACGGAAAGCCATCAGCATCGCAGCCTCTAGCGGATTTCGCATTGCATAGCGTGGAGGGTCGGTATGGAATGGAACGAAAAGCATACTGTATGGTTACGCACGACGATAGACGAAATCTTCGGATAAAGAAAACGTGGAGCATATTACTTGCTCGCCTTTGACTGATGACTATCAATCCATGTACTCCGGCTCTGCTCTCCTACTTCTTTTAAGCAGCGAATAAGCCAGCCCATTGATCTCCATCACCGCAAACTCAATCTCAGGTTTGTCGAGCAACCGACTATGCCAATCCAGAGTGTCAGCAACGGTTTCCCGCATGTCTTTGTCCGACGACGGCGTCGATGTATATACGATATGAATCGCCTCAGCCAGTTCCACGGAATCCCAGTGTCGAGTCAGCTGGATCTTGAACTTATCCAGCGCGAGGGCCTTCAAGCCTCCGATGCTGTAGGTTGACGCGGCGGCGTACATCCTCGCGTGCAAGACGAGATGGGGATCTTTCGTCGCCAAAGGGGAGGGTTCCGGGGCGTTGGTCACCATACCCCCTCGACTTGTTTTGCGTCTTCGTAGAGGCTGGATGGTGGAGGGTCCGGTGCCGAAGTTACTGTAGTCTGCTGGTCCGGAGGTGGGCATTGCGTGGACGGTCAGGGAAGAGTCTTGCCTTGGGCGGAAGACGGTGCTGAAGGGGGAGTGTTGGTGAGGGTGTACGGGGCCGCCGAAGGCTGAGACGGCAGAGGTGCCGTAGACGTGGCCGTAGGTGCCGGCTTCGGTGCGGATGGACATTGTGTCGCTGCTGTCGCGGCTGTGGTTGTCTTCTGGGTGAGAGTGGGTGGTTGAGGGGAGGGTTACGATGGGGTCGTAGTCGAGGAGGTAGCTATTTACGAGTAAGTCTTTGGTCGTCGACGAAGGTTTGATAAGCGGTTTACTTACAGGTACTCGACCAGCAGACGGACGACTTCATCATCGTCGGGGAGGGCGATGTGGCCTGAGATTCCTTCCTGCAACTTTGTAAGTCTTGAAGACTCAATCGAGATAAAGTTGCTTTAGAAATCTTACCCGCCATTGCTCCTCTTTGACGGCTTTGTAGAAGTACTCAGATCTGGGGCATACTATTGCTCGATGCACTGCATGTCTCGAGCCTTCTCGTCCGAAGAGCACAAGGTCCGAATACTCTCGTGATTGATAGAGGGAGGCGAGCCCGGAAAATAACTCTAGTCGTGGGCGTTCTCCCATGGCGAGCTCACGATACTTCCTCATCCACCAGGATTTCGGTCAGTGCATTGCCGTATCGTCAGTCGACGGATCAAGGAATCGTCTTGTTGCAAGTCTACGTCTACGCGGAGGAAGAGGTCGAACAGTGACCGCCTCATGGTGGTAGAGAACAATCACACATGAGGCTGTGCTGTGCGAGGCGCTGATAGTCTGACAACGCGACATGCCCAGATGAAACGCATCATCAGAGGATTCATCTCTTTTGGCGAGGCGCGCAAACTGCTGCTATTCTTGTCTCGCAGTTTTTGCCATCGCCGCAGCAGTCACTGGAGACCTCAATGGCGATCTCGTCGCAAGCCTTTGCTGATCATGCTGGAGAAAGTCGGATAGCGGCAGGTCATCAGTGGGACAGGTGATAAGAAGTAGAATGTACATAGCTTCTGTGTATTGTACAAGTACAGGTCGTCGCCATGCTGTGAAGGAGGGCGACGCGCGACTCATGTGCAAATTGCCGACCAAAAATAGAAACAACACCAAGATCTGCGCATCATTCCTGTGATTCGACTCCATCTCTCTCCGCACACTACTGCTTACTCCATCTTCTCTTCTTCATCATCAACATGATCTTCTCGCTCTTTGCCATGTCCATCATATACCTGCGCCTCGTCAGATACGTTGCATCCGGTCGCAGCTACTGCATCTTGTATCCAGTTCCTCGGCGATTCGCCGTTGGAAGCCGCGCCTGTGTGGCTGACCTTTATTGCGCTGGCCGGCGGCGACGTTTACCATATTGCTTGCCTACGCTCTTCAATCAATCAGTCATCTCAGGTGGGCTCGGAACCGAAAAGAATTCGTCGTCGTCGGCTTCAGGCGGCGGCTGGTTGGAGTCGGATGGCTCTGAATCTTTGTCTTCAGAATCGCTACCGAAGTCGATCAGATCCCAAATGCCAGGATTTTCGCTGTCGGCTTCCCGTCCGGCGACTTCTTGGCTCGCGACGTCCTCTTGGCCCGCGGCGTCCTCTGGAGCAGGGAACTTGTTTTCCTACATGGTCTCAGTTCAAGTGTTCAAACAGAATGGGGAAATACAATCTTACCGCTTGCTCTGCTAACGCTTGCCATCTAGCCCTCCATTCCAGATCAATCGCCTGTTGGTCCGTCTTGTCCTTCAATCTTCCATACTGAGCTTGTCGAGAAGTATTCGCTATACCCAGTCTGGATGCCGCATACCGGGAACGACTCTTCAGCTTGTGGGCCCTCATCTGGACACCAACAGCTTCCCATTCTTCTAGCGGATTCCCTTGCAGATGCAGCAGATCCACGATCTTATGAAGCTTTTCGTCTTTGGCCTTGGGAGACTCGCGCTTGATCTTCCGGCTGAACTCAAGCGCGCATTTGCTCTTGAATTCCAAAGTCCCTTTCATGCAGTGGAAGGGATATGCGAGCGTCCAAGCCTTGCCGACCATAAACCGCCTCTTTCGCAGATTCTTCAGGCTGCCCGAATGAGCAGGATCGTGTGGTGACACCAACCCTGGAAAGAGAATCTCGGGGTCCTGGCAGATGTGTGGAATTTCCACCGACGTTGCTAGGTCTTGCGCTGTCGCTTCATGCGCAATTACTTCTTGCGTGGTCGCCATATCTTACGATGGGGGTTATGAGATGTATCTGGGGACGAGATGATACGAGCGAGCATGCGCAGGTAGGTGTGGTGTTCATTCTCTCATTTTCCGTCCGCCATACAACATGGTCTTGGCATGCTTTCCATCACACGGCCCCTGAGTGGTCGGCTCATGAGCTGGTCAGCGACAACAGGCTCCTGAGAGATTTTTGTCGTCCCAAGAGACTGGGACTTTCAGAGAATTTCGTACGTTGGTGAATATGAAAAGCACAATTCTCTCCGTCACCAAGAGCGTTATCGATTCAAACAATTTTCATCAAAACTACAAGAGTCACACGTTCAGCGCACACAGAAATATCGCACACGGAGAGCCCACAGCGAATATCTTATCAGTATCTGCAACTCTGCATCTGGCCGTTCGCCTACACCGTACAGCATTATTTTCGCCATGTCGGTTCAAACCCTCGTCGAGCGCTTCCAGGGGGTCCATCCATCCCCGGAGCCTGCCCCTATCTTCAAAATAGGCGGCAAAGGCACCGACAGCGACACTTCGAAGCACTCTCCAGCTGCGATCGAAGTAGGATACACTGTTCAAGTCATACAGCACACCGACATCGCGGGAACGGGCATATTTACAAGCGAGGTCTCTTCGGACTCTGTCCGCGAGAATATCGAAAACGAAGAAGCATCGTCTTCGTACACGACGGAAGTTGTATAACACACCGACGACTCAGGCTCAGGTACACTTACAAGCGAGCACTCCTCCACCGCTGCTCTCGAAGCTACCGAGCCCAGTGTGGACGCCAAGATCGATATCGACAACGAAGAAGACTGGTCTTCCGAAGACTCCTCTGACTCTGACGAGGAAGTCCAAATGACCCCGGGCCCATCCCCATACATGGAGCCTGCGGACCTCATCGCGATCCTGAACTGGATGCGCAAAGGCGACCTGTTCAACAACACGAATAATCTACCACACGAGGTTGTCTATCGTGGCACCGCTCCTGAAGCTGTTGAGACGGGCGACTTCTCACTCTGGAAGACTATCTGCGAAGACCGACGATGCCGCGTTCACTTCAAGGCGACTGGTAAGAGGCGAAATTTGTAGCTAGACCGGGACTGAACTGAGAAGACGAACAGACGGAGAGCGCCAATACGACATCGGGAGCTTCGAGTAGATGCCGCGACATTCAAGCGAAGTCTCAACGAGAAGAAAAAAACAGATGTAGCAGTTCGGCTGCTGAGTAGCAGCACAGTCTGCTTGGGGTTCTTGGATCTTGGCCACATCAACCATGGGAGCGGAGAAGTGTCACATGGAAAGGATCTGGATTTGATTGGCGATGCCCGGATTCCAGTGTGACACGCTATGCGTCTTGCGGCTGTTACACTACTCGACTTTGGATATATTACTATCGACGCCTTTTCGTTGGATCAATCGCACTAACCTATCTCGGCCTCTGAAGTCAAAGTGGACCTCACTGTCAGCGATGACTAAGGGCGACGGTAGCTCAGCCTGTGCCTGGATCGATCACTTTCAGCCATTGCTGCAGACTACCCAGATCTGAACGCCGCCAAAGCTTCCTGTCCCATGGGATTCCGATGCTATTAAACTCGCCGATGCAGGACTGACTTGTCATCATGCTATCTTTCCTGCTCATGCCTGCTGAGCATACCTTGGCACGTCACGTCTCGCGATTGGGATCCAACACCAATGGACGCAGCTGGAAACGAAAGGCGGCACACCGAACGAATCAAACAGCCCCGCGAGTATGCCTTCATCAATGGGCGAGCAAGCTCCGCCAAAGAAAAGGGGAAGAACAGGCAAGCAGCTCATCGTCACACAGCCACGATGGTCAATCGTCAACGAAAGTTGCTTCGAACTCGGACGTCTACGACCCGTGTGATCGTGTCCACTGAATTAGCGAACAAGGGTCTTTTTGGTGATGTGCTGCAGGCACGCTCTGAAAACGTGACGGTGTCAGTGAATAAAAAGGAGAAGATTAGCTGTGTCTTGACTTTTCGCGAGCGAGAGATAATCGACGAAGATGATGAGGCAGATGAAGGCACAGCGGCCATCAACTACGAGGAGAATACCCCCATGAAGCAGAGACTCCCGGGAAGGTTGACATCGCAAGGCAACGCACCGCTCACACGAACGCTGGACCCATTTCTCGGCCCACCACTCTCCAGCATGATCCACTCGACCAGCGAAGCGTTGTACTCCTTAGGCATCAGATTCCGTGAGTCGACTTTCGAAATCCTATTCATACAGGGTTGCTGAAGAATGGCAGACTTCAAAGTCGGTCGCCGTCCTGTACCAGCACTATTCGACTCCTTCGAATGGTTCTCTTTATATTGCAGGGAGCCCATCGCCTTCCACGGCTTCAATATAGCCGCTGCAATGTACCACGACATATCCTCGAAGACGGTACTCTGGTCGAGTTGCACCGAAGTTGTCGCTCATCGAGGATCACTGATAGGCCTGATGAGAAGTTTGATCGAGGACCTGGACGATGCACGGGTAGAGCTTGCCATGTGGGGAATCATGACCCTCGTTATAACGACCCTGCAATCTAGCAAAAGAAACTCATGCATGGATCAAGGCCTGCTTCTCTTGCCTCACATGCCCGCGTATAGCTTCGACAACGTCTTTGGACGAACCCCAATCGGACCCGAGCCAGTCAAAGCGCTGGCACAGCTCGTCCATCGTAGAGGCGGATTATCAGGGATCCGACTCCCAGGGCTCGCGTTATGCTCTACTCGGTAAGCCTACACTCCTAATGACTGGCAAGAAGAACTTCTCACTCGCACCAACCAGCGTCGACGTGCGACGGGCCAGCCAAGCCGGCACGAAACCCTTCCTGCCTTGTCTCGGCATTCTACACGATGATGTCCTCCTCGCTTGCATCGAAGTCCAAACGCAGACGCAACCTGGGCGAGGCTTCTCGACGTTTATTCCAGGTGGCCTCCCGACGGATCTTCACGAAACGCTCATATTTCTCTGCAGCATCGACGTGCTTATGAGTCGGCATTACGAGCCGGAAGTTTTTCCTAGCTACGACGAAGTCCATCTCGTCCACGCTCGGGACCTAGCGCATCACAGGATCCTCTCGGTCGAGCCTTGGGAACCAGTGGCCGTCGAGGAGCGAGGTGCTTGTTCGCGGAAGATATGCGAATGCTGTCGCCTGACGGCTCGGCTCTACTCAACGGCGGTGCTTTGGGGTATGCCGACCGATACAGGATGGCATCATAGAATCGTGCAGGAGGTGGAGAGGATACTCGAGCAGTCGGACTTTCGCTGTTGGCCGCATACGGAGTGGGAGGTTTTGTTGTGGGTTTTGGTTGTTAATGGGATTGCGGCTTGTGGGTCGAAGAGGAGGGGGTTCTTTGAGAGCGGGTTGGATGTTGTGATGAAGAGGGCGGGAGTTACTTCGCTCAGGCATTTGAAGGAGGTCGTGGGGGCTTTTTTGTGGTCTGAGAATGCTTGTGGTGGGGGGATTGCGAGGTTGTGGGATGCTGTGAAGAGCAACGAATTTGTTAGATGCTGAATACTAGGGCGACAAAGAGAGGTAGCTAGACCTCCATGAATGCATACCTCTTAGAATCGCACGCTGCAGCCTGGTCACTCCTTTGCTCTAGCAGACATCTCTCTCACGTCGACGTAACCAACCAAACCACTCTCACCTCACCCTTCAGCCTCCCGACCCATCTCAACACCCACATCCCGTCCATTCCACCACGAACACATCTGCGTCTTCTTTCCCAGCCGCATTCGCATCTGCACAGCAGTAAAGAGAACGAGTGAAGTCGTTCTAGCCTCAGCCACTCGGACGACCCGGCACCCTCGCCCGAGCTAGACATCTCCAGCGATTGGCTCGGGCGCTGGAGAAATCGGCAACCGGGATGCCGACTCCGCAAGCGCAAAAGACTTGTCCTGTTGAAGATTGGCTTCCGGCCAATCAGAGGGGTGGGTTTGGACGGATCGTTAGGCATTGGGACCGAAAGACGTTGTTTTGGGGTGTCTCCTGGAGGGATGGGAGATACATATTGATGGCTGGGCTGCTTCCAAGACTGGGAGTTTGAAGGGTCATCGAACACGACTATCGTTAGCTAATTCGACGGCCGCGAATCTTTACAGCCTCGTCCAGTGTCAGTCATGGCTGCCGATATGCCCGTTGAGAAGCCTGAGGAGACGCATCACCGGGCGGAGAGTCTGGCTTCTAGCGACGCGGAGGTTGAGAAGCAGCAGCCTGTCGCCGATGAGCAACAACAAGAACAGAAAGATGAAGACCTGTCGAGACAGAAATCAGCGGCGCCGTCTGAGATTGAGTATCCCCCGACCAGAGAACGAGTCGTCATTTTCATCGCGATTCTGCTCGCTCTCTTCCTGATGGCTTTAGTATGATATCCCATCCGACGAAGAATAGCAATATTTCTGACAGAGGGGTTTTCATCCAGGACCGAACAATCGTCGCCACCGCCATCCCCCAAATCACCAACGAATTCCACTCCCTCGACGACGTGGGCTGGTACGCCAGCGCCTTCATGATGACCGCCAGCGCCCTGCAGCCCGTCTTCGGAAAGATCTATTCCTTCTTCTCGCCGAAATACGTCTTCTTGACGTTGATCATCCTCTTCGAAGTGGGCAGCGTGGTCTGCGGCGCGGCGCCCAACTCGGTTGCTTTCATCATCGGGAGAGCGATTGCTGGGGCGGGTTCGGCGGGTATCCAGGCGGGAGGTGTGGTTTTAATGGTTTCGATTATTCCGTTGTCGAAACGGCCGAAGTATATGGGCCTTTTCGGGGCCGTCTTCGGCATCGCCAGCGTGATAGGACCTCTTCTAGGAGGAGCTTTCACCACCAATGTCACCTGGCGCTGGTGTTTCTACATCAACCTCCCCATCGGCGGCGTCGCCTGGGTGGTGATCCTCTTCATCCTCAAACCAACCACGCCCGCACAACCGAACCTGACAGCCAGGCAACAACTCGCCCAACTCGACCTCCTCGGCGAATTCTTCCTCCTCCCCTCGATCATCACGCTCCTCCTCGCCCTCCAATGGGGCGGCGCCCAATACGCCTGGTCCGACGGGCGCATCATCGCCCTCCTCGTCGTGTTCGGCGTGACCCTCCTCGCCTTCATAACCGTGCAAATCCTCCGGCCAACCACCGCCACAATCCCCCCGCGCCTGATCAAAAACCGCACCATCGTCGCCGGCATGTTCTACACCTTCTGCATGGCCTCCGCCATGATGCTCTCCGTCTACTTCCTCCCCATCTACTTCCAAGCGATCAAAAACACCTCCGCGGTCAAATCCGGCATCGACACCCTGCCCCTCGTCCTCGCCCTCGTCGTGGGAAGCATCCTCTCCGGCCAGCTCGTCGCCCGTATAGGATACTACACGCCCTTCGCCATGCTCTCCTCCGTCCTGATGCCCATCGGCGCGGGCCTCATCACCACCTTCAACCTGCACACGAGCAGCGCGGAGTGGATCGGCTACCAGATCCTCATCGGGCTGGGCATCGGCGCGGGGATGCAGCAGGGCACCTTGGGAGCACAAACCGTCCTCGCGCGCAAAGACGTCCCCGCGGGCGTCGCGATGATGTTCTTCGTGCAGCAGCTCGGCGGCGCGATCTTCGTCTCCGTCGGCCAGAACTCCTTCGACAACCACCTCGTCAAGGGACTGAGAAATCTCGTGCCGGGCTTCGATCCCACCAAGACGGGCGCAACGGCGTTGAGGAGTCAGGTCCCCGCGGGGCAATTGGGGGCTGTGTTGACGGTGTATAATTCTGCGATTCGGCAGGTTTTTGTGGTGGCGGTGGTTATGGCTTGTTTGAGTGCGTTGGGGAGTTTTGCGCTGGAGTGGAGGACTGTGAAGGGGAAGCAGGGGCCGACGCAGAGGGGAAGTAATGATGTTAAGAAGGAGGGGGAGAAGAAAGAGGTGGAGGGAGGGAAAGTGGAGGAGACGAAAGGGGTGGAGGAGAAGGTTTAGATGTTAGGTTTGTGGGAAGGAGGGAGTGAAAGGAAGCCGCGAAATGTTTATGTGTATAGATAGCGATGATACCCCGACTCGACTCAGATATTAGTAGCGAAGAAAACAAGGAAAGAATTTGAAAGGCAATACTTTGAATGCCTTTCTCCATTCCATATGCACACGGGTGGTCTAGCTGAGACTGCGTCATCATCATATGCCTCTCCATAAGACAATAATCGCCAACCGCAGCTCTCATCTTCAGAGCTCATGCCGCTGTCGTCAAAATCACGTCTAAGAACACCCAATGCATGCCCACTCTCCCCACCTCTCTCCATGCTACCTCAACACATCCCCCACGCCCACCACGAAACCCCAAGGCAAGGTATATAGTCAAAAGACCCGCTTCAGTCCCTCCTCCAACTCCTTACCCTTCACGACCTTCACCATCTTCTTCTCATCCACCTGATCAAACGCCGTCGAAGATAAAAGCTCCCACATCTTGCCGATGTTCTGCGAGATGTGGCAGTTGCAGCGGGCGGCGAAAGCGCGGCGCATGCAGGAGGTTAGGGTGGGTGGTTTGGGCCAGCCGTCGGAGGAGGGCATTTGGCGTTCGAGCATGTTTGTCACTTCGTGGGTGAGGGCGCTAATAAAGGAGGTTAGCTGGGTTTGTGAAAGCGCGTTGGGGGCTAGAGGACGTACTCGACGGCCCATTGATCCTCAGTGCTATGGGTGGTCTCGCCCATCTTCTCCCGCCCTCCTGCTCTCAGCATCGCCACGAAGAAATCCGGTCCATACTGCAGCAACATCTCCTCAAACGCTAGCTCCACATCACTTCTCGCCATGATGTCCCCCGCCGACCAATTGCCATTGATCGGTTCCGGGCCGTAGATTCTCAGAATCTTGATACTCGATATGAGCTTGAAGAGCAAGCACGCGAGACTCGTGGCGGGTAAGCCGTTGATCAGAGCGACTTTGTTGCAGTAGCTTCCGGCGTCTTGGAGGCGGTAGAGGAGGAGCAGGCCGGTCTTATGGATGGACTCCCAACGACCTTTGAGCCAGTCGAGTTCGGGGCCGTGAGAGGTGATGTGCAGCCATTGGTCGTGGAGGTCGGTGAGGGTGGAGAGGCGCTTATGGAGGGTTGCGATGCCATCGAAGGTGGATGTGTCGAGGCTCGGGAAGAGGTGTAGCGCGTGTCGTGGGATTTGGGTGCGTTTGATGTCAGAGACGAGAGATTGCTCGTGCGATTTTATGAGGCCGTTGAGGCGGGCGCAGGTTAGGCAGAGGCAGGAGAGTGTGTGTGGGGAGAATGGTATATAGGGAATGATTTCGAGGAGGACTTCTGCTGGGAGGGTGTTGAAGGATTCTTTTGGCAAGAAGGCGGGTGGTTGGGGTTGCAGGGCGAGCATTTTGATGTCTTTCTGGTCGTTGTAGAGAGGGGCACGAGGAGCTTGTAGGATTGCGTGCTGATAACGGAAAACATGATGTAGTGTGAAGAAAGCCCGAAGTGGTAGACATTAATGGTTACCTTGATGAACACCACTCCTCCGTGATGGTCACGCACTCATTATTGCGCTCGCGTTTGGCAGCTGCCAGGCGTGTCTTGCGTGATTGATGACCTACTTCTTGAGGGGGAGATAGTCAGACTCAGTGGTTGCTGTACGTCCATGTGATGAAGACCGCGCTGCTGAGAAGTCGCTAGGCATCTTGTAAGCGGTTGGAAGTCAGCGAGAGATGCAACAGAGGATGTTGGTAGGTATTTCTTCCTCTGTCGCTGACATAAGAGGATAAGAGGGCCGTCTCCCGCTGTGATCCTTCCAGTCGAGGTGCTCCAGACAAGCTTCGTGGGTGGGTGCTGGAGTTGTTCATGCACGAGGGCAGGTCAGAGCTCACACTTCCAAGATTTGGACGCAGGTGGGGTCGGTGGTGATGAGGCCTCGGTGACCGCAAAGTCAGCCAAACCAAATTGTCGGGGTATTCTCCGTTCATGTCATCTCGTAACAGAGGCATGAGGAAGATGGGGAGTTGGAGAGAGAAGGAGGATTCTTGGGAGAGAAGAGTGAAAAGTTGGGTGGCCGATGATTGTCATTTCACGCTTTGGGGCAATGCGAACCACGGTGCCGGGCATGGCGAGCGACAGGGATTGAGACATTGACCACGTCCCCTCCCTCGACGTCTGCTTTGCTCGCGGTGCACTGCGCTTCTGACAGATGGGAAGTGTTCATGGTGGTTGATGATGGTGTTGCGGCGATGCGCTGGCAGGCACAGAGTCATTTGATTGAAGCCCGCCATTCCAATTGGTGTAAACCTTAACCAAAGCACGGATGCGAAGAGTGATGGAGGAAACATGGATGCTGCTGTCTCCGCGGCCTTCTTCTGCTGCCTCGACTCGACTCCCATCCATCCAGCAGCAGCAACACCAATAATCTGGTACTCTCCCTCCTGACTGCTACGGCCACTGCGGCTGCGATTGTACGACGCTCCGTCACTCCTTGGGCTGCGTTCAATTCCTTGTTGTCTATCTTGTTTTAATCGCGCGGCCTGCCTCCAATCGGCCGTCTTGCGCCCAATCCATCCACATCAGCCAGTATGCTCTTCTAAGCCATACCCATCCGCGCCTGTCCGACCGCCCGCCTGATATACACCGCACCTCTCACACCTCCCTGTCCTGTCCTGGCGACAGGCCTCGCCGCCGTGCGCTGCCATCACTATGCCCAGCATGTTCTCGCGTCGCCGAGGGAGCAGCGCCAGCCGCGCGAGCTCCCAAATACCGCTCGACCGAAACACCACCTCGAATGCGGCCGCCGCAGCTAGCCAGGCTTTCCTCAAGAACAAGCCATCGACGGGCTCTCTATCCTCAGCTGCCGCTGCCGCCGCGTTGCGGTCCATGACCACGACCCCCGAGCCCGTCGGCGCTGTCCAAACAAAGCGTATGGTTCGTCGGGGATCGACATCTTCGAATGCGAGCAGTGCTATTGTTTCGAATGGCAGAGGAGGAGTTCCAGTAAGAGGCGGTCTACAGCGACGTGATAGTGGAGGGTCGATGACAGAGCGCTCTTTCCGGTCCCCTTCGCCTGGTCGATCGAACGGTGCACTCTCCCCAGCACTAGATGCTGCGCCGCCAGTACCAGCAATACCTTCATCAATATCGAGACAGCACCAACGCTCCTCGAGTCTCGATCCGCCGCAGCGTGTCATTTCTCCAACCCCGGCAGGGCGCGGCAATGGAAGAGCTGCGAGCATGGACAGATATAGCATGCCACCGCCGGCCAGTGCCAGCTCTAGAACTGGCAAGCGGCTGTCGAATGTGAACGAGGAGCTGGAGCGGACTGACAGCAATCGCAATGTCAACTTTTCACGACCTATGAACTCACAGCCTAGCAGTCCTGTATCGCCCACTGTGGACAAGCAGTACACCCATGGGACTGGTAACTGGTTTTCAGAGTCCGTACCAGTACCTAGCCAGCCAAAGCAGACTGTGCAGGAGGAAGCGCTCGAGCAAAAGATTGCGAGAATACAGGCTGCTGCCGGGCAACCCGTGAACAGGGACAACGGCGTGAATTCAGCACAGGGAAATTATTTGCAGAGGCCGAGTGAAAGGGCGGGCATTGCGCCAGCATCATATGAAGCTGCAGATGCCATTATGGTCTACGATCCAAGCACCAGGACGTTCATCGCCAAGCCGAGAACTCAACCTGCCCAGCCTGCCTCGCCTGAACCTCCATCGCCCACGACGTGGCAACCTGCTGCTCCCGTTCCTGGCACTTACGATCCTCACACTCGAACGATTGTTCCCTTACCCGAGCCAAAGCCGGCAGTCCAAGTCCAACGTCCAGAACGCCCTGCTTTGGAAACGGATTTGCAGCCTCCTCCACGAAATCCAGCTCGACTGTCTCCAACTATCGCCGCTAGAAGCTTCCTTCACAAACAACCCTCTGTGGTACGTGAAGAGCCAGAAGATGAAGATGGCAGTGTTGCAGATTCTGAATTGATGGACACTTGTGCTACAATCCAAACATCTGCTGGACCAGCCAAGTCGTACGTCGCACCAGCAGGCTCGAAGCAACGTTCATCAAGCCTTGACATTCCACGAGGTGCTCTTGACAGCGCATCGAGAGGGAGAGGTGGCTCAAACGTTTCTACGTCGCCCAGCCCCAACCGTATCCATTTCTCGGCGTCCCCTGTTATGAATCCTATCAGGCATGATCCGCCACCTCGTGATCTGTCGCCCGCTAAGCCCGCGCTGAAGAATGCACACTCACCAGCATCGTCCATTCGAACTAGCTCTCCGTTGGCGAACTTCTCACCGGCGCCCAAATCGCCCATAAGCGAGACGTCCGACAATACATCTCAGGCCTCTCAGGATGCGTTTACTGGCCGGAAGAAGAAGTCTGTCAGGGTCAGCTTTGACGAGCAGCCTCAAGAGATCGAACCGCCCACGGTGGCAGCCACTCCCAATTCGATAATGCGAGATCGCCCGGTGGTCGACGACCTAGATGACGACGAATTGATGAAGCCCCGGCCTGCACTGCCAAGTTTTGGAAGCGTCAGGAAGCAAAGGGTAACACATGACGTGCCTGAGAAGGTCACGGAGATGGCACCAGAAAGTCAAGACGCAAGCAACGATCACGCAATTGGAGGTATACTCAAGAACGCCAACGAGGCGAAGGCTTCATCAGATCCAGTCGCTCCCGAGGTGACGAGTAAAGAGACGGCAGGATATGTTAGCGATGACAGCGACGACCTGGGTGAACCCGTGGCTACAAGCACGCCAGCTCCGCCATCAACCGTACCTGAGGTGAAGCTCGAGTCAAGCCCTGAAGAAAAGCAAGAGACCAAGGTTAGAGACTTCGCCGCGCAAGCAACAACTGCATCGGACCAGAACGAAGACGCCGATGTACCCGCAATCAATCTGCTGCCCCCTACGCCTGGAGCAGAGGAAGAACGCAAGACATTGTCCGCTGAGGGCGACCAGTCTCCAAAGCCCAAAGCTTCCTTTGAGATTAATGTGCCCGGTGGATGGGCAGGCGAAGAGGAAAACGAGGCTGAGACTACATCCGCTGGAGCGGCAGCAGCAACGGTTGCAACTATCGAAAGCCAAGATGAGCCTGCCGCTGTGCCTGAGGATCCAGTCATATACTCAAGCCCTAGACCCGCCTCTCCTGCTCTCAATGCCATCAACGAAGATAACAGCGACGACAGTGCAGAGTTTAGCGACGCAGCCGAAGACCTTTCTGAATTCGACAACGGCGGCTTCGCTTCACTTGATGCCATTGCGGTCAGTCCCGTGCTAACCTCTTCGCCAGCTCCAAAGCCAAAAGATGGCCCTGCGCCTCTGCCAGAAAGCCCGTCTATTCGGCAAGCGTCAAAGAGAATGGACAAGGTCAATGTCGAAGGCCAAGGTAGCGGCGACTGGAGTGAGGCTACGGCTTACTGGTCGAGACTGAGCCAACAACAGCGCGAACAAATTGAGCGAGAACATTTCTCTTCCGACGATGAAGCTCTGCCAGCACCTGCGAGGAAACCCAAGAAGAAGACCTCTGCCCAGGCCGCGCCAGTTAAAGTGCCGGCGCCTGCAGCTGCTGCTCAAGTGCAGCAGAAGCCTGCCGCTCAACCTGCGAAGCCTGCCTTGAAGAAGACGATGCGTGCTCAGCCGGAGCCCGTTCCGGTCGAGGGCGAGGTGCATATGAGAAAGTCCATGCGCAACGGTGGAGCTGGGGGCATGTCTGGCTCACTGCGGGATAGCACCACGTCGCAGCCTCAGCAGACCCCAGTTCAACCTAAAAGTGCTTTGCAGAAAGGTACAATGCGACCTGGGTCTTCGGGCCAGTTGAGCTTGTCTGCAATGCCAGGATCAGGCCCTCAAGATTCAGCATTCCCAAAGATGAAGGCCTCTCAGACACAACCTCCAACTCAGCCAAAGCCCAAACCGCAACCAGCTCCAGTCATGTCCGCTAAGCTACAAAAAGAGCTCAGCCATGATTCGGACTCGGAGAGCAGTTTCAGGAAGAAGCGTCGCTCCAAGGTGGATGGCAGGTACACCATGAAACGTAGCATGCGTGGTGGACCAGTAGAAGCGGAACCTGCTCCATCTATAAGGAACCAGCGACCAACATCTCCTGAGCCGCCACGTGGCAAGGGCAAAGACTCCTTCAGCATAAGGTCTTTATCTCCCACCGGATCTCTGTTCGGCAGGAAGAAACGGGGAGAGGAAGTGCGACAATCGATACGCGGATCTTCTGTTGATGCAGGGCCTCGGATGACGATGCGAAATGGGCCACCTCAACGCGCTGCAGCCAGACCTGCAGCCGGCCAACAGTCCACAGGGTCGAGGTTCAAGTCGCGTTTTGTAGATTCTGATGACGAGGGCGAGGATGAACGACCAAGGCGAAACTTCTTCAAAAGTCGGTTCACTGATTCGGACGATGAAGATGACGATGTCTTTATCCCAGCCGACCTTACTCCGGTCCGTGGTATTCCTCGCAAACAGGGCCAGACTGACGGCGATTCAACCGATCTGGAGGATGAGGACGACGATGAAGATGAAGATCCACGCAAAGCCACACGAAGGCGGCAGAAGATGTCTACACCCCTAGTTCCAGACTCGGGAGATATCGACAAGGCTATGGAGGCTGCAAGGAAGAAGCTCGGCATCCCTGAACCATCCGCGAAAGAGACGAGTCAAGGCGAAGCGCTTCGCAATGGTAGCTTACGACAAGACACGGCACCTCAATATCCGGTGACAGGGCCATCATATGAGGAAGCTGAAGCTACTCCAGAGAAGAAGAAACGAAGCTTCATGGGCAGCATTCTTCGTCGCAATCGCAACAGCACGGCATCCGTCCCTCAGATCGGCACCACCGCAAGCGAGATGAATCTATCATCGAGTCCAGCATTGAACGGTCCTTACGACGCCGATGCCCCTCAAGGTCCTTCCGGCCGCCCGCAGAGCCCCATCGCAAGTCCCAATGGCAAACTCCTTCGCAGGACGTCAGGCCAGCAAGTACCCCAAGCACCTCGCATGCGCCGAGGCGACTCTACTTACTCGAATGCGACTGCCCCTCCAGCCGTAGGGGAGGCCTTCTCTGCGTCTGATAGAGATAACTGGCCATTGCCGCCCGCTGTGCCGAAGATTCCGGATCATCTTGCTGGTAACAATCGACCAACAACGAGTGACGGTGCTGGCAACAGCGTCGTGCGCTTCGATATCGGAACAGACGACGGGATGGACGGTGAAGGACAACAGCGAGGAGCCATCTACAGCCGTCGAACTGGAAAGAAGAAGAAGTTTGGTTTGTTGAGGAGGGCTTTTGGGCTGAACGACTGATCTGGCAACGAAGGACAGCGAGAGAGGGGATACGACTACCATTCGAAGAGTTGAACATGGATTATGGTAATGTATAATAATATTATTGGAAACAGAGCGAGAGAAGCACACGCGCGCGAAACAGGAGTGCAAATGTGCAGACAGAGCAAGCGAATGATTCTTTTGAGTGTGTTGTCGTTGCTGCTGCTGCTTTTTTGGATTGGAAAAAGATTATACCCCCGATTCGCTTTAGAATGGCTATAAGATTACAGACTTGAGAGAGTTGTGTTTGGGAGAAGAAGAACAACTGAAGTCTGGTTCGATGTTGATATAGATGTCATCTGTTGTTCTCGCCGATACGGATGAGGAAGATTTTCAAGATCGATTCATGTTCGATGTTAAGGTTCAGAGTGGATCTGGGGCTGAAGCTTGTTCCCACTCAAGCATCGTCATTCCTGGCTCGTGCTTTGAAGTTAAACAAGTTCTCGTCGGCGCCATCGTGGATATTGGAACATCATCACTGTCACTTTGGTTGTTCTTTCTCTTGGCGTTCGTTCGTTCCTGACGTAACGATTGCAAGCTTCTTCTTGCAAACGATTGAAGGTAAGGCCTGGGTTGTGTAAGTAGATCTTCTTCTGGTCACGTCCTCCCTCCTCCCCACCAGTTCTCAAGATGATATCTTCTACCTTCTCGATACTGGCCTTGCCAGCCGTCTCCCTCGCCTTAAGCCAGCAGCAACCTCTCTACTCCTCCTACGATTTCAACCCTCTCGAGCATCTCGCCGGCATAGCCCCGTACTTCGAACCCAACGACCCAGCAAAAGACCCCTCCCCACCGCAAGGCTGCCACGTTACAAAAGCCGCTTACCTCGTCCGCCACGCCGCCATCAACGCCAACGACTTCGACTACGAATCCTACCTAGGCCCCTTCGCCTCGAAACTCAAGAATACCACCACAGATTTCAGCAAGATCCCGGGCTTGACCTTCCTCGCGACGTGGAAAGAGCCCGATGTCAAGGAACAGGAACGCGTCACGAGGACGGGAAAGTTGGAGGCGGCGCAGTTGGGCGTGCAGCTTTCGTATCGGTATCCTGATTTACGACTGCCGAAGCGCGTGTGGTCGAGTACGTCGGAACGAACGACTGTGAGCGCTGAGGCGCTGATTCGGGGGTTCGAGACGGACGAGGATGAGATTGAGCTCGTGCAGATTTACGAGAGCAAGGAGTCTGGCGCGGATAGTTTGACGCCGTATCAGGCGTGTCCGGCGTATTCGTCCTCGCGGGGATCGCAGCAGAGCCAGGCTTTCGCGAAGAAGTACACGGCACCGATTTTGGCGAGGCTGAGGGCGCAGGCGCCGCGGTTTAATTGGACTTCTGATGATGTGATTGGTATGCAGGAGTGGTGTGGGTATGAGACTGTCATCCGAGGGGATTCGCCGTTCTGTTCCTTGGAGCTGTTCAGTCCCGATGAGTGGCTGGCGTTTGAGTATACGCAGGATTTGATGTATCACCACAACACCGGGTACGGGAATGACGTTTCTGGGTCGATTGGATACCCGTGGCTCAATGCGACTGCGGACCTCCTCGCTACGCCGCCCGAGTCGGACGATCAGGATATTTACATTTCGTTCACGCATCGAGAACTCCCGCCTACTGTGTTGGTCGCCATGGGCTTGTTCAACAATTCGGATTTGACCGGTGCCAACGATATCAACGCCACCATGCCCACGACCCGCATCAACTACCACCGCCAATGGGTCTCTTCGTACATCCTCCCCTTCCTCACGAACGTGGCCGTCGAGCAGATGAACTGCTCCGCTTCGTATGGGTACCAAAACTCTACAGACCCAACTTACTATCGCGTTCTGGTGAACAGAAGCCCGCAAGTGTTGCCGGATTGCTACGATGGACCTCTGGAGAGCTGTTCTGCGAAGGTATTCCAGAATTTCGTGCAAGAGAGGGGGGAAGTCTTTGGAGACTTTGGTGGTGCTTGTGGAGTCAAGTACTCGAACTCGACGAATGTTACGGGGTTCTATCAGAATCAGACGAAGGGGGAGACGGTTGGGAAGAGGTGATGTAATTTGTAGATGATATGGATTATAGTGCTTGACATGTGCGTCGTTTGGGTAAATGTTTCTTCTTCCAGTCCATGCCGTGCATTTTGCCTGTCCCCTGATGTTCATGTGATCATTCATCGAGTATTTGCATCGAAACTATTCACATGCCTCGAAAATGTCCTCCACGACAAAATGGAGGTCATCTGAACCAATCAGCGCGCCGCAAGCATTTCTGACGCGCTACTTCGATCTACGCGGCTTCGACACACTCGCCAGCAACCATGCCTCCTACAACCGCCACCGTATCCTACGACAAGAAAGATGGCAGCCTCGTGGTTTCAGAGGACAAAAAGTACGTCTTCTGGACACCCTCAGGAGCCTCCTCGCCCGCCGTGACGATCCCAGTGTCCGACATCACGAACCTCCAACAGACCCCCGCGACGTCCAAGAATATCGCGCTGAAAGTTGTGGTGGGGGAGAAGGGCTATGTGTTCAAGTTTACGCATAAGGAGAAGGCGAGGGCGGAGCAGGAGGGGGTGACGGGGCTTTTGAGGGATACCATTCAGGTTAATAAGACGAAGGAGAATGCCGTGCCGCTCGCGAGGGATGCTTCAGCGACGGGGACGCCTACGCCTGCACCGCCGAGTGGAGGGGAAGATGCTCCTGGGCAGAGCGCTGCCATGGCGATTGCGAAGGCGATATCTTCCAAGGCGGCGGATGAGGGGTGGTATGACGATGCGAAGCTGAAGAGCGACGATAGACTTCAGCGGTCGCTGCTCGAGTCGAACAAAGCGCTACGGGATCGCTTCAATCAAGCACTAAGGGAGAAACCCGAGTCGGTGTCGATTTCGCAGTTCACATCGCAGTTCTGGTCCGCGAGGTTGCATCTCCTCCGCGCGCACGCGATCGAGAATGCGCAGAAGCAGGGCGAATACAATGTGCTGCCGGAGATCAAATTTATGCGGAAACCGGCGGAGAAGGAGGGCGAGCCGGACACGAAGATGCTGAGCATCACCAAGGAGCAGATCAAGCTGATTTTCAAACAATACCCGATCGTGCGGGAGGCGTACGATGAGAATGTGCCGCCGCTGCGGCAGGATCAGTTCTGGACGAGGTTCTTTCAGAGTCGATTGTTGAAGAAGTTGAAGGGGGAGAAGATCACGCAGCAGGATGAGAGGGATCAGATTCTGGATAAGTATCTCGATCGTCCGGAGGCGGGGCCCGCGACGATGGGACAGGTGCCGCATTGGATGGATTTGGAGGGGAATGAGCAGAATCATAGTCAGAGGAAGGGGAATCGACCGGATGAGGATATGCGGCCGTCGTCGTATGAGAAGGTGCCGATTTTGAGGGTGTTGAATAATTTGTCGGAGAAGATGATGGCGTCGGTGGCGCCTGAGGACGGCGAGGCGCATCAGCCGGTTGGGATTGATGAGGAGACGTTTGAGCAGTTGAGGTTGAGGGATTTGGCGAGGGAGGATGTGGATAATCGGGTGGTGCTGAATATTAGCGAGCAGCAGCGGTATGCTGGAGGGAAGGAGGATGATCTTTCTGCGGAGGCGAAGTTATATGCTCAGCAGGATCCTGAGAGGGTTCTGGAGAGGTTGAGGTCGGATTTGCTGCCTGAGCACCTTGGGAGCGATGAGACGGGGACGTTGCGACTTGATGGGGTTATCGGGTATCATACGGACGACGACTCGGATTCAGAAGACGAGGCACCCTCACAACAAGCCAACGGCACGGCCCCGAAGAAAAAGAAGAAACCCGCCCAGCGCATCGGCTCCCACAACGCCATGTCCTCCGCAACAACCACCATCCTCACCTCGATCAAACAACGCCGCCACGCCGCCTCCACGGACCAGACCTCCCTCAACGGCCTCAGCCAAACCACCTTCGACACCCTCACCATGACGCACAACACCACGACCGAATTCCTGCACTACTTCTGGACGCTCTTCCTCTCCGGCGACAGCGCCCGCGTCGGCGAACTCGCCCAGCTCGTGCAGACGCTCGACCGCTCCGTCGACCGCATCCACGCCGTCATGGATGCCGCGGAGAAGGAGCGCGAGAGGAAGATTGACGATGTGAAGAGAGCGGATGCGGAGTACTATGAGCGGACGAAGAAGAGGCGGCGGAGGGATTTTGCCGCGGTTCCGGGGGGGAAGGGGGTTGTGGAGGGGATGGTGAGGCCGACGTTGAGGGGGATTGAGGTCGCTACGGGGGCTTATAGGAAGGCGTTGGAGGAGCAGACGAGGGAGGGTGGGGGCGTGGGTGTGGGTGTGTAGAATTATAGATGTAAACGTATTGGAATGGCTCTAGATGATGGAAATGACCTAGCCCTCAGACGCTCCATTCAAATGTAAAAGATCAGTGACTGATCTGCTGAAGACTGTGCCATGGTCGTTTCGCTCCAAATGGAATGCATAGAACTGCAATTCAGTACTACTGCACTTCAGGTGTCTTGACGAGCTTCATCGTTTAATCTGGCACGACAAAGCTTGCATTGTTCATGAGAAGTACGGTCTCGACTGACAATGAGGTGCCGATGCCAAGAATGTGAGTGAATGAAATTCTCTGCCTCACGACGCCCTCAACTCTCAATTTTGTCTCAACCCCTCACGAGCAATATGCCCAGAAGTACTCTCGTCTTCGCACAAGCCCCGAAGTGGGTCCTACCCTCGGCCCGCCGCAATAAAGCTACTAATACGCCCAAGAATTTCCTTCCCTCAACAATCACCTATGACTTGCCGGGGTAGCTCAATCGGTAGAGCGTGTGGCTCTTATGACTGCAAAAAGATTACCTCAAGGTCGCGGGTTCGAGCCCCGCCTTCGGCTGTTCCTTTCCATCAAACAAAAGGCTCTATCATCACGATAGAATCTGGGCTCGACTTGATCTACTTTTTTTTTGTTGAAGTTTTGCTGTGTGGGGGATTGGGGGCTTGGTGGGCTTGCGGGGTGGATTTTGCTTTTTGGAGATTGGAGAGGGGAGTACTGTGTCCCGTGAATATACATTTTGCGATTTGTTCTGTCTGTTTTGGTTGGTTTTGGTGGAAGTGTTGGTATTGCGATTTTGCGTGGGAGCCTCGCAAGGCTTGGCGCTAATCGAAAGCGGCTAGTGCGGCCAGTGCGGCTGCGGCGGGAGCCTGCGACGACGACACCTCTTACCTCCAAGTCGCAAGATGCGGACATTCAAGACAAACACAGTCATACTTGACACATCAACTACTAAGTAGCGGGGTGTGAAGAGGTTTCATCAGCAAATACGACCGTTCCGCGCTTCGTCCGCTCTCACATCCTCTGCCCCTGATCACCGAGCCTCCGACCAACGACGTCCTACTATGCTCGGGGTTAATTGAAGCTGACATGGACCAGAGGTACCGGCGGTATCATCTTCAATTTGGCTAGGTCTTGGAAGACCTCCAACATCGCCTCTGATGAATCCACGAAGCCCTGCCATCCAAGCTTGCGGGATTTGTCCATGCTGCTGTGGTTTAGCGGCTATGTCAATCACTATCACTTGCTTGCTCACCTGAAGTACAATGGTGCTGGTCGGCAGAGCGTGCCGTCCAAGAATCCGAATACCCGGTCGATGTCGTGCAAGTCTTGCGTCAGGTCGTGCTGTTTGACCAGCTCACGCCAGGCCTGCTGCACTTCCGGCTTCTTGGCCCAGTCTACAAGCCTGAACTTACGGCGCGTGACGCCTTTCGGGCCATACCCTCGTGGAACAAAGCGAGTCTCCGTCTCCGTGTACTTGTCGCCATCCTGCGGACCTTTCGCTTCAATGCCGTACCATCCAGCGATCCGAGGCCACCCTTTCTCCCATGAGAACGAACTATTGTCGCAGGTGTTGTATTTCTGGTTCGGCGGTCCGAGGAGCACTGCCCACTCTTCTTGATAGGCATTCATCTGAGCGGCTGACATGGAGTTTGGCATCTGCCACGAGTCGACGTCTCCTGGGAACTCGAATGGTTGACCTTTGTGCTTACATACGGCGGCATATACGGCCAGCGGATATGCACAGTTCATCGCAGCGTCCGGGACGGCACCTACGATTGGGCCAGGCATGTGGACGCTCCATCCTACACCATTCTCTTCGCAAAACTTCCACAACAGGTCTTCCTGAGGGTAGTAGAAGTTTGGTTCAAGCTCTACCCGTGGGTCGGTCTCTTCCTGAGGAATCTTGGTGGGACCCAAATGACCACCATAGTTTTTGGCACCAGTCTGCAGCATGAACCGCTTGGGTTTAATGGAAGCAACCTTCAACGCCTGCAGGAAGTTTTCCAACAATTCGGAGTTGACTTTGACCAACTCTTCGGCATTACTCCAAAGTCCCGCGCCCTCCTTCGGCGTAGGCTGGATGTACGAAAAGAAGAAGACGTGATCCGCGGTGACGTTGTGCTCCTTCAGCGTGGTGGCGATTTCTTTGGGGTCCTTCAAGAAATCCAGTGGGATATGCTCCACGTGGTTAGGCAATCCGCCAGGAATGAGCGGCGGTCGACGACTCAGGCAGATGATCCTGCTCCATCGCTCTGGGTTCGCGGCTAGTACTCTCATCAGATAGTTTCCGCTGATGCCATTGGCTCCGGTGATGATGGCCGTGAGGCCAGACACCTCGGAGGGATAGACTGGTAAGGCGTGATAGATGCCCTTGGATTGAACCTGTTGCACTGACATCATGAAAGAGCAGAATCGCGAAAGAGTAGACCAGTTTGAGATTAGTATGCAGTATTATGAGACGTTTACTCACGGAGAAGTTGTCCCTAGATTGTCATCCCTAGGCTGTCGTCACTGGGATAACATACATGTATTGATCAGTTAAGCGGCAGCTGCGGGGTCTATCGATTCTAACGCCGTGAGAGTGAGGAGAAGAGCATGGTTTCGAGCCTCAGGCAAATGACGTGCGGTCGCCACGCGGTTGCCCCATTTCGTATCTGCAGCTCGCTGTGAGACACCCTGAGCGTTTGTCCAGGCGTTCGCCAGACAACACGCAAGACGAAACGGTTGAACATCAGTCCCAAACACCGCGACGGGATATCCAAGGTCCATGTACTAAAAATTGTTGACGAACGCGCATGCATTCTCATGCGAACAATCACAGACTTTATTGTACTCGTCACGCCTCGGATCCTTGAACGTGGTCTCGACCCGGCTGGATGTCCAATCAATGCCCTCCATCTAAGTCCGACGCACGGGGCGATCGGCACGTTGCAGGGAGGTTGCCTCCGTTGGATTCGATTTAGCTCCGAATATCCGCTTTCTTCCACACAAAGACCGTTCAGTCATCGAGCTTGATACCACGGCAGCCAGTAATCAGCCAGTAATCAGGCACCATCGACGGAGCTTATGGCACGCCGCATCTGGGGTTTGGCTGCAAAGTCCATGAGATAAGCTGGTATAAGTATTGTTTGTTCCCCTCCCCTGAAGGAGTGTGTTTGGTCATCAACACCAACATCCACCAAAGACTTCAAACATCACAGAGTCTTACGAAACAAGCTACCAATACGAACAGCAACAAGAACCAGCAAAGCTACATCAGATACAATGCATTTCTCCAAGATCAGCAACCGACGAAAGTCTGCCGACAGCACTCTCAGCGCCAGCTCATCCGCTTCCTCCATCGATGAGACGCTCCTCTCCAACACACTACCTCTTGCTCCACGAGAAGACGACTACAACATGTCTGAGGAGCAAAGAAGAAAGAGGATGCTTGCCAAGTGCCGACGGGATGTCCAGCCATGGAACAACGCAAAGCCACTCCCATCTCGCCGTGGTTGAACGATCAGCTCAAACATCATGCACAGATGCATGATCATGACAACCATCCCCGATGCCTAGCATCATCACCAACGCCCACAAGTCAGTACGGCGAACGAGCGAGGGCAACAGAAGCGTGTCGAGCAATGGAAGGAAACGTTCATTGCTCGGCATTTCAGGCTGCGAAGGCGTAAAGCATTGCCAGCACAAAGGTCACGAGCACGAACTTACAGAAATGTAAAGGTTCTGTCCATAATGGAAGCATAATGGGAAGACCTCGTCGAAAGACAGATCAAAGGTGGATGAGGATATCTTGACGGGCGAAGTCAAGCTGGGATTCGTATTAATGTTCGCTGGTAATGCGGTGATCGCGGTAGTTATAATATGATACAGGGTTTAATCTATTAAACATCCAAAGCCTTGTTACTACCTTTTTCTGACAAGAATTCCCTGGTCCTCATCCTCTAGTGTGTGACAAGTGTTAGACTTGAGCCTCCCTCCAAAGCCTCAAGAGCAGGCGTCAGCCCTGTGCGTCGTGTCCATCGTATAATCGGTATGGCCGGGCTAAAGATCGCCGCTCGACTTCGCAGAAATGTCTTTTCGTGATAGCTAGGCTTGTCCCACGTGAACGAGCGGAATTCGTTTAAATTATACATTCGTTGAAACTCTGCCTTTCACTTTCGAAGGAAGCACGCCATGGATGAGAGCATGGCATCTGCGGAAGCACTTTCCAGCCGGCAGCTGCCATCGTTCCTATTTCCTAATTCGTCATAGGTGCGGAGGCCCAATCTTAGGGAACTGCGTCTGCCCATGTCAGCGGATCTTGCTTCCGTCCGACATCAACTTCATATTGGCCTGCACATACACGACAACCATGACAAATCAGCCATCTGCGCATGCAGACAACGACCATGGCTCCAACGACGAGCGACCCACCAAACGAAGACGCGTTGCGATCGCCTGCCGCCCGTGTCGTGAACGCAAAAGCAAATGCGACGGAGTGAATCCAGAATGCGGCCTTTGCAGACAGATGGGCACAGAGTGCTCGTATCCGCCACCCTTATCCAAGACGGACGTGCTGAGGCAGGACTTCACCTCGATGGTAGGCGGTCTCGAAGACCGCATTGGCGGGATCGAGCGCATGCTCACCAACTTTCAACAAACTCTGTCTTCATCGGCAGGGAGAGAACCGGTCACGCCCAATTCGAGGACTTCGGCTCCCATAACGCCTGCTCAGCCTGGAGGCGAATCTGATATAACGATTACGGAAGATGCTTTCCAGAGCTCGGCCCAACCAGGCCCTGCCTCCGATGGCATTGGAATTGTGCCTCTCACGGCGCGGGAGGATTGTGCGTTTTTCGGACCTTCTTCGAATATCGCCTTCTTACGACTGGTCTCCCGTGCTCTTGCAAGGAACTCAGGTCCCAGTAATGGCTCGATGGGGAATCAGTCGAACATCTCCGAGCATGAGAGGATGAACGCCCGTGGCAGACAAGAAGCCAGTACAGACCCAGCGTTGAATCTTCCCGGTGTATCGAGTGCCAATGGCCACAGCAGACAAACTTTCAAGATCCCTTCAGATCAGCGAACGAGGGAGCTGTTGACCGAATATTTTGGCAATTGTGGTCTGGTGCACCCGTACGTCCATGAAGCCCGATTTATGGAAACATATGAAGTCGTCCGCCGCAACAGCTTCCGCACTGTGCGACGCAGCTGGTTAGCGCTGTTGTACATGCTACTTGCGCTATCAACCCTTTCATCACCCTACGAGAGTGCATCAGTCGCAATCATCAGTGCAGAGTCCGAGGAGTGGTTCAACCTTGCATCAGACCTCTGCCTCAAGCAGGTCTTCTCTGAGACTGGCATCAACCTTGAAGTCGCTCAAGTCTTGATGTGGATGGTCCTGTATCTTCAAGGAACGCATAGTTCTATGAAGACGTGGGTCATTCATGGTATGGCTGTAAGAATAGCCTACCAACTCGGGCTCCATTCAGGTGAAGCTTCCAAGGTGGCAGATCCAATTGAACAAGAATACCGCAAAAGGACCTGGTTCGGCCTGGTACTGCTTGACTGCACGCTGAGCATGACTTACGGAAGGCCTCCCCAGATATATGATCCCTGGTCTTCGCTCGAGAAGCCTGTTGCCTATGCAGACTCTGCGCAACGCGGTTTCCTAGCCGCAGACGAGTTGTCCGTAGGGTTCCTCTTTGCCAACATACGTCTTTACGAAATCTTGCAAAAGGCCATCCAACGATTGTACGGGAATAACAGCGGCGCGCGAATGACATTCAACGTCGAGAATATCGCCAAAGTCTACACTCTAGAAGGCGAACTGTTACAGTGGAGTAAAGACTTGCCTCCACAGCTCGCAGTCATGCAGTGCCACCAGGTCACAGCAGATGCACTTCCACTAACGGTGCCATTGGAGATCCTTGGAAGGCGGCAACGGACGGTACTCACACTGCGATACTTGAATGCGCGCATCTTGATCCATCGTCCAGTTCTAGAAGGTCTACTCGATGCCATCAATACGGAAAACTTGGACATGGACTATCTCCAGATCATCCGTCAGGCTGGTGCTAACAGTGTCTCATTCGCAGTCACTTGTGCCACGAAGCTGATTTACATCATGCACCGCCTATTGGCTGGCTCAAATCGGGAGCAAGGACATCAGCAACTGGGAGCGTGGTGGTTTTCTCTATATTACACCTTCAACGCGTCCCTGGCCATTCTTGGAGGTCTCGTAGTGTCTCGCGAGCGATGGGACTGCCCCTCGATACTTACAAAGAAGCAACGAGATTCCGCGATCGAGGCTCTGTACCAAACTCTTGGTGTTCTGGATGGGCTCGACAAGGGCCATTCTACCGTGACTCGATGCAGGAGCTATATCCAGGAGCTCATTGCGGTCGCATCTCCCTTATTGAGCGACGAGGCTGCCGTCCCGCTCGACAACAGCGCCTTCAATGCGGATTTCGCTGCCGGAATGTCAATGCCCTTTGACCAGGACAGTCTGCGGCAGCTGGCGTCTGATGTCGACTTGGAGAGCTTTCTGTTCCCTACGGATATGACAGCACTCAGTGGTAATGCGTTCTGGGACTAATCGGACGCTCGGCGATAGTCTACGGACAGAGAAAGGACGTTAATGATGAGCAAAGCAGCTATAATCACTATTAATCATCTAGCCATACCTCAACCAGAATACGAGCCGCGACTCTAGTCGGGGTTCTGGACATAAGGCTTCAGAAAAGACCGATGGATCAGCTCAAGGTGGATTGTACGGATTTGGTAATTTTTGCAACATGGTGGAGGAGTCGGTTGTCGTTCACGGGACTGTTCTCCGGGAAGTCCTTCCGGAGACATGAGCTATGACCGAACGATCCTGGACGTACCCTCCGTCACCAGACGCCACATCGCATTAGACGAACCTTAGGTGCAGGTGTTGCATCACTCAGTCTGTCCCCGAACGCCGCAACAAGGCGTTTTAAAGGCGGCCATGTGCCGCGACGTGGTCTCGATGGAGGCCTCAAGCATCTGTTCGCTTTCTCGGCGTTGTCTTTGCAATTATTCGAACGCAGACAAATGGAAACTATTGGCAGGGTATTTTCACGGCCGCAGGCCAAACCGTATCGAACGCGAAAGCTCTCCAAAAGCATCGAGGTTCACTTGGACGAACGAGGTCTTCTCAAATGTGAGCGCACCCCTTATCATCACCACTTCGTAACCAAGTAAAGCATTGCTGATCGTTTCAACAGTCTCGCCAAACGATGTCGAGAACCCCAAAAACTGGTCGGCTGCGCGAAGATGCTACATCACAGCGGCATGCATTGTTACCATCATGAATGGTAGCATGGCGTCCAGCTCGCCTTCTGGATGTCTGCCGAGCATATCTGAGAAACTCCACGTCTCGCAAGAAGTCGCGAAACTTACCGTCACACTCTTCGTGGTAGGCTTTGCTGCAGGCCCTGCTTTCTGGGTGAGTAGTGTACAGGCTCACAGCTTTAATATTCTCGACTGATCTTCATCTAGGCTCCCCTCTCCGAATACTTTGGCCGTCGAGGCATCTTTGTGGGCACGTTTGTATGCTACTTCGCCTTTACCTTCCTCTGTGCTTTCACGCCCAACATTGGAGGACTACTCGTTGGTCGCTTTCTATGCGGCACGTTCATTAGCGGTGCCTTGTCCAATACGCCAGGAGTTTTCGCCGACATATGGGGTCCGATTGAGAGAAACCTTTCCATGGCGCTCTTTACTATTGCCCTTGACGTGGGACCTGCCGTCGGACCCATCACCAGCGGCTTCTACCAGCTCAAGCTCGATTGGCGATGGAGCTTTTACCAACTTCTATGGGTCTCTGGATTCACTCTCTTCATCCTTCCGACCGTGCCCGAGACCCTGCAGTCTCGATGCCTTCTGCACAAGGCGAGACGTTTGAGGAAGATCCCGGGCTATGAACACATCAAAGCGCCTATTGAAGTCGAGGGAAAGAAGCTCAGCGAGATCTTCAAGACTGCCCTTCTTCGACCTTGGAGGATTGTCTTGGATCCAATTGCTGGACTAACAGCTATCTACATCACCGTCGTGTACACGCTCCTGTACATGCTCTTCACGATCTTCCCCATTGCCTTCATCGAAATTCGAGGCTGGAATGCTGGAGTGGGAGAACTGCCTCTGCTGAGTGTTGTCGTGGGTGCTCTCATTTCAGGAGTGTATGTCTACGCGCGTTCATTCAACGAAAAGAAGAAAATCCAAGCCGGACATAAATTTGCACCGGAGGTAAGGCATATCGCAGATACTACTCAAAACTATTCGAGATCTAATGTTCTTCTAGGACAGCCTTCCCGTCGGCATGGTCGGCGCTATCTGCTTTCCAGTGGGCATGTTCCTGCTCGCTTGGGGCGGTATGTATGCCGACGTCCACTGGATCGTTGCGTCGATCGGCGGCGTCTTCGTCTCGATCGCCATCACGCTCCTATTCATCGCCTTCCTCAACTACCTCAGCGAGAGCTACCTGATGTACGCCGCCTCCGCACAAGCCGGCAACCAGATCATTCGATCCGCCATCGCTGCTTCGGCACCGCTCTTTTCGTCTCAGATGTTCAGTAAGATGACGCTAGGAGGTGGTGGCTCAATGATCGGTGGCATATCGATACTCCTGGCGCCGATACCATTCATCTTCTACAGATATGGAGCGAAGATCAGACAGAAGAGCAAGTTTGCACCTACGCCTGAGGTGGAGGAGAAAGAGGAGAAGGAGGTTGAGAAGGAGGTGCAAGAGGGCGAGCAAGACGAGGAAAATGAGAAACAGGAGGAAGTTGAAACACCAGGATTCGACAATGAAAGTCTTCGCTCTGAAGCGAGGTTTAACGACAGTGACGAGATCGAAAAGGGAGAGAAACGGCCGGATATTTAGTCGTTTGGCATCATGAAGCGCTTGTCGATAGAGATCTATGTCTAATGGCTAATGCTACCTGATCGGTACCCAGGAGCTCATCCATGGTTGATGAGCTGGCAATGATCTCGAGCCAAACTTCCTCTTGCGTTGATGCAGACCTCCACCGCCAAGCGAGTGGCATGTGTCTCAGGAGCCGTGAAGGCCGCGTGGGACCTCGAGGGCCCGGTGTCGCAGAAGGATCTACAGTAGCTCGGGCGTTGATCTGGATGCGTCTTCCGAACACGACCCTTGCGTTCCCGGAACACACTTCCGGCGACTCACTCGTCGTACACCTCCGTCGTACTCGAGACGGACATTCAACGTACGATGCCATAGCCAGAACATTACCAACCATACTCCCAAATACAAATCACCAACATCCCTAAAACCCAAACCCCCCTCCCCCCCCTTCCAACCCCCCACCAGGCATACTAACCGCCCCATCAACAACCCATCGCCCTTCCGCCTTCCTAACCTGACAAACAACCACACACTGCCTGCTCAAAACGCCCTTCTGCACCCCATGCCCGCCCGTCAACTCCAAACTCATAAAAACCTCCCCCCTAGTCAGCCTCGAATTCAGCTGCGTTTCGATCCCTTTAATTTTCGAGCAGTGGTCCGGGAAGCGGAACGCGTAGTCGTGATAGTCGTCGATGAAGGCCTGCGCGGACGGTGCTTCGTAGCCCATCCCCCGCGTGGTGAAGTTGGGCGAGAGGGAGGACCATAATGGTGATTCGGGGAGGTCTCGCGTGTTGAGGTGCTGGATTATGAGGGTTACGAGGGTTTGGAGGTGGGTTGTTATGGAGGGGAGGTCGTGGGGCGGGTTGCAAGGGTCGAAGGTTTTGGTGTCCGTGGACATGGCTTGTGAGGTTGTGGCACTGTTGATGTCGTGTTTGTCTGTATATGTATGTGCTGTTGTGAATTGTCTCTGTTGACTTGGGCATTGTGAGAGTGGTGGTTCGTTCAGCCATACCTGAAAGAGGATCGCGCAAACCAAAAAACAACCTCATGCTGGAGTCCTACATGTTCTTTACGTCTGCGAAGAGCTTTGAAGATAAAAAAGATCTCAAATGATTGGCAGTGCTATCTGGGGTATCTAGACTTCAGAATCCCCTTTGTAACACCAGTTGTAACCCCACAAGCAAGAGCCAATCTCTGCTTTTTCCCAACCTCCCGAGCACCTTCGCTAAATCCATTACAATACCCAAAAACAAGTGTCATTCTCAATGGTCGTCCATGTCCCCAAAGCACAACATCCGCACTTCACAGTCCTCGCTTCCGCTCGCCACACGACTATCGCTCAACCATGCACATGTGACTGGCCCTTGGTGACCGGTGAAGGTACGCTCGCACTTGCCAGTTCGTGGATCCCATACTTTCAGCATTCGATCTTCGCTTCCCGAGATGAGACGCAGGTGGTCAGCGGCCAACGCCCAGATGCCTTCAACATGTCCGAAGAATGTGCGGACGCAAGCCTGAGCACGTGGAGTGTGGGAGTTGGTCAGAGGGTCTGTTGGTAGGATTTCGAAGCCTTCCATTGGCGGAGGTGTTGGGCTACGACTGTGCGGTCTGAAGTGAGTGTCCCAAAGCCGGATAGTTGAATCGAGTGCACCAGTCAGCATGTACCGTGGCGGTGCCGACCTCTCGCAATCATTTGGCCAGAACGGGTCGGTGCGATGAGGAGTGCAGTGGGAAGCATCACGGTGAGAGGGTGCTATCGTAACCGAGCTGACGCTACTATCGTCATCGTCTTTGTCGTTTGGTGTGACCGTCTGCTCATCCAGCTCGAACTCTTGTGGCAGAAGTACAACTTGCTGAACTTGACCCACGTGACCCTCAAATACCCTGATGCACTCATGAGTGTCAAGATCCCAAAGTCGGACTGTCAAGTCGTCTGAAGCGGAAAACAACGTTCGTGATGCTTCGTCAATCTTGATGGAATTCACCCAGTCCTGGTGGCCTCGCAGCTGAAACGTCTGCTTGTCCCTGGCATCCCAAACTCGAATGGTTCTATCCTTCGAGCCAGATGCAACGTAGCGAGCAGTAAAGTTGAGGCAGATGATCCCATCGTCGTGTGCCGGGAAAGTCCTGAGACATTGACCAGTCGTCCAATCCCAAAGTTTCAAGGTATTATCCAGGCTGCCCGTCATCAACTTCTTTTCATCGAACTGGAGACACCTAATCCCGCTTGTGTGACCCGTCAATGTACGGAGGCATTCGCCTGAGTTGATATCCCACACCTTCACTGTGCTGTCATATGAACCTGTGATCAAGACGTTATCATCGAACTGCAGGCACATGACGCCGTTGGTATGGCCTTTGAAGACCTTGGTAGAGCAGCGACCGTATTTCCAAGCCGTTCCAACTTTGAAGCGATCTTTATAGACATCCTTCCATGGTCGCTTTCGAGGTGCAAAGTAAGAGTCGTTCTGATCAGCTCCCGTGTTGGACTCTTGCGAAGACGAAGAGCAATGCCTCTTGAGTGCGAGGGGAGATTCTGATCCTTCGTGAGGTCGCTTGAGGCTAGTCCCCTGGCTGGACTCTGGTTGTGGGTTCTCACTTGGAGGTGGCACCGCTTCTGGAACAGGTGTGATGTCCGGAGACCATTCGTTCAGACCTCTTCCCGTTGCCCGTAATTGAATCTGTCTCTTCTCCGTCCTCAATCTCTTTCGTTCCAGTAATGGCAGGCCCCAGCCACACTTGGTACATTTCCTATCAATGTGTTGCTCACACATCTTATGCCACACGACATCGTCGTCTGCGAGACTCCTCCATCGTTGGCTCACTTGGGCAGCTTTGCAGAGAGAGGTGGTATCGAGGTAGCACAGGATCTTGAAGCCCAGCTCGGAGGGAAGGGCGGAGAGGAAGTCGATCTTGATAAGGTCTCGAATGTTGGCCGAGATGAAGGAGAGCTGAGGGAAGCAGCACTGGGTGAGGATGCCTTGGAGCATGAGGTTTCGGTGCTTGGCGGGAGCGGCGGAGAATAGCGACCAGACGTGGGAGATGGCTTGCTGGTCGGATTGCGAGAGGCTTGACAGCTGGTTCTGTAGTTGCTCCATGGAGGGCTCGTTGGCCTGGCGTCGGCACTTGAGATCGGGACGGTGGCGGTAGCAGAACTTGGTGTTGGACTTTGGCGTATCGATGTTGCTGTCTTCTTGGGCTGCAGGGTCGCCGCCGACAGGATTGTACTGCACGGGGATGTGCTCGGCGAGGAATGGGGCGACTGTCATGTCGGCGTGTTTGGCTCCAGCGTGCGGGAAGATATTCTGCTCCTCCTCTCCCTCTCGACTGCCACGATACTCGTTCCTCAGCATTCCGTCGTGGTCGTGATCATGGCGACAGAGCTCATCATGGGCGTGCGCCTGTTTCATAATGTTGCCATCCTCCTCAGCGCCCGGAGTTGGCTGCTGCGCAAAGGCCATTGCGTGATGATTCAGATGGCGTGCTGCCCAAACTTTGGCTCCTTGCCTCACATTCGACGGGGATGCGGTGACCGCGAGCGGCCGGGTTGGTGCTTGCTCCTCTGCGGCGGCAACAACGCACAGTCGTTTGTGACGAGTAGGTTCGTCGGCGAACAAGGGCGAGAGATGGCGAAGCCCGGGCGCATAGAAATCGGTCGTGTGCTACGGGCGTCCAGGAGTCGGTGTGGTAAGGAGGCAGGCTGCGAGGTGCCGGGCGTGGAGAGTCGTGTCGGTGTTGGTGGAGGATGTCGTCTTCGTCCTAGGCGATTGTGTGCGAAGGCGCTGACCCGGGGAACCGATGCCCTCGGTACGGCCCGCGATCACGCAAAACCACCAACGGATGAGCAACGATCGGCAGAGGTCCTCTTTGTCTGCCTTTCACCGAATCACTGTTCGCGTGCCTCCCGACGCTCCGTTTGCTAGTAAAATCCCCGCAAACTGATTAATCACTGTGGTCTCATTTTAATCTCATGTGCCGAACAGTGCCGGGAGATGTAGATATTCTAGAGAATGTGAGAAGATTGAAATGGGGCCATCACGTGCGATCGCCAGCAAGGTGCGAATGAGGGGTCTAGTTCGGCGAAAGCAGATTAGCGCGCCACGTTTTTTGTTGTTAGTCAGGCTCTGCAACTCTCACGCTGCGTCAGCGAGCGACCATCACGCAAAGAACAAGCACCGTAATGGTATAGACGGTTCCATCTGGGTCGACACGGCCCTGCACGGCACGAGTGAGAAAAATGAGTTCTTCATCAGAGTCTTCCCTGTCGCCGTCACCGCCGGCATCGCCAGACGCAAGCTATCACGGCCCGCCGAGTTTAGAGCGGCTCGTCGTTCACTTTGTTGCTGCGAAGAGATCGCTCGCGTCGACAGCACACGTGTATCGGGCGAATGAGCTCGTCACGAGCTCAAGATTGCTCATAGAGGAGATCGCCGTACTAAACGCCAAGAATGCCTTCGGTCGTAATGGTCTTGATGACCAAGTGAATACGCTCGACTCCATCAAAGATGCTCTTGTGGACGATAGAGATCGAGTCGCGGAGGAGTTCGAGGCGACTTTGGCAACCCTGGACAAAGCTCACAACCGGCTGGAGAAGACTTTGAAGACTCTCCGCAAAACTGTCGTACAGAGCCAACGATCGGGAGAACAACGCCACGCTCAAAGTGAGTCTGATGGGGAGACAGCAGAGACCACTGAACATACAGCAAGCGAGCAAAAGACCCTGTTCCATTTCATAGACGAAGAGAACCACGAAGCTCTGCAAAGTTCACTTCGAGGCCTCATCGACGAGTACCGCATCGCCAGGGGCGACTTGGACGGCAATCTTCAAGTCTTTGATAACTTGCTACGATCCATCACCAACAAGCTCTCGGACAGGTTGGACGAATCAGACTCACCAGACAGACCAACAATCTACGATGAACCACCACCCAGTATCGACGAGCTCTTCCGCAGGATGGAAGAGCATGCCACTGAGATGGCCTCAAACCTACAAAACCTGGTCCAACACTACGATCTGTGCATCACCGCTCTAAAGCATACCGAAGGCGGTGGTGAAGCAGCCAAGCAAGCCATCCAGTCTGCTGAGTTGGCTAAGGGCACCCCAGGGAGTGAAGAGAGCTTGTACGGCAAGACCGTTCCTGAACCTATTTCTGAGGAAGAGCTCACCCAGATGTTGGACGTGATCGACAAAGATTCGGAAGAAGTAGAAGACGTCGTGACCGAGATCAGCGAGCGTGGCAGCGACATGGAAAGTGACTACCAACAGCTGTCCAAATATGCAAAGAAAACATGCCAACGCAACAAGACTTTACGGCACGTCTTGGTACTCATGCACGACATCAGAGCTGCCATTCCAGGCCATCTCGAAGCATCGGCCAAGTTCAGAGAAAGCTGGCAAGACATCAGCATCTCTATGCAAAGCAAGACCAAAGAGCTAGCCGAGCTGAGCATCTTCTACGATGACTTCGTCTCCGGCTACGGCAGACTTTTGCAGGAAGTCGAGAGGAGGAGGGCGAACGAGGCGCAGATGAAGAAGATTGCAGAGCGGGCACGGAAGGAGATTGAGAAGATCTACGAGGCGGATCAGATGGCCAGGCAGGAGTTCATCGACGAGTATGGCCATGTTGTGCCGACTGATCTTGGGGCATTGCATGGATTGCAGGACAGGGCGCCGAGGTGGGAGATTCGAGCTGTAGCAGATGGTGATGAGACGCAGGCGAGGCTGAATGATGGATAACGAAGCTGTGACACGACTGATGGTGGACTACGAACCCGCTACAACGATCCTCTTGGTGTACGGATTGACGAGTGGGTTATGCAGCTCGCCAATCGTACTCATACACGCCGCCGCAGGATCGCCAGAATCCATCAGACTTCCCGACCAATATTCGTTCCCTGGGAAAGAATTGCCGTCCCACGCATAGCTCAGCACGAGCAATTCACCATCACCCTCTAACTTCGCCGCCGGATTCCTCTTGCTGAAAAGCACCCTGATACCCTTCTTCTTCGCCACGAGCCCAATTTCCTCCTGACGCTCTCTCGAGACCGCAATCCATGCAAACTCGATCGTGCTTATCTTCGAAACATCCACCTGCCCAATCGCCTCCCCAAAAGCCCGCACGTACTCCTCCGCCTGACAGTCATCATGCTCCCATACCCCCAACCCAAGCCCAACAACTACACATACGCCGCCCTCCCTTCCCCATCCTCACCCGCACATCTCCCCGCTTCCGCCAAAAGGATCTCCGCCGTAATCCGCATCCTCGCCCGATACACCCCGACATCAAACCCCTTCTTCCCCTCCAAAACCCTCGAATCCCGCTCCACCCCAAAGATCTTCAACACCATCGCCGTGACCTCTCCATCCTGCACCGTCTCCTTGCTAGGCGGCAGCATTAAGATCGAATCCATCCTCCCCATCCTCTCGAACCGCGCCCCAACCAACCCCACAATCACCCCTCTCGACTCAAACGTCCCCTCCTTCCCCGGCCTTCCACAGTTATTCCGGGCTCCATCATTGATGAAGAAACTCCGCCCACTCACGCCGATCAACGAACTCAGCAAAATCTCGTCGTAGGAGAGGTAGTTCTCCAACCGCAAATCCTCATTCTCGCCCTCGCGCGCGGTCCCATTCCGATCCCACTGCGTCCTCGGGTCGGGGATTCTCCGTCCGTCGCGGAGCATCGTGTAGTCGTGCGAGCCCATGAACACCAGCGGGCGGGCGGTTATGAGGCGCGAGGTGAGGTCTTGCCATGTGAAGGCTGGGGTGTAGAGGGCCTTTTCCGCAGGAGAGCCTTTGAGTCGTTTGTGGTTTAGGAAGGTTGTGGCGAGTTTGGGGAAGCGCGGGTGAATGACAATGTTGGTGGAGGCAGCGTCGGAGGCGATGGTAGCAGGGTTGAAGTTTTTGATGGAGTTTGTTTTGATGGGCGGTTGTACTGTGAGGTTTTGGGGCGTGAGGAATGAGAGGGGGTTGTCGCTCGATGGCGCTGTGTTTGGTTGAGACATGTTGAGTCTTGATGTCGTATATCCGTGAGGGTGTTGTTTGGTGGTGACTGTTGTAATTGCCAGTGGTAGTCTGGGTGAGTATGTGAACGAAGAGAGGGCACAGATGGTCAAGGTGGTCGCTCTGCAAGGAGGCATTGAAGTTACACGCCAGGCATGCTCAGACAGGTGATCTCAATTCGGCACCTGAGTCACACTCGCAGCACAGTAATTGAACCTGGCCCAGAAACGAGCAGCCGACGAGTCGAGGACTTTCTTCCTTTGACTCAAAGGCGACCTCGTCTCAGCCCCATAGGCAACAGGCAAGCCTGAAGGTCGAACGAAGGGCAATAGACGAAGCTTTGGACAGCGGCAGATGTGATAGATTTGTATGCCATTAGTATTTTAAAGACGATACTCCATGGACGTTCACATGAGTGTATGTGCAAGGAGCATGCTTCGCAGTTGCAAGTGATGTTGACGGTGAGTGTGTAGATGTCAAGCGCTGCAAGCGGCCTGAGGCATGAACAGAGCGACTTTCAAATTGACCAAATACACCCGTTAGCGCCGGGAACATGAATGCCTCAGGCACAAACAGGTAAGTGAATCAGGCGACATCTAATGAGTCTGCCAGCGTGACATACTACTCGTAGCACGTTTCGAATGTGAGAGATAGAGAGTCATAATTCACAGTCCCTCCAATAGCCAGGGAGGTCTTGATCAGATCTATACATTCAATCTCGTCGATATATACCTATCCCCCACGCCACCCTCAGCAGCGCCAGTCCAATCGCCATGCCGATACTATCCTTGATCACGTTCAACTTGCTGCCGGCTACCTCCTTCCAGCCGATCGGCACTTCCACCATGGGTATATACGCACTCTCCGCCAGCATCAACATTTCGACATCGAAGATCCAACCCTCTGAGTGCATATATGGGATGATATAGCTCAGGGAGTTTCGGCTGAAGAGCTTGAAGCCCGCCTGTGTATCTCTGATCTTTGCTGTTCGTGGCGTTGTCAGAAGCCAGATCCCCAGGTGAAAGCCGCGCATGAGGAGGTTGCGGAGGGCGGAGCGCTGTCATTATTTGTTAGCATGAATGTTGGAACCCTTCTGTAGAGTGCGACATACCTTCACAACGGCTTCTGTGCCGACCATGTGTGCTCTTGACCCGACCCCGACCGCCCGTCCGTGCTTGTCCTTCGCTTTCTCACAAGCGATTACAAGCTTGCCCAAATCGCTGAACTTGCTGGCTCCATCGGCATCCGCGAAGACAACGTACGTTCCTCTCGCATGCCTCATGCCATGTGTCACAGCACCTCCTTTGCCTCTGTTCTCCTCAAGCTGCACAACTCTTATAGTCCCTGGCTGAATGTTCGTCGGCCGCGTCGATGCTCCCCAAGGTCCCTTGTACGTTGGTGGTGGCTTGTTCAACTGGTGTGTCCTGGCAAAGTTCAATGCCACATTGACAGTCTTGTCGGTGGACCCGTCGCTCACGAGAATGATCTCCCAGCCTCGATGTGGATCGCCTTGCCTCCCACTTGCTTGTAATGACCCATTGCTGCTGCTCTTACTAGGAGTACCATGGTGTCCGTACTGCTCTTCCAGATACTCCACAGCCTCTTCCAGCATCCCATTCAGTCGCTTCTCTTCGTTGAACGCCGGCACGACCAGTGTCATGAACACCTCCGCATCCGTTACCTGGAATGATTCCTCTTGTGGTATCAACTTCTTTCGAGCCATCTCTTTGAGTGCAACGTGATTGTCGTACCAACATGGCAGGGGCTGAGGAGATGATATCTGGCCGTTGCTCGTTACGGTGATGAACTGCTTTTCTGACTGTTTGGGCGGTCGTGGTACGGGAGCGAAGAAGTACAGGAGGATGTAGAGCTATCGTTCGGCGGTCAGCCTGAGCTCTACGAAATATCTTGAGCACTTTGATTATGCGAGGTATCTGAGAGCGATATACCGAGACTAAAGTGCCAACAATGCCCACAAACCCCAGTACTAACCAAAAGAGCCACGGTGTGCTCGCGACTTGATCAATCCCATCCCACACCTGCTCGGGGATTGTGTCGGCGGAGTCCATGGTTGGCTTGAGCGAGGGTGTGGAGCGCGCCATGCGAAGTGTTATCTGTGAGGTCGGAGACGGTTGTGAGGCTTCTCCATCGAGTTCGTATGAGAAAGAGAGTGAACTGTGGTCAGAGTCGGTGGTGTCGGAGGTGCTGGAGATTTGGTTCCTGGGTGAGCTGCAATGCAGGGTCTCTGAATCGACAGGGGTCAGCTGAAGACAGCTGGCTTGTGACGACTGCACTTCACTTCACCTGAATTGCATCCCAATTCAACTTTCACGGGTGTCAGAATGGATTATCCCATCTGCGATTTGCTACAGGCATAGGCGATTCACAAGATTAAATTTGGGGCACCTGTGATATCGAATCGAAAGTTCACGCCCACTCAGAATGAGGTCGGTCTGTATGCGTCAACATTCACTCGCTCAAGCATGTGAGGGCACTGTGAGGGCACGTGAGCTGTGCATTTTACCGGGCTAAAGCTCGCTTGGCGGGGTTCAACATCCTCGCCAAATTCGACAGCCGCAGCGCATTACCACACTGCGCCGTGACAGTGCCATGCTGCGCCGATTGATTCAGGCCTTGCCTGCTAGGTTCGCCTTCCTGGCATCTTTGGCGCTGCCGTACGACCGCCGCCGGCACCTACCATTCTTCCAGCGAACACTCGAGTCGACGAGGAATTGTTTCCTGGATACGATCCGAAGGGCTTCTATCCCGTCCGCCTTGGCGATGTCTACAACCGACGATATGAGGTAGTTTCAAAACTGGGATTTGGGGTGAATGCCACCGTTTGGCTTGCCCGAGACACTACACAGTATTCGCGTACCATCCCTGCTTCATGTACAAATACTGACAACCTCCAGCTGGTTCTGGCAGCCCCACAAGTACGTTGCGCTCAAAGTCGGTATTGCGCATCGCGTGGCTGTGTCACCCGTTCGAAGAGAACTCGAGCTTAGCAAGCGCATTCAACAGAACGCCGAGGATGGATGTGCCACCCTCCTTCGCCCCACCCTCGATCACTTTCAACTCCGAGGAGAAGATGGATCTCGTCACGAATGCCTCATACACGAGCTGCTGCGCGAGTCTCTGTGGGAATTCCAGCACCGTTTCACTGAACGGAAGCTCCCTGTAGCGTTCCTCAAGGCTTACATTGTGCTGATGCTCAAGGCTCTGGACTTTCTTCACACAAAGTGCAACTACATACACGGAGGTGAGTTGAGTTTGCCATCTTTGTCTTCTGGTCTAATGAAGTGCAGATTTGAAAGACGAAAATTTCCTTGTAGCCTTCGAAGACCCATCCGTCATTCAAGAGTACATTGCAAACCTCTCAATAAAGCCACTGTCGCGGAAGAATGAGGGGGATCGCACAATTTACAAATCCAACCCCGATTTTGGACTCTTCAAATCTCTTCAAGTAGGTCCTCACCTCATCAACTTCGGCAAGGCTCAGCCAGGCGGCGATGATACTCTTAAGCGCCATCCAATGCAAGCTGCGGCGTATCGTGCTCCAGAGGTGCTGATGGGTATGCCTTGGTCGTACAGTCTCGACATCTGGAATCTCGGTGTCTTGGTGCGTATCCCAACTCGTGTATTAATATGTCAGCGCATTAACATCAAGCAGATTTGGAACATGATGGAAGATCGGGACCTGTTTCGAAGACCTTGTACAGAGGATGGGACGTATGATGCAAAGGCACACGTCGCACAGATGATTGCACTCCTCGGTCACCCACCTCCTGAATTCCTGGAGTTTGAGAAGAAGTGGAGGGACGTTCCATGGGTGCCCTGTCCTGATGCGACTGGCAAAATCTGTGTCTTGCCGGGAGAATTCTGGGGCGGTCCGTTCTTCGACGATGACGGTAGCTGATGTGTTTACTGTTTTTCGCAAAGGATATTCCGCTGACATTGCCGCAGGCCGCTTTCTGTACGACAACATGACCCCCCAAGACCTCAATCTCTCTGATACGGTACGGTCTCTCGACGAGGATGACAAAGCGTCATTCATGGACTTTGCGAGCCAGATCTTGAAGTGGGTTCCGGAGCAGCGAAAGACTGCTAAAGAATTGCTCGAGCATCCCTGGCTGGACTTGAAGGCCGAAGCACGCCGGGCTGAGAAGAGGCAGAACCATGAGTCTTGATGCGACAAATATGATGCCGAGTGGCAGTCGTTGAGACCTCCCGTGATCTCCTACATTCATATGGCCAAGCGTGTAGCATCGACCGTCGCATATGGGGTTTGCCTTACGACCTTTGGAGCAACTGTGAATGACATCTCGGAAGGCTTGATCGCCTCTGTTGAATTGGTGAATAAATCAGCAAACGCACAAGTTCGGCGACTATGCCACATGCAATGCTCTGTCACGACGTTCACGCATGCCTTAAGCTACCAGCCTTTCTGCTTTTAAGCACTTTCCAACACCTCAACACTAGGATAAGCCATAGCGAGAGACGACTGCAGCCTTCTACCAGAACCTCACAGCCATACAGCTATACAGCCATACAGCCCACGCACAACCGACAACGACACGTTCAACCATACCATCTACGATCACAAAGCGTCGCAACCATGAACCGTTTCCGACGTTTCTCGACATCTGTCGCGAAACTTTTGACATAGAGTCTGAAGGGCACGACTGTCAATGTCACTACCGACGTCATGTCTGCCACTGTAGGCATCAACCACTCACACAAGCATAAGGCCTTCCGAGACAAGTACAAGTTCGCTACAGTGGTGTTCGTATCAACTCGCCCCTTGCCAAGCCCCCATTCATTGTTAGAACAGCTTAATTATCATGATTCAATAGGGGCGATCCACACAAAACGGAGAAGGACGACGGTACGGAGGATCCACACCATATCACGCTCAACTTCAGCAAGACAGCCAATGGAAAGGGAGATACGGCGGCTGCTCACTACTACCCCGATATCCACACCATCAAGTTCTTCCGGGCCGACCTCGAAGACATCGTGTTGACCAAGGCTCAAATCGCTGAAGCCGAGGCCGAAGTTGCCGCGAACCCCATGGTGTTCGAGGACAGGAAGAAGGGCATTCCTGTGGTATGGCATGAGGGCGAGTGGGTTCGTGCTGCTTGAACCCTAGTGGAGATTCAGGGTGGGCTATGAGTTTCTGTATTTCTTGTTGTGTTCTTTCTTTTGTCTCTTATGTTACTCCTCTCTTTTCTTTCATGGGCGACGGAGTGGGAGATTGCATGCATGGTCAATGAAGCGTTATCGGCAAGCAGGGAGACCTACAACTACAATTGTTTCGAGTCGTACAGTGTCCATTTTCAATATACCCCATGCCTATACGAAGACAGCTCCTTTCCCAGCGTCTCAACAACTCGATGTGTCTCCGAATTACAAGGGTCACATCATCAACACAAGCTATACCGCAATGATCTTTGCACCGAACCTATGAGCAGAGACAAACAATTTGATTCTCGACGCAGTGCTTCAATGTGACTTGCATCTCCGATCCTGCATGGTAGACCAATCTCGTAACGTCCACGCAGCAGCGTAGTCACCTCCCATCTCCTCGAGAGACAAGGCGGCGAATTAGGAATGCTCGCCTCTCCGCAACAACCTTGAAAAGGAAAAGTACACAAACAAGATCATCAGGGACACAACCCCTCAACACTCTGAGCTCCAGATCAACACCCCATCACACAACGTACAACGTGAAGTCGCCCCTCCCAACGGAGCCTACTCCGCCTCCGATCCAGCACGACCATCACCTTCCTCGAACAGGACCTTGCGATCGACGAAAGCGTGGCGAGGCGAGGCGGCCGGCGGCGGCTGTCACATCAATCAATCAGACAATCAATCACCCCTGGGGAACCTCGTGATACATGGATGCCATTCCCATGCACCTGCACGCACAAAGTCCAAAAGAGAGAGAGAGAGGTTTTGTTTTTCTTTTGTCGACGTTAGCCGCGGTAAGCCTCAACTTTTATTATATGCAAGGCGAGTAGTAGGTAAGACTACTGCGACTATGATACTCTTGATGATGTGGACGAATGATGATGAGATCGGAGCAAGTTCTCTTTTCGATACCCATGACTCGTGAAATACACCTATTGCGTTCCTTTTGGGCAAGGTTTTTGGGTTTTCTCGCTGCTGTGTGGATACGGTACACGCTACCTGCTGACGAGCGTCTCGCTAACATACATGACACGACTCCCGGGGCTTTGCGCAATCGTCGTGTCGAGAGAGAGGGGTAGGGAAAGGGACGGTGTGACGGAGGCGTCAAACCTCACCTCTCACATCAGCAAGCAGGTAATCCCACACCCACGCCAGCGAGCCGCTCCAACCATATGTATTCCCCACCAGGAGTCAAAGATGTCGGTGGCTTTTTTGGAACGAGAGGAGTGAGGTGAGTTGACCTGCAGGCTGACCGTGTGGTGGGCAGCCCGCGCGAATCCGTCGTGGGAACTGAACCGTGAACTGTACCAAATCCTTCCGTGCTTGCCGTCCCGCGACTCCAGGTCTGTCTCGTGGGTGACTGACGATCCCCAAGAGTTTCATTCCTTCTCAGCTGCGACGATATGCAACGAATCGACCAAAGATTATGCTGCTGGGTAAGCATCTTTCTCGTCGCCCAATCAATGCGTCTGTCCACTTTGTGGTAGATGTACCTGCACCCGGAGATGCTCGCTGGGACGGTTTGTCGTTGTGGTTTATTGGTTGGTGAGCCTGTAGGTACGGCGTTGCTTGAGCGTGGTGTGTTTGCCTTTGGAGCATATCAAAGCGGTGTGACGTGCACTCCACAGAGTACCTGGAAAGGGCTTGGCGTCCCGCATACGTCTGCAGAGCTTCCACTTGGAACAGAGTGACTAGTCGGGATTGGTAACAAGGTCGCGTTGTCCGGCAGGCTTTTGTTGGCTGCATCTGAACGAAACGGGTTGCGGGTGCTCGTTTTGAGAGGAGAAGCACCGGGTTGCATGCCAAGGTAGGCAGCTCGGATATTTTTTTCCTGAGTTGTGAATTCGATATCACCATCCTTGCTGTGTGACAAAGTTCGATACCATTGCCCGAGTTCGACATCAAGACAGGCTGGTTGTATGTCGATGAGGCAGAGTCTACGGGTGTCTTCGGAGCCGTTGCGATGGCATAATGTCGGGATCTGAGGACGACACCAACAATGTTGGTTCGTCTTGCAATAGTGACAGGATGGCAGAGCCAGTGGTGGTCGTTCAAGGTCGTTTACTGATCGTGTAGTCGTCCAGTTTCCATCCGATGGCCTCTCATATTCCTCAAATTGACCTCGTTTCCATTCCTCCTCCGGTCCAGCGTGGTCACATCATCATTCACGAAGTCGATCCTGAAGAAGACGAGGCTGCGGGTGTCGAAGGCGTCGATCGAGGTGCTCGTCGTCGTGGTGGAGGTCGCCAGTAACATCCATCTTTAAAGGTAACATACCCATTGAGGTAGTCTTTGACGGCAGTTTCTCGTTCGACAGCAACCCAATACCACTCCTCAGCGATGGCTGCCTGTTCTTTCTCGGTGAAGCCCTTCTGGGATAGAATCGGATAGTACTGATGCTCGAATCTCGGAAAGACGTAGCCGCCCAGGTAGTTGAGGATGCACGGGAAGCAAAGGCATAACGGCTTGTCCATCACCGTCGCCGCATTCAACGGGGTCGATAGTGGTTGGAGGTGTCGATAGTGGTTTGGTTAATTAATGAGCAGAGCCAAGCCGAACTCTAACGAGGTATTAAAGCTAGAGAGCTCATTGAGGATGGAAGAAGGAAAGGCTCAGCTCGCGTGATGGCCGCCCAGGTGCAGCATTATATTGGCTGGCGGCGGCCGCCTTGCATTACATACCTGCAGGTGCTAGGATCGGCGACAGCAAGCAGCAGCAGAGAGAGAGGGAGCAGATCTCACTAGCCCAACATCGAGCTTTCGCATCTCGACAGGTATGCGTCCGAGAGGCGTGGCAGCAGCCAGCCCGTCCGTCGTTGCGAGATTAGGTTCGCCCGCGTGCCACCCTGTCTATGAGGTGTTTCGTTAGTAGCACATGCTCCTGCCGCTCGCACGCTCGGGGCGCTGGGCACGACAGGCCAAAGGGCCGATTCGCAGCGCAGAAGAAGCAAGGAGCGCAGGCTGATGCTGAGCAGACCCAGCACAGCGGAGTCTTCGTTAGCCTGCTCGACCGGACCGTGTCTCCTCTGCGGCCTCGCCCCTGGCCACCCGGGGCCAAGGAGCCAGCGAGCGAGCGGGTGCGTGGGTGCGTGTTCGTGTGCGCGAGACGACATCATCAGGACCCGTTCAGGCCCGCCACGTCCAGTCGAGCACGACGACGAGCAGTGAGAGCAGCGCTGCCTCTGCGTGGAGGAAGAGGGTCAAGGATGCATGCGAGGCGGCAAGTCTGGAGACCAACACAGCCAATCGAGGCTCGGCAGGCCCAGATGGCGACAACGGGCTGCGTCTCCCCAACCGCGTGAGCTGCAGCGTGGCCACGACCAGGTCTGCTCGCTTACACCGCGTCCAGGCAGGAACAGGCGTATCGGAAGCCTTGCCACCATCGCCGCGACCCCGTGCGAAGCGAGAAAGTGAATCTGCGGTCAGGTTCAAGGTGAGGCTGGCTTCGCGCGATCGTCGATAGCAGCAACGGCAGCTCGGCCTCGACCGCAACTCAAACGCGAGTCACGACAAATCAACCACGAAGAACCCTTTCACACTTGCACGCTTTTGACTTTGCACATGTCGTTGCGTGGCACTCTGCGCTCCTCATCCTCTAGCCCGCCAGCCCTGACACCATCGGCCAAGCTAGCCGCCAGCCGCATGAGATATAATAGTGTCTAACGATCGATGAGGTATGTTGCAGAGGGATATCGACGGCGACTGATTAATATGCTTTAATGACCCGCACGACTTGCTCAAGATGCCAATTGGGTCCCGCCGCCAACCCCCGGCTTGGGCAGCAGCCTGTGACCCATTCGACGCCGGCTACGCCATCAAACGCCGCTGCCGTGTATGTGTATATATGCCTTTTTCTGAGCCCAACAATGCCCCTGCCTGGACCTGGAGTGAAGATCACAACGCTCTCGATGCCTCCAAAGACGCAAATGTGCATGAACCACTGGAGTAGCGCATTCTACATGATGATCGCCGGGGCTGTGTGAAATGTTAGCGCCACGGAATGTACTGACGAAGACGACCAAACTTACTTTCGACGTTTGCCTTGATGCTCTTGTGTGGGAGCACAGAGGCTCCGTTGCAGTAGATCTCGTCGCCGATCGTCACGTCGTCACCAAGCACAGAGACGTTCTCGAGACGTGCCCAGCGGCCGACTGTGCTGTTCCAGCCTACAATTGTGCTCTTGATCCAAGCGTGCTCCTTGATCTTGCTGCCTGCAAGCAGGACACAGCGCTGCAGTCTGACACCATCCCCAACCACCACATTTGGTCCAATGGTGACGTTGGGTCCGATCTTGCAGTTCTGGCCAATCTTGGCTGAGGGGTCGATCATGACGTTGCCGCCATTGACGAAGGACTCGGTCGGTGGAGTAAGGAGCTTGCTGTTCTTCTTGGTGAGGGAGGAGAGGTAGAGGCAAGTGCCGCTGAGGAAGTCCTTTGGCTGACCGACATCCATCCAGTAGCCCTCGAGGTCGAAAGAGTGGAGCTCGCCGTCCTTGACCATGGCGGGGAAAGTCTCCTGCTCGATCGAGGTGGGGCGGAGCTCGATGCGGTTCAGAATCGAGGGGTTGAGGATGTACAGACCGGCGTTGATGCGGTTACCCACGAACTCGACGGGCTTCTCGACGAAGCGATCGATCCTGGACGGGTGGTCTGGCTTGTGCACGACGACACCGTACTTGGACGGCTCCTCGACCTTGGTGACGACGATGGTGCCCTCGTTACCGTGTTTCTTGTGGAACTCGGCGAGCTCCTTGAAGGGGTAGTCGCAGATGACATCCGAGTTCAGTACGAACAATGGTGAGTCGTCCTTGCCCAAAATGCGCTCCGCGAGCTTCAGTGGCCCCGCAGTGCCGAGGGGCTCAGTCTCGACCGAGTATTCAATGTTCACGCCATACTCTTGCTCGTACTTCTTCAGCGCGGCGGTCATCATCTCGGGGCGGTAGTTCACGGCGAGGACGATGTCTTTGACGCCGGCATTGGCGAGCGCCTCGATTTGGTGGAGGATCATGGGGCGGTTGCCAAACTCGACCAGGGGCTTGGGCAGGGTGAGGGTGAGAGGTCGCAGGCGAGTGCCAAACCCGCCGACGAGAATTAGAGCTGCGATCTGATCAGCATTTGGATTTGCGCATATGCGCCAGCCTGGTCTGCGTACCCTTCATGGTGATGTGTGGTGGTTGTGATTAAAGGGTGGTATCAGCTGCGCAGCAGGACCAGCTGCTCACGTGTGCAAGGCGGATGTTGTCGAGGTCGAAGAAGCGAGGGAGGACGAGTCTTGCGGTGGAGTACAAGACCGACGGCGACGGTGTTGCGAGCAGGCGACGATTGTGTGGTGGTGTGCAAAGAGTTCAGAGAGAGCAAGGAAGTCCTGCGTGTCGGTAGCGATAACTTTTCGAGGGTCGGCTTGGTCGGCCACCTTTCATCACGTACTCCGCCCGGGGTCGTCTGCAAGGGGCCACAAGCTCACCCCTCTCCACCAATCACTGCTCCACGGCCTTCCATATTTAAATAAGGGCCCCTTTTCTTGCGTGTTCAAATGCAACGTCTCGTCGACTTTGCCATTCACTGCTACCACACATCACATGATAATCACACGCTGACTGCTCACGCCATGCCATATGAATCCCGACGTCGCCATCACTGCGGCGAGGATGCAGTATAGCAGTTGCTGATTCAAGCGCCAGCATTGGTTTCCGCAACTCCTCTCGGATCGACGAAGATGTACATACCGAGGTTTGGATACGAGGTGGCGGCGTATCAAAACCCATGCTCCAACGAGAACGAGCAGGCACAAGATTTCTGCAAGGCGTCTCCCATTACCGTAGTCTTCGTACATCTGGACTAGAAGAACAGCTCGGGGTGTTGTCGAGTTGACAGACGCCAAGCATCCCTAAATCGACTCGACGACATGCCGAAACGTACGTCCACACGACACTTGGTCATCGATATCTCAGAGATACCCGCATGGACTCTTACGACCGCTGTCTCTAGGTATCATCGACATTGTCTCAACCGGGAGTGTAAGACCTGGCCTCGGTGCCATCGTCTCGAATCTACGAACTTCTCTCTGCAGCCTGCGACAAAATGAGACTTCTCATTCACTCGGTTCCCGTGACAAAGAGTTGAGAGACAGGTAACGCCAGTAACGCACTGCTCGTCTTTTCTTTTTTCCCATTCTTGAGCAACACACATCTACCTGCTTTCTTCTGTTCTGTCCTTCGAGTACTTCGTGAACTGCTAAAATGGGGGCCAGCAACTCAAAGACACAGTGCACGGGTGAGGAGCTCCAAATGGGGCATCCATCTGAGTATCAAACACCTGTACAGTACGGCCGAACAGAGCATGCGCCTGGTGCGAAGCTCGATGCCACAAATCAGAGCACGAAACGGCCACGCGATCAAGAAACTGGTGTGGAAAGGCCCAACAAGAAGTTGAAAGAATCTGACGCCAGCGACCGGGTTGAACATCACCCATTCACTGGAACTGCCCGAAGCCCTACGTTTCCCCCTCACAAGCAGCAGGTCCACGATCATCTCAAGGAGAACTCGCCAGCCATCTCGGCAAGTAGAGCAGAAGAGAGCCTAGAATCGTTCGACGATGTCATTCGCAATATTGCCAGGCCAGCCTGCGAGCCTAAGGCCCAGGAGTCTCCCCAACTATCAGGACTGGAACAAGCGCATGAGGCAGCTGACGACATGCCTCTCGCCAATGACCAAACGCTGCATGATGCAAGTATCTTGGGCTCCACGTCACCGAGTGTTGCAAGCCCAACTCCGGCGAAATCACCTACAACGAAAGGCTCGATCTCACCTTGTGCCTCGACCTCCGAGCTCTCACATCGGATGGACAGCCAGCTTTCTCAAGCATCGCAGGCAATACTGGAAGCCGCCGCAACCTCACAAGATCTCGAAGATGCAGTGCCGCCTGGCTGGAGAGGAGCGTCAGAGCAACGAATTTCACATACGCAACGAGAACAGAACCGGCAGCTGTTGCGGGATGCGATCCGAGAACTGCACGAGATCAAGGACTCTGAAATCTTCTCGAGCGAGAGTCTGGCGCGGTTGACAATGCCTCATCCAGGCCTCGCTGGTCAGACAGCTGTACAAACCCGAGGACCGCCTTTTGCAGACGATGTCTCTGAGGTGAACTTCGTGAGCGAGTTGAGAGATCCCTTGGGCGCGTTTCATAGTCCCCAGCGTACACGAGCAGCCTTCGGAGCGAGAGTGGAGGAAGTTGACGTTCGTCGACCAGCTACGTGTGCACGAGACACTGGCAATGATGGAGAGGCCCTTAATGAACATATACGTGGATGTCAGCGAAAGCTCGTTGGATACTGGAGAGGATGGGATCGCGGTGTTCTCTCGCGACAGGCGTTCGTCTAGAATGTCTCGCTCTACTTGATCTAATAGCGATGGTTGGGCAGACAACACCATGGCATCAATAGAATAATGAGCACAACCTGCCGGCCTCGCCATGTCTACGTTCGGCAAGAAATGCGAGCGAATGCTTCTCAATTATTATCAGACTTCGCGGCTTAACTCTCAAGCCTCATCGTCACGCCAAGTTCGCAAACGTGTTCGATGTGAAATGTGACTAAAAGGCATGAATCCAGAGCATTCAGGAACATTTTCGGAAGGTTCCGTCTGCATTATCATGTACTGCATAGGGCGGATGACCAGGTGTCTGAATGATCTGCTGTTTGAGATGGAAGTTTTGCGCGCGGAGCAATGCCGCGCGAATGGCTTCCGCTCTGAAGAAACATCTTACAGATAGATCGCACCTTCCCATCTCACAGAATCTTCCATTATCTTTACTCCAACATTTCAGGAAGACGAGGGACATCTCATCCAGTATGACGAACTCACAACCCACCACCAATGGCGACCACCCCAAATCCCCCCCCGACAACCGCACAATCCCACCCCTCGGCATGACCAGCCAACAATTCAAAGAATCCGCCAACTCCGTCATCGAAGAAATAGAAAACTACTACACAACCCTCCCCTCCCGCCCCGTCCTCCCCTCAATCGGACCAGGCTACCTAGCAAAACTCCTCCCAGACTCGCCACCGCAACAAGGCGAAGAATGGCACGCCATCGAAAAGGACATCGAAGCCAAAATCATGCCGGGCGTCACGCACTGGCAGCACCCCAAGTTCATGGCCTTCTTCTCCGCGTCGAGCACGTACCCGGGGATTCTGGGCGAGATGTGGAGCGCGGCGTTGACGGCGCCGGCGTTCAATTGGATTTGCTCGCCGGTGGTGACGGAGCTGGAGACGGTGGTGATGGATTGGATGGCGCAGATTCTGGCGTTGCCCGGGGTGTTTCATTCGCAGGGGAGTGGGGGAGGGGTGATTCAGGGGTCGGCGTCGGAGGCGATTGTGACGGTGATGATTGCGGCGCGGGAGCGGTTTGTGCGCAGGCAGGTGGCGAGGGAGGGGGTGACGGATCCCGAGGAGGTGGAGGAGAGGTCCTGTGAGTTGAGGTGTAAGTTGGTGGCGATGGCGTCGGATCAGGCGCATTCGTCGAGTCAGAAGGCGGCGAATATTGCTGGGACTAGGTTCAGGAGTATAGCGACGAGACATGAGGATGCGTATGCTCTGAAGGGCGCGGATCTTCGCAGGAAAATCGAGGAGTTGAAGTCGAAGGGCTTGCAGCCGTACTATCTGACCGTCAGCATTGGTGCAACAGGCACCTGTGCTGTCGACGACTTCGAATCTATTGCAGAAGTCGCCAAAGACTACCCGGACATCTGGATCCACGTAGACGCCGCATACGCCGGCGCCGCTCTGGTCCTCCCAGAATACCAACACCTCTCGAAACAAATCGAATTCGTCGACTCCTTCGACTTCAACATGCACAAATGGCTCCTGACCAACTTCGACGCCTCCTGTCTCTACGTCCGAAACCGACGAGACCTCACCGACGCCCTGAGCATCACGCCGACCTACCTCAAGAACCAATTCACCGACAGCGGCCTCGTAACAGACTACCGAGACTGGCAGATCCCCCTGGGACGCCGCTTCCGCGCCCTGAAAATCTGGTTCGTGATCCGCACATGGGGCGTCGAAGGCTTCCAGGAACACATCCGCCACCACATCAACCTGGGCAACCTCTTCGCGGATCTGGTGAGGTCGAGAAAAGACCTCTTCAGTATCCTCTCCCCGCCAATCTTCGCTCTCACAGTCCTCACCGTCAACCCGCAAACCTGGAAGAACCTCCAAATCGACCGTGCCAGCAGCGGAGCTGACCCCCGACCTGATCAGGACAGCCACGCGCTCGTCGACACAAAGACTAGCGATGAGGACTTGAAGGCGGCGAATGAGGTCACGAAGGAAGTGTATACGTTGATCGATGAGCGGAAGGAGTTCTTCCTCACGTCGTCGGTTGTGGGGGGCGTTTATGCCATTCGAGTCGTGTCTGCGAATCCTTTGGCCGAGGAGAAGCCTGTGAGGCAGGTGTTCGATGAGCTTGTGGCGACGACGGAGGAGGTGTTGGCGAAGCATAGGAAAGCTGGGGCCAAGTCGGCAGTTGGGACATAGATCTTACAGTGGACAGGAGAGACCTACGAGCTTTGGAAATAATAAACCTCCAGGGTATGAAGTATTAGGCATCACAGGCATCAAAACATCCCCATCCCACTGCTCAAATACCACAAAGATCTCAACCCTTCGTCGCCATCTCAACCATCTGCACGCCAGCCTTATCCTCGCTTCCCACCACACCCGGCTGCTGCATCCCCTCCTCCTTCTCAATCGCCTTGGCATACTCCCTCTCCTCCTCCTCCGTCGCGCCATAGTAATGCACAGCGACATCCTCCCCAAATTGCGCATTGATATCCTCCAGCGACCGGTTCATCGTCTCCGGGAAGAAGAAGTATATCACGGGGATGTACAGCGCCGTGGGGATGAGGAGGACTGGCACAGCACATCGAATCAGTCACCAACCCAACCCGCAAAACACAAGAGAAGAGAAAGGATCAAACCCACCAAGAAAAAACTTCCACCCAATCTTCTCCAGCGCAATCGGCCCGGCGACCCCAATCACCACCTGCGCGGCGAACTGATTGAACATGCCCACCGCCGTGCCCTGGCCCCTTATCGCCGTCGGCCAGATCTCCGCCATGTAGAGGTACTGCGTGGCGTCGAAGCAGGAGCTCCAGAAGACGATGAAGAGGAAGATGAAGAAGATGGCGGCTTGTTGGCCGGAGGTGTTGGTTGTGTTGGTGTAGAGGGCTTGGAGGAGGCATTCGAAGAAGAGCGAGATGGTGAGGCCGATGGTGCCGATGAGCATGAAGGTGCGGCGGCCTGAGGGGAGGGGAATGGGTTAGTGTTTGGTGCTGGGGACGGGGTGTTTTGGGGTTGGCTTACCCCATCGATCAACATACAGAGCCGTGAAGACATTCCCCGGGAACGAAAGCGTAATCCACAACGCCAGCAGCAACAGGGGCATATACCCACTAAGCCCCAGATCCGTAAAGATAATCACCGCATAGTTCGCAATGATGAGGACCCCCGTGAACATATTAAACCACATCATCGCCGCCGCGATGGCCGCCCGTCGGCGGTTGGGTGCCGTCTTGAAGACCTCGAAGCGCGAGATCTTGCCCTGCAGCGCGCGGTCCTGCTCGAGCTGGCGCTTCATCTGGTGGAATTCTTTGAGGGCTTGCGTGTGCTGCTCGTCGCCTTTGCGCGAGTGCAGGCGTTTGATGACGGCTGAGGCTTCGTCGAAGCGGTCTTTTTGCATGAGCCTGTGGTCGTGTCAATGGCTTGGATCGCGGCTTGGATGGATGGCTTACCATCGTGGACTGTAGGGCAGCCAGTATGACCCTGCAAGCAGCATCAACGCAGGCACAGCTTGGAAGGCAAGCGGAAACCTCCAGGGGAACGTCGAATCCGAGCCAGACGCAGAGATGAAGTACACCCCAAAGCCAATCCACGAAGACAACCCGTATCCCACCGCGAACATGATCCCATGCATACTCACCATGAATCCCCTCGTCTCAGGGGTACTCACTTCCGCCTGCCGCAGAAAACACCACACTCATCAGCTCAAACCCACCCATCCCTCAACGCTCTCAAGCAACGTACCTGATACATAGGAATACACGTAACCAACACCCCGATCCCAAACCCCGCAAACAGCCTCGCAAAGATAAACATGCCCACATTGACACTCGCCGCGCACAGCGCCGCCCCAACGCTCAGAATCGCCGCTCCGATCTGGATCGTATGTTTTCTGCTCAGGGCATTCGTGGACCAGGAATTGTAGAGGGCGCCGAGGGCCGCGCCGCCGCTGCTGACACCGTTGAAGGCCGCGATCAGGTTCGCGGTGCGTGAGTAGTCCGGCGTGCCTTGTGGGGCGAGGGCGAGGGAGGTGTAGAAGGAGGGTTGCCCGATTGTGGAGCCTAGGATGGCGAGGCCGTAGGAGCAGGCGGTTGAGCCGAGGGCGACGTAGATGACGACCTGGTGAGAGGTGAGTATTGAATGTATGCAGGGGGAGGCTCAAGAGGTAGGATTTTGTGGATGTTGCTGCAAGTCATACCAGCAGGTTGAACGCGTTGGGTATGTAGCGACCCATGGCGATGGGGTCAGTTGGAGATTGGAACGATATGTGAGACTTGAAGGTCAATATTCTAAGAACCTTAGTCCTTGGTCGTCAGAGATCTACTTCACCTATGTACAAGCATTGGCCGTCCCACGCCCTCGGGTGCGAAGGATCTTATTTAGAGGAGGTGCTTCCATAGCCGGAGCGGAGTCGCCAATCGACCTGACCACGACAAGGAATTTCCCAGACAGCTTTGGCGAGGACCTGGAGATAACTCCTCACTTGCTTGCTGCCACGTGAGTGGGGTGCAGATGTGGCGTTCTTGATGAACTTTATTGTATATGTTCTTTGCACATCGCCTGGTCATTCTCGCCTAAATCGCAAGAGATTCGTAGCTATAAGGGGCCGCGAGTCTGTGGGATGCACAGCACTGAGGTTGACCGACTGACAGGTCAGAGATGCAGGACAGTGACGCCTGATGCTACGAAGTCCAGGTACCTTGTAGCAGCCAGTTTCTGACTGCAGGAACTGACCAGCTCAGGCTGACATGCCCGTGTCGACTCGGCTTCGTTCGCGTTCGAAGTCACCGTTTGGAGTTGAATGGCAGCTCTTCTCAATTCTTCACCTTAAGCTGCTCTGCCGTTCCAAAGCATCATATTCATTGCTCGTGGTCGGTGTCCCTTCGGCTCCATCTTTCTTCTCCTCGTTGTTAACGAACAAGAACGATAGAACGACGATACAGGCGCCCAGCCAGTAAAATGGTCCTGCCGTCTGATTGTTCAGGATCATCTGTCCAATGAGCGAACATGGGATGGTGATGCTGAGTCCGACTGTGACCACAATGGGAGAGGTCAAGAGTACCGCGTAGGCCCAGGCAATGTCGCTCACCAGGCTCCCAATGGAATTGCAAAGAATGATTGCCGTTACAAAGCCGCTCGGTGGCAACTCGAATGTCTCGACACCAGTGACGTGAAGGATGATAAAGCCAGGCCACAGTATGAGCACGTTGATAATACCAACCAGTCCGAAGAAGACAGGCATCTCGACCCGCGATTCGTCCGGTATTCGTTTCTTCATGAACACGGCGTACAGGCCATACATGACGGCAGATAGGAACGCCAAACAATCACCAATGGCAATCTCGCGGATCGACTTCTCCGGGAAGTCACCTCGATGCTCGTCGTCACCTGTCTTGCCGGACAGGTCAATGGTCGATATAAGCACGATTCCAGCTAGGGACGCCAGCACCCCTAGACACTTGCGTAAAGTGAACTTCTCCACGCGGAATATGGCCCCAAATATAAGTGTGAAGACACTGCTAGTGCTCGTCAAGATGGTGGACGAAGCGACTGTGGTGTACTGCAGGCATGCAGCGACGAAGTAGTTGGCAAGGAACCAGAGCAGGCAGAACTCCAAGCTCAACATCGCGGTCTCCGAGATGGTGAGCGGTGCGCTCGTCGCCGTTGGCTCTGCAATAAGGCTGGCCTTTGCGGGTAGTTCCTGACTTCTTTCCATGGCATCCCCCAGTACAACATCGGGGAATGGCGATAATGAACGTCTTCTTGAACTGGTCAAGTTTGGACTGTCGTGGTAGCTGTGTTCATCCTCCTGCTTGAGTAGCGCATACTGACTGCTTATCCGTGAGAGGATCTCCTCTTTCCATCTCTTGATCTCCTCGGGGTTTCGGTATGCCTTGTTGATTATGATTGGAATCAGGGGAACGATAAAGAACGAGGTGTTGATGTAGGTCACCAGGTAGGGTTTGCTGTATGTGTCGTCGGCGAAGATTGTCTAAGTACAACATGTTAGCTGGCATTCCCTCCCATCATTTGACTTGAGTAGACATACGCTTGCGAGAAAGTTTGTGGCTGTCCACAGGAAGATGGTCACAGCGAGCAGCGTCAGTCCCACCACCCTCCTGAATTTGCCCAACCTGGCTGTGATGCTGTTTCCATTTTCTCCAGCCATACTGCCTGATGCTCCTCCAACAGAATCGCCAGTGTCAAATCGATCCGCCGCCGCCGCAGGGACAGCGGGCTCCAGACGTGACATTATGGCGGACGGGGGTAGGGGGTCCGTTCGGCGACCTGTTCAATTGCGACAAAAGCGGCCATGGGAGACGCGCCAGGCGACAGTGAGGGCGGTGATTGCGAGCGTGAGAGGGTGGAAAGCGAGCGAGGGACGTGATCAGGGCGTTATCATCTTCTTCGTCTATCTCCAACAAAACCATCCCTCTCTCTGACGATGATGGGAGATAGACGGCCGCCAAGCCTCCGGCAAAGGGTGACCGCTGGTCGTACAGTTTCCAATCGGCTGACCAACAAGCACTATCTCCCATCGACTCCTACAAGATTTCCATCTGACTGACACTCACAGTCATATTTCGCCCGCCTACCCACTGCGACCTGCAGTCAAGCAAACGACCAAGACATGCAAGCCTTCACATGAAGATTATGCGAGGCTCGGGAAACAGGTGGCCCCCAAAAACCGCGCGAGCTTCGCCTCTGCCACTGGATCATGTGGCGCACCTCTTCTTTACCTCACGTCTGCTTGGACAAAGGACGTTCTCGCCTGATCAGACGCCCAAACGAGGGAAATACTTGGAAGATTGCCTACCACTATGAGGTCAACGCAACGAGGACCCGGAATGCGTCCTGCACAAAATCTAGACGCGCCGATCGGCCCGACGCCTCTCAATGCAGACACTGGCTTACGACAACGTCGTCGCTGCACGGTGGGCGTGGCCAGCATGACAGCTGAAGCATGTACCTGCCTGTTGGAAGCTGTGAACCACCGGGGCGACCTCTCAGCCACTACATTGGATGCTACAGCCTCGCCTGAGACCAGATGTCCTCATCATGCCGGCCATCTTCAAAGGCCAGAGCCAAACCGGATCGGCCGCTAGCGAGACAAAGTGGCTAAGGTAATCAAGCTTTGCCTGCGCTGCGCCATCCTCCGGCTTTCGCGTGAGTGTTTGCGAGGAACTACTGTGGCAGCGGGATGGGCGCCTGACGTTATTGAGCCAAAGGGCCGCAGCTTCCTTCCGCAACACCTCCTCTTGTTATTTCTTTGCCATCCTTTGCCTCTCCCCGTTGCGTCTCTTCTTGTAGTTGTTTTCATTTGGGATTGCGAGAGCACCGTCTTGGGAAAGCATCTTCTTTCGTTACAGGGGTTACGACGTAACACCACGCGCCACGCGCCGGCCATGAGATCCCTGACCTTGACGCCCTTGCTACTGGCATCCGCTTGCGCCTTGCCTGAGATCCACATCGAAAAGCGAGACAAGCACAACAACGGGGCAACCAACTACTTCCGAAGAGCGATACCTGGTCGTCTAGATAAACGCCAAAGCACTGTCGAGACTAACATCTTCAATGTGCTGAGCTGGAGCTCGGGAGGCGCATACTACGCCAACAGTAAGTTGCGTACATCAACTCACATGTCAACAGACACTGATGCTCTACCCCAGTCACTGTTGGTACGCCTCCACAGCCTCAAACAGTCATCCTCGATACCGGGTCCTCCGATCTCTACTTCGATGCATCGAGCGCCCAAACCTGCCAGCTTCCAGAGGACAACCCTAATACTTGCAGAGGCGGTACCTACGATTCATCCAGCTCAAATACGTACAAAGAGGTATCAGCTGCTCCGGCCTTTAATACCAGCTTTGGAGATGGCTCGACCGCTGTTGGTCCGTACGGATCAGATGTCGTTGGCGTTGGAGATGTGCTGGTCCAGCCGGTACAGTTTGGTGTTGCGAATGAAGTGAACAGCACAACGGGATACTCAATAGGGTTGTTGGGTCTGGGATACTCAGCGAATGAGGCGGTGACTAGTATCGAGAACACCTACCAGAATCTGCCGGAGGTCTTGAAAGATGCTGGAATCATCAACAGCAGATTATACTCGATCTACCTCAATGACGAGCGTATGTGGTAGTCAATCGCTTTCTGGCTGGTACAGTACTGACAATCACTAGGTGCTACGTCTGGCAGCATCCTCTTCGGTGGCATTGACAAGTCCAAGTACACTGGCGAGCTGGCCACCATGAACTTGCTGCCGCCAGTTTACTCTGGCCAGGTTGATGGCCTAATCTACCAATTCATTACCACCATCACTGCTGCCAATGTTACTGCAAATGGCCAGACAACGAACCTCTGGGAGGGTGGATCCACCGACATCAACGCCTACTCAAGCGACGACACCGCTCTCCCCGTCCTGCTCGACACCGGAAGCACTGCTTTCCAGATCCCCCAGAGCTACTACGCCGAATACATCGCGCCAGCGTTCCCCTTCGTGAACAGCCAGGGCCTCTGTTCTTGCAAGTACGCCACATCCGACTACTACCTTTCGCTCGAATTCGGGAACAAAGTCAATATCCGCGTCGACGCCAGCGAATTCATCGTCGCATACGTCGACCCCGAAACGAGAAGGACACAGTCCGACTCCAACGGCGAAGTCTGCGTCTTCCTCATCCAGCCTGGACAACGGAGCTCTCGTGGCTTCTACATCGCCGGCGATGCTGTTCTTCGCAGCATATACGCTGTCTTCGATCTCGATAACGGTCAGGTCTCGATCGCCCAGGCCAAGGTCAACAACACCGACGCCCCTGACGTCGTAACCGTCGCGGCGGGTCCAACCGGTGTCGCCGCCGCCGTGTCGTCTGGCGTCGAAACCGCAGCACCCAACACCTGGTCCATCGCTCCCGAAGTCGCGACTTCCACCCTCTCGTACGCCGTCAGCACTGCTGGTAGCACCATCGGCACTGCAACTGGCAACGCCGCTGTCCCAACCATTGCCCAGGTCGAGGGAGCCGGTTCAGGCGGTTCAGGCGGTGGAAGCGGAGGCTCCAACACCGGCAGTGGGTCTTCATCGAGTTCTTCGGCTGCTGCTGCGGGCATTGTTCACGGCGCGGATTTTACGGGTTTTTGGATCACGAGCGTTTGGGTCGCTTGCATTGGGTTGGGCGCTGCTTTGATGATGTGAAAGAAAAAGGCTTGGATGGATGCATTTTGACGAACGACAGAATCTATAGATGTTACAGGATTATGAATAGGAAATAACACAGCATTTTCTTGGGGATAGCATGCATGGTGGATACATAGAGATGCATATGTATTGACAAGAATCTTTTACTTGGTCACTTTTGAGTGGCTTTGGTGGTTTTGATGATGTTGTGCTTGTTAGAGGGAGTAGGAAGCTTCTTCTCTCGTGGATATGGTACGTACGATCACATCGCATGCTCGGCACGTGCAAGACGAAGCATGGATGTGGATGGATGACCCTGCAGGTGTTCACCCAGCCAAGCACATTCGAACAGATCGACAGACAAAGACGATCCCACCACAACATTCTCACCATCCCCCTATCCCCCCATCCTCTCCCCCTCCAACCTCCCCTCCAAACTCCTCACCGCCCCATCCCTCGCCCCCTCACAATCCCAAAACGCAATAAAATCCCACCTCCCCACCACCTTCCCCCTCAACTTCTCCCCACTCAATCCAAACCCCGCATCCTGCCCCGTGGACAACATCCCCACCGCACGACTCGAGTCCACGATCGCCTGCGTGCGCGGCCGGCGGACCTCGTCGTAAACTTGCAGCGCGAGGCGCGCTTCGCGGGGGGTGTGGGTGGTGCCGAGGAGGGCGGAGAGGATCGGCGCGTCTTCGACGGCCATGCCGCCGCCGGAGCCTTGCCAGGGGGTGGTGCCGTGGGCGGCGTCGCCGGTTAGGGCGAGGGGGCCTCGGATGTAGGTGTGCGCGTGCGGGTGTTCCCAGAGGTGGAGGGGTTTGGGGGAGGGGGTGGAGTCGAGGAACTAGATTCTCATCATTAGTATCAGTGTTGACGAGGTTGATGGCGATGTTGAGACATCATGGAGGTCTTACGTCTACGACGGCTTTGTACAAATTCGGAGGCCAATTCCGAAACCTCTCTTTCTCCGCCTCCTTATCCACGCCCTTCGTCCGGTCGACTTCCGTAGCCCCCTCGAGAGTTGGGTCCATGGCACACGCGAGGAACTGCACCTTGCGCCCGTTGTCGGAAATCGTGTGCATCATGTACGTGCCATCGCCCCACCACATGTACTGCCCCAGATCGTCCTTGTCGATCAGATCCGGACCGATCGTGGCGCGGGCTTGCTCGTAGGGCAGCATCGTCCAGAGGTTATACCAGGGAGTCAACCTGGGCTTCGCGGCTGGGTCGTCCTCGCCGAGGATGTACCTGCGGACGTAGCTATGGATGCCATCGGCGCCAATGACGACGTTGGCGACCTTCGTACTCCCGTCAGCGAACGTCAAGGTCACGGGCCATTCATCCCCAGTGTGCTGCTCGATTCGGACCAGCTTCTTGTTGACATGCATCCTCTCAGGGGCGACGTCTTTCAGCAGTTCGCGCAAGAAATCGGCCCTCTGCGCGACTCTGACGATCCGGTCGCCTAGGCCGAAGTCGATCGAGTCAATCTCTTGCCCTGCATCTGGGCCTTCCCCCAGCATCCAGGTGTTTCGATTCTGCTTGACGGCACCCGCTCGTGTAAGGGCGTCTACGGCCGTGGGTCCGATGAGAGACAGTGCTTGGAATGCGTTCTTCGCGACGCCGACGGCGTAGCCGGCTTCTTTGAGGGTCGGGGCTGCTTCGTAGATGTGGGCGTCTAGGTGCTTGTGCTTGGTTAATGCGTGCATCAGGCAGGCCCCGGCTATGCCGCCTCCTATGATTGCCACACGGAGAGGCTGATCTTCCTGCATGTCTTGATTTGATAATCGGAATTGTCACTCGATGCGCTGTGGTTTTCTTGAAGAGGCGCTTTGCACAGCGGTGATGTCCCTACACCAAGCTGAGCCTTAAGCTTGTCCAACGTTTCGATGGATTGTTTGCAGTTGCAGTAAGATTCAGAGTATGATGTGGCCACTCGCGACTGTCCTGCCTCCATGCATAGCATTCTTCCAAACTTTTTCGAGCAGGTGATGAGTGGTCAAAAGAGCAATGACTTGAAATGGACGTAGGCGCTTAGACGATACGACATACTGCTTACACCGCATATGATGCTTTTTGAGGTTGATCTCGCCTTCGCCAGCTCGTTTGGACACGAGAGATGGAAGGTAAGCAGCAAGTGGTAGCCGCTGGCTTGGCGACGAATTCAGAGAACTCTGGTGTATCGCCCCAGTGGGAGCTGTCTTATACACCTGTCAAGCTGAGACCGACTCTGTGCTCGATAGGAAAGGATGTTGCCAAGAGTAAGACGCACTATGCTTTCCAGCGCTACTTGAGCCGCTGGAGTCAGCAGATCCTGGAGTGTATGTTGCCATAGCTGGTGCCAGAGCGGAGTACGGCGACCTCCTTCATGCTGAGAGTTGTTCAACGCCTCACCTCCTAGGACAGATACTGTGGCTCTTTTGTTCCTCATTTGCAGATGGCGACTGCTCTGCCCTTGGCCTAGAGACGCGAGGTGTATGATGTAACGCCCACGAGCGTGCAAGCTCTTTACTCTGGCCAGTTCGCTCATCTCCAGTCTTGGTACCGCCAGTGCTTCGAGACGGCTTGATCACTATACGACAAGTGTCTGGTGGCCTTGAGCGATAGCCTGAGGGGCGATGTTCGAACGGACGTGAGGCCGCAGGAGCGCGTTGGATGGTGGTGGCTGAGACGGCGAACGTCTGCACAGCTTGCGACGAGGCATCATGGACCGGAGCGGGCTACTGTGAGACTGGGTCGAATTCGTTCTCGCTAAGTGTCTTGCTCTCCAGATCGTGTCGTCTCCGTGGACAACGCCCAGAGCCAAGAGGACCGTGATGGCAGGCAGCACGTGGAAGCGAGAGGCTTGTTCCTCTCCCAAGAAGCGTCAAGCTTCTCCTGCAAGCTTCGAATGGCAGACCCGCCCTGTACCACACCTTCGCACTAACATCGATCTCCTTCATCGAACTGCATCTGGGCGCTGCGCCGCAAGCTGCATCTTCACAACGTGGGGACCCGGGAGCTGCAACACGTGGAAAATCGCGACGATACCACTCGTGTACCTCGCAGGATCGGTGACGTCGGAGGGATTTGCTGCAGCTCACGACCGTACACAAGCTTCCCGTTTGAGCTTCGCTGGACCACCGCCGGCCTCTTTGGATCGCTTGCGCGCTGCAGCGGGTGCGAGTTGTGTTGTTGGATCGATGCCACAGGATCGCGGCGGCCAGGCGAAGGAAGCCAGCGTCGTGTCTGCCGCCATCGCCGTTGAGGATGAGCTGCGTCAACGAGAGGCTGCGATGAGTACAAAGCTTCGAGCTTGGCCGGCCTGGGATCTTTTTGTTGCTGATCCCGCTGCTACTCCTCTGCAGAGACGTACCCCGCAGAGGGTGCTTTTGCTGGCTCAGATTGTTCTGTTTGGCATCATTGTGCTGCAGTTCGTCATGTACTACAAGACTTACTACCTCGCCGCAGCCGCGGCTGGCCTGGTGGATGCTGGCATGCTCAACAGGCAGGCCAGCTCTGCACAGAGCCATATCCCGGACTACTACCAGACTACGCCTGAGTTGGTGCCTGGTAGGTATAGATTGTTTGTTCATTGAGATCTAGGCTAAAGCTCCCTTACCAGGACCAACTCCAACCGGGCCGGCAGCGTTCCTTGCCCAGACCAACCCAGCACCCTTCTCGGGCACCGTGAGTGGCTTCACGTAGCCATTGAGAATGAACAAGAACTAAAGATAATCAGACGTACATCCCAAACAGCCCACTCGAGACTCAGGTCCCCATCCAGGGCAACTATGACAATGGCAACATCTTCCAGATGCACGGACAGCTCTCGCACTACTTCCCAAACCCCGAGGGATTTGGAATAGACGAGTACCATCTTCCACACAACGCCTCGATTGTGCAGCTGAACATGCTGTCTCGTCATGGGTCGCGTTATCCTACCACAGGCTCTGGTGCCCCAATGTTGGCTCAAAAGATCCACAACTACACCACTGGCGTTCTCGGCAACGTCCACTTCACTGGACCTCTTGAGTTTTTGAACTCTTGGACCTACAAGCTCGGTGCTGAGATTCTTGTCCCAGTCGGCAAGCAGGAGCTCTTCGACTCCGGGACTCTCCACCAGATCCAGTACGGCCATCTCTACCCGAACAACGGATCCAAGATTGTGGCTCGTTCCACCACCCAAGACCGTATGCTGAGGTCTGCCGAATACTTTCTAGCTGGATTCTTCGGTCTTGGCTGGACTGACAACGCTACGTTGGTATGTGGTGATTTCGAGGAAGAGCATGGCAGCGCATTGACAGTAGACAGGTCCTTGCCATTGAGAACACCACTGGCATCTGGAACAACACCCTGGCAGGTTACGACAACTGCAACAACTCCAACTCTTACGTCTCGCAGGGCGGGTGAGTCTTCATTTGCCGTAAGCAGTCAAATCAGCGGCTGACCTCTACCATAGCAACAACGCTACTCAGGAGTGGTACAACATCTACCTCGCAGATGCTGCAGCCCGCTTGAACTCGTACGGTCCAGCATTCAACTGGTCGACGAGCGATGCGTACAATGCTCAGTCTCTTTGTGCCTACGAGACTGTCGCTCTGGGTTACTCTGCCTTCTGCGGCCTCTTCACTTACGAGGAGTGGGAAGGGTGAGTAGCATTGCGCCAGGTCCAGAAGCCATCACTAATACGATTCTAGCTACGAGTATTCTGTTGACATCAACTTCGCGGGAAACAACATGTTCCAGTCTCCTACTGGCCGCGCAGTGGGCATTGGCTACGTCGTTGAAATCATGTCTCGTCTGCAGCACCACTTGATCACCACGCCAACTGCTCAGATCAACGTCACTCTTGACAACAACACCGCAACCTTCCCTCTGGACCAAGCCCTCAACTTCGACTTTTCCCACGACACCAACATCGGTATGTCATTCCATCCTCACAGTCACAGGCGAGAACCACAAAACTAACTCCCTCCCAGCCGCCATCCTCACAGCCTTCGGCCTCACCCAATTCGCCCCCCTCCTCCCCGCCGACCGCCTCCAACGCGACCGCTACCTCAAAGTCTCCCACATGGAACCCTTCGGCGCCCGCCTCGACATGGAAATCATCGAAACGCCCCAACCCCTCGACGGCAACCGCAAAGCCGGCGACACCTACACGACCGGGGGCCCCACCCGCTACATCCACTTCATCCTCAACCAACGCACCATCCCCCTCGGCGAGAGCTTCCCACAATGCGGCGCCCGCGACGACGGCTGGTGCGAACTCACCACGTTCTTCGAGGTCCAGTCGACGAAGCTCCAGGAGGCGCAGTACGAGTATAGCTGTTTCGGCAAGTATCCCACCGTGCCGTACGGGGGCATCACGAATGGTGTGCCCGTCACGAATTCTTCTTCGGGCACGACGCCCGCGCGGAGTTCGTGCTCGACGAATGGGGCCGTGGTTTGTCAGGGGGAGACGAAGTTTGGGCTTTGTAATTTTGGCGAGGTGGTGTTCCAGAGTGTCGCGGCGGGGACGAAGTGTGTTGGGGAGAATCCTGGGAGGATTGTCGCTGCGTAGGATGGTGGTGAGTGAGGTGTTGTGACACGATCGTTGATGATGTGATGTACATATGATAGAAAGGAAGAGAGTAATGATTGTGATATGATATGACAGCGAGACAAGTTCAATATTCTGACACGCTTGCTTTTGGTATCTAACATCGCTATGATACAACCAACCCCCTCTCAACCATCCACAACAGAACCCTCCTGCCCAATCCCAATCCCCCCAAGCCTTCCCTCCCACTCCCCCCTCAGCGCCTCCAACTCCCTCCAAACCCTCCGTCCCTCCTCCTCAAACCCCTCCCTCCCCTCCCCCGTCGTCTCCCTCCGTCCCCGATACCTCCCCACGGGCCCCGTCACACTCCCCGTCGGCACGACGCCCACCCGTCCACAAAACGCCCACCCCTCGACCTCCGTCCGCGCCACCCTCTCATCCCCATACACCCCCGTGGCCGACCCCCATTTCCCTTTGCCCTCCCGCTCCTCCAGCTCGGGCAGTTGCGACGCATGCGCGATGACCGCGAAGACGGCCGACACGGCGCCTTTGTAGGCTGAGACGAGGTGCCAGGGGGAGCCGAGCCAGCGAGCGATGTAGAAGGCGGCGAACATGAGGAGTTCGAGCAGGCGGGGGAGGCCCGCGATGGAGGTGCCGACGACGCCGGGGTGGGTGACGTACATTTTCGGTCGTTGTCGTTGTCCTTCTTGCTCGGGGAGGAAAGTGGATGTATAGGCCTGCGTCGAGGGCAATTCCGACGTGAGGACCAACAAATCCGTCAGGCGCTTCGAGCCTTCATACGCCATCTGCGCCTTCAAACCCTGGAGGTCTTCCGGACTGAACGTCTCCGGCAGGGCACTGATGCTCGAGATCCAGACGATCCGCGTCTCCGATCCCATGAGTGGACTCAGCCAGTGCGTGAGCAGATAATGCCCAAACACATTCGCCGTGAAGACCTGGCCCAGCTGCGGCTCGTCACTCGACCCCGTCTGTGCCTTCGTCACGAGTCCCTCGAGGGGGATGGGGTACGTCGGATACGTCGACGCGTGGATCAAGTCGGTGAGGATATGCCAGATGGCCTTGGGCCAGTTCAGGCCTTTCCACCCAGCAATCCCAGCGTTCCAAACCACCGCATCGATCTTCTGATTTCGTCGGAGGAGTTGCTCCGCGAGAGCTTTCACGCTCGTCAACTGCAGCAAGTCCACCAGCACGCCTTCGAGCTTCACCCGCGCCTCCAGCAGGAGACTAATCCCCATCGTCCTGCCATTCGCCTCTTGCAGCGTCTTCTGCAAGTGCTTCCTAAGCCGCCGCTGCGTGTCCTCGGATTTCCGCGCATCTCGGGTGGAGAAGAGTAAATGTAAAGTCTGGCTCTGCGGACGAGTGAAGAGGAACTCGTCGATCAAGCGACAGGATATCGCGAAGCCGAGACCACTGGAAGTAAATGTCAGCTCTGTTACTCGAGCAAGAGTTGCCACTCAGCAGTCGAACCGACTTCCCGAATTCGGCAACGCACTCACCTATTCGCCCCAGTCACGAGCACCGTAAACGTGACCTTATCCTTCTCCCCCTCCCCTTCAGCTGCACCCGCTCCTTGAGGCTGGACGTCCATTCTCCAGCCACAACAGCAGCAGGAATAATAAACCCCCAACCGAGGAATCACTCGCACCGCCCCAAAAACAAACAAGCCCCGACACACAATAATCCAAACGTCTCCAATCTCCCAGTACCCCTCCCTCCTTCTTCCTCTCGCTCGTTGTCTCTCGTATCCCAAACTCCCCGCGTGACACCCGATGGATGTTCAGGAGGTCACTCAAAGTCTTGGCAAACGAAGGAATCCCGCAGCAGGAACCCGACGGACGGCAAGTCTGGTTTCAATTTCCCCAGGAACAGAGTTTGAGACAAGCAACCGCGACCGTTCTGGTGCGGATATTTGATGATGATGGCGGCTGATGCTGATGGATTGTCGCAACGGTCGTCGGATGGGGTTGTTGCAAGAAATGGTGGGAGAAAGGGTACGTGTTTCGCCGCGAACACGCGTTGACCTAGTGCGAAAGGCAATCGCGCATCACGTGATTGTGGTTCGATGTGAGGAGGAAGCTGCGGACCCCTGTCTATCACTCTGACGACTTCCCGACGACGAAGAAGACATCATGGACGGATTCGCAGAAGAACAACAACAGAACATGTAAGAAGAGAACGAAAATGTTATCTGATCAATTCTTTCAACGAATGCATTTCCAGAGAGTCACGAGCACTTCGTAACTCTCTCCCCTACTAGATTTATGTAGTAGTTAGTTGTAGTAGTAGTGGCTAATAGTTCTCTCTATCCAAAAACAAAGCCAAAAAGCAACATGATGGGTATATGCTGAATTATTCTTTCGTTTCCTTCTCGCATTCTTTGAAATCCAGACTTGGTGGTGGTGGTTGGTCTTGCTGTTTCGCTTGCTGCTGTTGTTGTTGTTCGCTGTCTTGTATGATGTGGTATCGTCCATCGTGAAGTAGGGCGATAAGAAGAGTAAGCAAGCAATCAAAAGAACGAACGAGTGGCCAAAAAAAAAAAGACAAATGCTACGCTGGCGCTTTCTGATGATATCCCAAGAACCCGACGAATCCCGCACAGGCACACACGTCTCAGAACACCACTCTTTCAATCAGTCAAAAAACACAAAACACCATTGATCTTCGTTAGATCATTATTCCCATTTTTCCCCAGAAAAAACACAAAACCCCCCGGCTGCCCAAGAATGCGACTGACTTTGTGCATTGCAGCGGTGCTGTGGTGTCGACAAAGTATGGAACAAGAAGCGAAATGTATTGGTGGTATCGTAGTAGTGGCCGGGGTGGTTTACGGCTTCGTGAGTTGTTCCTTGCGGAAGAAGGTGAAGAACCCGACGCAGATGCCGAGTTGGAAGAGGAGGCCGATCCAGAACCAGGGCTGTGCGAGCCCTTCTGACCAACCGCCGGCGAAGTTGGGGAATGTCGGTCCCGGTCCTATCGAGTTGAGGCCGTCGGCTCGGGCGATGATGGTTGCGATGGCACCGATGCATTGGCCAGCCACTGTAAGAATGTTAGCTTGTGTTGAAGGGGGATGGGTGGTGTAACTTACTCAGCACGAACGAGCAATGGAACCGCACCATGGTCTGGAGCAGGATCATACCAAAGCCAATGCCTTGAACGGAATCCAAAACACCCAGCCACAGCCATAATGCTCGTCCAAGTACCGCTGATGCGACTGGCCCGCCAGCCCAAGGTAGGTATTGGCCGATGTTGGAAGTGGCCCACAGGATCTGGCACCATCTGGGGGCGCCGAGACCAATGGCGAAGATTGGAATGATCCAGCTGTGTGTCGTGGATAGGTGACCGAAGAACCAGAGGACGAGTGCCCAGACTGCCACGAAGAACAGCACGATGAGTAAGAAGATTGCCCAACCAGGCGCGGCCTTGGAGCTCCAAAGGTATGACCAATTGCGACCGTATGGTGCGGACAGGAATATGTTCTGGATGAAGACCGCAAGCAAGAACCAGACGATGATCTTCCTTCGGAAGATGGAAGAGTAAAAGTCAGGCACCGCACCAGGCTTCTGGCGGTAGAAGTCAGGCAGGCCGAAGAACAGCACCAGGCCGACTGCCCACAAGAAGAGAGAGATTGGAATACCAATTGCCGTCATCTTGCTGCCGAGCGAGGTGGCCTCTCCTTGGTTGTTCATGGCAGTAAGCTTGCTACCCCAGGCCCAAAGGCCGACGACATAGAGCTGCTGTGTGCCTTGGATGGCGCAAGCACGGAACGCCCAGTCCTTGACGGGTGCAGAACCCAGAGAACCGAAGTTTTGCGCGAAGAAAAGCGATCCAGATGACGAAGCGACGGCGTACATGGCCGTGGCCACGTTCTGCACCCATCCGCGAGCACTCTCTGTTTGTCCATAAGGTGCAAACGCCAGGAGCCAGAAAGCAAGCCCGTAAAAGATCCAAGGCATGCTCAAGACGTAGATGGAGGCCAGACGTCGGAAAAGGAACCACCAGATCAGAGTCGTTGCGAGGTAGATACAGGCGATAGCGTAGAGCTGGCCGGCAGTTTGACCAATCTGCCCACTGATGAGAGTGATCTGGTATGAGTTGGCTGCCAGAATCTGACCCAGCGCCAGGAGCAGTGAGTACACCGGCCAGTCACCGACCTTGTAAAGCATCAGGCGACGAATACCGGTGGGCGCCTTGTAGTTGGCAGGCAGCAAGAACTGGGCCAGCGACTCGTCAGTGTCGACACCTTCGTAGATCGATCCAGCTGGGGTTGCAAACTTGGATGCGGTTGGGCTGTTGGCGCGGCTCATCTTGGCCTCGTGCAGGCGGTGGAACCACTGCTTCTCAGACTTCTCAAGGTACTCTTCAATACAAAGCGCACTCTCTGAATTTTTGCCGTTGAGTGTGTCGAGCTTCTTCTCGAAAGTCTTGAAGTACAAGCCCGTAGGGTCAGTGAAGAACGGCGTGAGATCCTGTGGTTGATCCTTCTTCTCGTCCATGACCTTCTCGGTCGAAAGCGGTGTTTGAGGAATACTTGGTGCATCTTCTCGTACTGGGGTGTGTGGGCGCGCCAGGAAGGGGAACTGTTGGCCACTAGGAGTGTCAGCACCTCCGGGCGTCGAAGGTGAAGCCGAGAAGTATGGGTTGTGAGCTCGCTCAGGCGGACTTGGCTCGTTGTTGTTGTTGTTTCGCGTACCATCCCTCAGGCCATAGTTCATCTCGTTGATTGTGTTGCCCAATTGAGATCTGCGTTTAGACTCCTCAGCAGCTTGCGCGCTAATGTACTCCTCGTCCTCAATACTGCTCAGACGTCTTCTCTCGGCAGCCTGGTCTTCGACCGAGTTCCTTCTCGAGGTTTCCGGCCTTTGCGAGGATCCGCTTCGTGAAGAGCTGATGGTTTGAGGTGGTGAGTGTCCAGGCCCGTGGCGCATGCCGAGAGACAACGAGCCGTGGCGTGAGCCTGACGGGGTGGTGGTTCCCGATCGTGTGGGTGATGATGGACGTGTACCGGGACGGCTGCCGGTAGGCGTGGCCCAGCCGCTTCGAGGAGTCATCCAACCTGGAGTGTTCCAGCCGCTGGATGCACCGCTCTTATCATCGAGACCCATTCGTCGTGCGGAAATGCGTTCCATCTGTTTCTTGTGGATCTTGATCGAAGTGCCTTGCAGAATCTCGAGGTCTTCCTTCCATTGAGCCACAGGGAATCGCTGCTTGGCAGAACGAGCTCTCATGAGCGCACGAGTCTCGTAGTCGGACTTCAAAGCACCTGCGATGGCCATCTTGAATTGATGCATTTGATGCTTGGTGGTCGAAGACTCGATCGTGTACCACCAACCAGGCATTTGACCGAGACCACCAACACGAGATCCAACACCGAGAGCACCCTTTCTGCCGAATTCGACAGCGACCAGACCGAACGGCTCGTCTCTGCTAGGAATCAAAGCAAACTCAGCACCGCTGAAGATGAATGGTGGAAGTGCAGTGAATTCTGGTTTCGAGTAGACACGGCCGGGATACTTCTGCATCATCTTGTCAAGCTTCAAAGCAGCGAATTTTCCGTAAAGATCAATGGTTGGGCCGACGCAGAGGAGCTGGACGTGCTCAAATTGTTCCAGAACAGCAGGGAAGACATCGGCAATCAGGTCGATACCCTTTTGCATAGACCAGCGACCAACGAAGACGAACAGGTCGGCGTCCGCTCGCTGTTCCAGTCCAGCCCATTCTTGAGCCTGGCGCTTGAGGCCGGCACGCCCGCTTTCGAAGACCTGATCAACTTGGATATCATCGGGATTCGCCAGTTTCTTGTCCCATTCGGCCACATCTGAAGGGTCGGGATTTGGGAGAGCTCCAATCTTCTTCAGACCCCAGAAAATGGGGTATCGCGCCCATGAACGTTTGCCGTATTTCTTGGACACACCAACAGCACCGAAACCTTTCTGGTGGATGCGAAGGATACTGGCACCGGCGTGGAGTAGGTTGAAAACCTCACCGAATTGGACATAGCGTTCCACGACCTTGTGAGGCAGGTTGAAGACTGAGCAAATTTCCTCAACTTCTCGTGGGTTTCTCATGGGCCAGAGACCTTGGAATTCGGCGTTGTGGAGTGACAAGCAGCAAGGGATAGTGTCCGGGAGAAGGTACAAGGGAGCTACTGTGCCGTGGTAATCGTTGATGTGGTAGAGGTCGATGGGAAAACGACGCATTGCCTCAGCGATACACTGATTCCAAGCTGAATAGTAGATGGCGCTGTCCAAGTCGTCCATACGAGCCGGGTAGGGCTCCTTCGTGCTCTGTCTGCGGAAGACAGGGGCATCCAATAGCATGTAGGTGATGTTGTTGAGCTTGTGGTACTGGACTTGAACTTCATACGTGCGTCCGAGAATAGTGACATCGATGGGAAGGCCGGGTGTGTCCACAGGATATTCGACACCGCCAGCACAAGGGACGACCCAGATCAAGTCTTGGTGTTCCAAGTTCTTGCCCATGAGTTGCGCCATGACACCGAGACCACCGATCTTGACCTTGATGCTCCAATCAGAGATGTCGTATTCCATGGTTGCGATCAACACAGTGCGACGCTTCGATTCGATGGTGGCGCCAGCGCCAAATGTTCCTGGAATAACAGCATCTTGAGATGGCATGCTGGGAGGCAGTGGAGTGGCAAGTTCCTCGTCCTTCTCGTCGATCTTCTCGCGGTGGAAGACTTTGCTGACCGCACCGATTGGCAGGATAGATTTCTTCTCTGATAGACCGATCTTATTGAACTTGACGCCGTAGAAGAAGTGCATGTAGGCCCAGACGCCCAGTCCTGCGGTGATGACGGGGACTAAGCCAAGAAGGATCCAGAGTACGAGTTGTGTGTATCGGTTTCCAACTGGCACCAAGTAGTACCTGAAGTCGGCGTCATTGAACAGAATGCGCCATGCCAAGTAAGGGGCATCAGGTCCCTTGTTCGTGATGTTGACCACACACTGCTGTAGGGACACTGGAGAGATACGATCCAGTACTGTGTCGTTGTCCACATCACCCATTGCAAAGCTGACATCGGGTTCACCATTAGCGGCCATTCCCCAAACATTAAGCTGGAACTGGGTTGGCCACTCGTCCATGAAGTCGAACATCCAGGTACCGTTATCCAGCTGACTCATATCATTTGGAAGGCCGGAATCGAAACCATATTGGTTGAAGGATCCGTGAACGAAGAGATGCGGGAAACGTCGTGGCGGAACGTTGCTGCCCACCAAGTCGCCTTCCACGACGTGATCACTGCTGCCGGCAAGCTGAGACCAGTACTGCACTTGAACGTGGTCACCAGTCCATTTCTGGTAGTCACTTCCGCTCCAGGTTTGGGATGGCAGAGTTGCGTTGCCTGGAGTGTAGTCAAACCATTCAGACCAGATGGCGCCGAACGACATTGAAAATCGCCACTTGTCGGCACCAGGTGCTTTGTGGTTTATCATCAGGCCCGAAGAGGTGATGCTGGCATCACGCTTGGAAGAAGTGGCCTTGTAAAGAAGAGTCGTGCTAAAGTTGGCTGAAGTGGGGAACACAATGGGATTGTCCTCCTTGCCCAAACGGATCATGAAGTGGTCGTTGGAGTTGGTCGAGGCGTTGCCAGATGAAGCGGACACATTGTTGACATGGATCATGTGGACACCATCGTACATGTTGGAGAGCGTGGCACGGGCGCGCCAAATGGAAGGACTCGGTCCGTAGTAGTACGCCTCGAACTGGGGGTCGATGGTCAGGCATTCAATGCTGTCCTGGCTGATCTCACCTTGTCGGCCAGATTCGGTCGTGGAGTTCACTGTGATAGAATCCTTGAGGGATTGACAGTCCATCTCCGTGGAGAAACGGAACTCAATGTCCACGGTCGATGGCTGGGTTCCAGTGCTGTTGGAGAGGATACGAGCATCGTGACCGGGGGAGAATCCCGTGAGAACAGGCGAAGGTGCAATCCAGTTATCTTTCGGGACAAAAGCCTTCCATCCGTAGAGTGTCATGTTCAGCTTGGAAAGACAGCCGTTCGGCTTCGTGGACCCTTCAATGCCGAGCGTGACTGGCGATTCCTCAAGGTCCCACTCTTCGAACGGATAAAACATGTTCTTGACTGTGGTTCCAGCGTCAAATGGAGAGATGATTGCATCGTCACTTTGGCAATCGGAAGTGTAGGTCGTCGATCCGTTGTAATTCGAGTAGAGCAGCCAAATGGGCTGATTGCCAAACATGCCTTCGCCTTCAAAATCTTGAAGGGTCTCTACACGAGTTCTCACCACGCTCCAAAGTCCTGTCTCAGTTGGGACACCGTACGATCCAGGCAAAGTGTAGTTGAACGTCTGATTCGAAAGTTGCTGAACATTGAACCCATCGGTGAGAACAGGGTAGCGGTTACGCATCTCGAACATTTGCTTGAGCACAGTGTAGACTGGGTGCGTAGAATCGCGGTGATCCAAGCTGACGCCATCATCTTGACATCCAACGAGCGAGCTGTTAACCGGCCAGTTGTTCAAGTTTTGATTTCCGACCTTGTAGCAACCGTGCATTTGCCAGGCTTGGGCTGATGACATTGGCTGACGTCCGTAGATGTAGTTGGCCGCTGTGTTGTCGAGGACGTAGAAGGCTTGTTCTTCACCCCAGCTGACCATTGGGATACCTGGCATGAGCATCGTGATGACGAAGTCACCCAAAAGTTGCCTCTCAGTGCCGTTCGTCAAACCCGGCCATCGCAGAACGTCGTGGTTCGAGACACCATACATGTGGCGGGGGTCGAACTTGCCGGTGATGGCGTTGTTCATGTCGTTGGTTTGAACGAAAACCTCCCATTGATCTGCGAAATTGACCGGGGCGTCGTTCGAGGCGAGGAGGTTTCCGTCCAGACCAAGGAAACGCATCAGGGCGCGGTAGGTCGAGTAGTGGAAAGCACCGGCGTCCAAGGCTTGGTACCCATCGGCACGAATGTATTCAGAGTCGTTCGTGCTCATCGCTTCAGTGACGTTGTAGATCTGCATGCGTGGCTCCTTGCCTCGTCCGAGGTAGATCGATCCATCCGCGTTACCGTTGACAATTTCGCCGGGAATGAAAAAGTTGTTCTTGCCGACTTGTTGAGCACATTCTCGTTGGTACGCAGACCAGTTGCCTTGTGGGTCGACCGTGACTTGCATGGCCTTGTCAATACGAAAGCCGTCAATATCCAGACCCTGGATCATCATGCAAGAAAAGTGCTTGATTTTGTCCAAAACCTGCGGCCTCCATTCTCGAAGACGATCTTGAACACCGTTGAACTTCGACAACTGCTTTTGCCATTCGGGGTAGATACCAAATGCACCAACATCACCAAACTGATCGAACTCGCTGTCCATGCAGCCCTTCATCGAGGCGGTGTTGTTGTCGATGATCTGGCGACCTCCTTGGTCCCAGAAACGAGGGTATTCGTAGCTGCATTCATCTTCGAAGTTGTTGGTCTGGTAAAAGTCTCGGTACTTGAATCCTGAGATGTAGTTCATCTTGTGCTCGGTAAACGACCAATCAGCACTTGTGTTGTAGTATCCTTCGAAACCGAACTGGTTGGACATGGTCGCCATGGTGTTGTCCAGAATGACATACATTCCCTTGTCGTGGATGGCCTTGATAGCTGCTCGCCATTCTTGAATGTTGCCGAGATGGTGATCGAGAATGGTGTGGTCTTGGGGGCTGTAACCGTCGGCTTCCCAAGGCAAATTCAGCATGGCGCTTCCGACCAGATAAAGTCCGCGAATGCCGAGACCGTGGAGGTAATCGAGAGAGTCTTGCAGGCCTTTGATGTCGCCTCCATGTCGAAGTTGGGTTTGCTTGGGGTCTTGCTCCCAAGTCGTCCCATTAGCATTATCGTTCGTAGGGTCGCCATTAACAAATCGGTCGAGAAAGAAGCTGTAAAACGGAAACCTCCAATTTTCGGGACTCGGTTGATGTTGGAATCCAGCAGGCCAGTCTGGAATCGAATATTCGAGAGGAGTGGCGGCGTTCTTGTTGGCGTTCAAGTTCCACTCCTCCTCGACGGCATCATAGTAGGATGCGGATGAAAACGCTGCCAGCGAAGCGAGTGTGAGGAGACATGTGTGAAACATGTTGCAGCGAGCGAAGGTGTGCCGCGAGGGCGACTGGCGGGGTGAGATTGGCTCTACACAATACTCATGAAGGTCGTCAGGTCGTGAAACAGGCGTGGCAATCCTGGAATGTAGAGCTGCGGCGGTGGCGGACTGGCACACCGGTGGGGGAGGAGGGTGTGCGTGTAGGCGGTGGTGAGGTCGACAGGAAAGACAGACGGTGGTGAAGAACAGGCGAACGCGCCAGGTCGTGCGTAGAACGATGAGTTAAAGCAGGGAAGCAGCCAGGGTGGTGAAGGGCCGTGTGGGGCAGGCGTGCTGGCTAACAGTGGATGAACGGGCGAAGCGGCCAAAAGAGCGGCGAGCGACAAGGGAGGCGAGATTCCGAGGGGCGAGTCTGGCTGGATGAGGTCAATCAATCAATCAACCAGGAAGGGGACGAGCGAGGGTGTTTGACGGGGCCCGCAGCAAGCAAGGCACGCGGCGGTGGAGGTGCAATGGTCGAACAGGGCGGCGCTAGCACAGACAAGCTGATCGACGGCCAGAGACTCATCGCTCTCATCGCTGGCACGGTAGCAGGCGGTGGTAGCGTGCAGGCTCGTATGACGATATGACGCTGGCGCCCACAGAGCGTCTGGTTTGGGAAGCTCGGCAGCACCAGCCTTGCCGAAACGGAGGGCAGAGATGAAGAAGCGCACTGCCAGGAGCTGGCCGTTGATGCGGACCCGCCACCGCAGCAGCAGCACTGGCGACGACAACAACGGCCAGCAGCGCCCATCAGCAGCAACACGGCAACAGCTGCGATAGCGTGCGCCGTGCCTGGAATTAGACCCCTGAGGTGCGCTGCATGTTGCCGGCCGCTAGCCTAACGGTCGTGCTGCATCAGGAACGTATCCACCCTGAGTGTGTACCAAACCAAGTGTTTCATGCGCTTCACTCACTACTTTGCGATTCAGCTGCACAGACCGAAGATTCCGCGATCACGTCCGCCCGGCTGCTCGGTGCGCGCTGCTCGCAGGCCAGACGCCCTCAGCGCATTGCGTGCCTGCCTTCTGCCCACGCCGCTGGGTGTCGCTCCTTCCTCTTTCCATGCCACCGCCAGCGCGCGGCAGGCACATGGGCGGGCATGGGAAGGCGCCGGGCGCGGCGTCCCCTGCACATGGCTCCCAATCTACTCGACGAGATTAGAGCCGACTTTGCTATCTATCAGCAGCAGCAACAGTCGGCGGCGTCTTCGTGTCGTTGGGAGACGTGCGGTTCCACTGCGCGCGCGCTAAGGCAGACGGGCCCTGCCGCCGCCGATCGCTCCTGCTAGGTTTTCTAAAGGAGGCCTTCCCGAGACACCACGGCACGACGCGACTGGGGTGCCTTGCGCTGGGCGTGGGTTCCTGCATCTCGACTCACAAGCGAGCTGCGTGGATAGAGACGCCCGTCCACGCACACCGACTCCATTCTGCTGCTTCTCACCACATTCCGCCCGCCATGCAGTGCCTTGCGTCTGCCGAGCGCGCACTGCCGACGCCGCCCCGTCACGGTCTGCGCCTGCAGCAATGTCGCCTTGTCTGACAGATGCGATGCGTCGCGTCGCCTGTGTGCTATCTCGGGCGACCACACGGCCTCGCGCGCCACCACTCATCGATCAATCACCACCACGCTCCTGGCTCGCCGCGGTGGGTCCCAAGGCTCGTGGAGTCGCGGTGCTTTTGCGGGGCCGTGCGGTCCTGTTCGATCTGTCTGGTTTCAAGGTGACAACAAAACGGGTGCGGGTGATCCTAAGAAAAGCAACCCCCTTCGGCGCAGAGTTCACGACTGTACCAAATAGGTACCACTTGCCTCCGATCACTCCAGCCTCCTGGATCTGCAATAAGGCTTAACAATGTGTGCGGAAGCTAAAGCCCCATCCCACGAACTCAATCTTGCGCCGTCTTGCAGCATCTCCCGCGTTGCAAGACGCCGTGGCGCGCGTTTGTTTCGACGTCTGCTTTGACTGCCATGCCCACAAGCAGACGCACCGCCACCTTTTCTCCAGTTCTCCTTGCGTTGAGAGGAACTCCTGCTGCATCTCGATGAGCTCTGCCGATCTGCAGCAGATCCTGCAGTCCGCATCTCTGTCGGACATTCTCATCATCATGCTCTGCCATCCCACACAGCTGTGGAGAGCAGGCCCCATGTTTTATGATTGAGAACCGTCGTCCGAGGCCCGTTGACGGTCAATTCAACATCCAAAGCAGATGACTGTGACGAAGTTGGCAACGCTCTCTCGTTCTGCTCTGGCCTACCTATTGGCTTAACGCTTCAGACAACGTGCTCGTGTGCCGGCCTGCCGTCAACAGTCCTCCGTTTGCATACGTGCCTTCTTCCCACCCTGCCACTGTTGCACGACAGTACTACAGTGCATGCGCCGGCTGCCGTGAATTAAGGTGCGGCCACAATGACTCCCCAGTCACACTTTGGGGTTTGCCTGTCGTTACTGTGTTATTGTTTTGTTGTCTGGACTTCTGCAGCTAGCCTGGACGACTTTCGCGCGCGGACAGTATACCAGGTATTGACAGACCGATTCGCGCGTCCTGCTGGAGCGCCCAACTCGGACTGCGATGTCACAGGAGGGAAGTACTGTGGTGGGACATGGAAGGGCATCACACAAAATCTGGACTACATCCAAGGCATGAACTTTGATGCCATTTGGATATCACCCGTGGTTGAGCAACTCACCCAATCCACCATCGATGGCGAAGCGTATACCGCATATTGGGCACAAGATTTGTACGCCCTGGAGCCAAACTTCGGCACCGAAGATGACTTGAAAGATTTGGTTCAGGCTGTGCATGATCGTGGCATGTACATCATGTTGGATGTGGTGGTGAATCACATGGGATATGCTGGTGAAGGCTTGGATGTCGACTACAGCGTCTTCAATCCTTTCAACGACCAGAAGTACTTCCACCCCTACTGCGAGATCAACGACGACACGAACCAAACAAACGTTGAACAATGTTGGCTCGGTGACAATATTGTCGCTTTGGCCGATCTTCGAACGGAAGACGATGACGTTCGACAAATGTACGGCGAATGGATATCTGAGATGATCCGTAACTACACCTTTGATGGGCTGCGACTGGATACCGCCATCAATGTCGAGCCAGAATTCTTCGAAGGCTTCGTCAAAGCAGCGGGCGTGTTCGCTACTGGCGAGACGATGGATGGCGACAACAAATTTGTCTGTCAATGGGCCAACACCATTGGAAGTGTTCTCAACTACCCAATCTACTACCCACTGACTCGGGCGTTCTCCAACCCACAAGGCAATATCAACGATCTCGTCTCAACGATCTATACAATGAAGGATAATTGCTTCGACCCCACTGCATATGGTCTTTTCAGCGAAAACCACGACGTCGAACGATTCGCTTCGATTACTGAGGACATGTCGCTCGCAAAGAACATCATCACTTATACCATCATGGGCGACGGAATCCCCATCATCTATCAAGGCCAGGAACAGCACATGTCCGGTGGCACAAATCCCTACACCAACCGTGCTCCTCTCTGGGAAACCAAATACGATACTGACTCCGACTTGTACAAACATACTGCGACCTTGGTCCAAGCCCGCAAGCACATTGTCCAGTCCAGCGGGAACTACACGACCTACATAAGCGATGTGATCTATCAAGATTACCACACTTTTGCGATGCGCAAGGGCTTTGAGGGTGGGCAGGTCATTACAGTCCTAACCAACAACGGCGTCACTACCGACGACTTCGAAGTCTACGTCGAGGGTCACGACTACCAGCCTGGAACGCAACTTACGGAGATATTAACCTGTACCAATGTCACAGTCAATAGCACGGGATGTCTCACGGTTCCGATGGGTCAAGGGTTGCCCAAGGTCATCTACCCGACATTACAGTTGAACAATTCCGGACTCTGCGGCTGGCCAGCGCCGCCTCTATCGCCATCAAGCACCGCCGTCCCAACAGCACACCCAACAACCATCAATGGACAGACTACGATGATAGCAGCCGACCCCACTGGTGGTAGTTCCGCAACCGGATTGCGCCCAGAGAATACCAAGCTCGCACTCGGACCTGCTGGCCGGCAACAAACCCCCATCACGACGCCACTGCTTGTCGCTGCACTATCGATTATCATATCTGCATCATCGGCGTGTCTGTTCTGGAGGTAGAATGCCGGCCGTTCTGGACCACGTGGGCGTTGTCTATCAGCGATATCTCTAATCACGACACGGTCGATAAAATCAGCAAAGATACCCTTGTTTAGCACCTGGAGAGAATTTGGGAGGAATCGGATGCCTGCATGTTGGCGACGGGAAGATAGAGAGTGTTGCATGACAACCCGGCGTTTTTGCGTTTTTGCGTACCATTCGTGTTTTGCTCGCAGCATGCATAGCGACGGTTTTGGAAAGACAGATAGTACGTATCGATCGTTTGATCAAAATATGACGTTGATGAAGAGAAAGTACCCAGAAAAATTTCGCTCACCTTCATTCAATCAATCAACTCGCGACTCATGCGTGTTTCGAATCTCCGCCACGCCACACCTTCATCTCTTCATCTGTGGCTCATCACACGCTATCTTTCCCAACGGCATCACCATCCCAGTCCTCCAAACCAGCATCGCCCTTGCAACGAACTTGAGCCTCAACAAGGATCCATCGGCACCTAGCAAGAAGGCGTGCTTCGGAACTTTTCGACCAAGCACAGACTACATCGCCTAAATCTTTGCCGCCCGAAGAAAAAAATCCTCGCCACGTTCTTCTTTTCGCGAAGCGCTTTCGTTCAGGATCTCCTTTCCTTCCCTATCTCGCATCTATATCCTGGACAAGCGCCCGTGTTGTCCTTGTCTAGTCCGGCAGGCAGGCAGGCGGAGTCGTTCGTGTTTGTGATAAACAAAGCATACAGGTGGATGTGGATTCCGTGGGTCTCATCGGGACTCCCCTTCTCACTCTCCGTGAGAGGAGTCTTGTCGCACTATGTTGTACAGCGCCGTTGGGCTGCGGTGCGCGGGAGTTGAGAGCGGGAGGGTCGAAGTCGCTTCTGGACAGGACGCACGAAGATGCGAGTCAACTTGCAGAGTGGAAGAGATGAGGTCAAGTGTACCGCTCTGATCTTCGCCGTGTTGGGCAGTTGTGGCTGACTTCCAGTCTGCTCTGTACTTGGATTGAAAGCTTTCCAATTGTTCTGCGAAAGATCTACGACTACGACTAGTTCTGTCCGTCTAGACTTACTCGCTTGACCTGTGTGAGTATGGTCAGCATACTGCTGGACCGAACTTTCGCACAGAGCCTATCGCGACGACATCCATCAGAGCACCCTTTCGACGTCACAAGCGTGTGAGCATTCCTCTGTTTCTCATATTCCAGATGCTCGCTACGTACTCTCGCCATGGGACGGCACACATTCTTTTCGTCTCAGACTCACGAACTAGCCGTCATCCAGCATCACGCCGCTCCAGTCTTCTTATCAGCACAACCAAAGCAATTTTCCCCGACGTAACTCACACCAAACCAGTGTCGCAGATATACCATCTACCCGGCCAGACCATCGTCGTCCCAAACAAACGAGAGAATTCGTGGGATCTGCCGAAGTTCTCCAGCGGTTGACGGCTAAGCCTAGATGTTTTGCACGGATCTTTGATAGGATTTTCTGAAACTCGGGCTTTTTTGGAGGGATCCACTGTTCGGGCGTTGAATCGTTTGGTCGGACCGTGTTGACCGTGGACATGCACGACATGGAAGAGAAGGTGAGGCCGGTGTTGGAGGCTTCGGATGTCGGCATTGATGAGATGCTGAGGAGGTGGTCTTGTGTTGAACAGGATGTGTAAGTTGGGTGAGATGTTCTTGCAGTTGGTGAAAGGCGAATAATATCCACTCCAACGCCTTCGTTGCGGTGCTGATAGGATACTGCAGACGCCTGACAGGTCAACAACTCCAGATTCGAGCCAGAGTCCCATAGCCCATCCCAACGATCCTCTCAACACCTCACCTCACCCCACCTCACCAACCCTCTCATCACCTCCCCCCAAACAACTCCCTCCAACCCCCACAGCACCCTCCATTCCCGTCCCACCCCAAAAACAAAAACCGCGGCCCCATATCTCTCCCTCTCAACGCAGTGTCACATGGCTCCACTGACAGTTCATGCAAGGTCATGTGTAGCCTGACAACGGCACGACGTACTGCAAGGCAACGTCGACTTGCTTTCGACGTCACACTGATCGACTGGCAGGGCATTTGACAGGTGTAACGCATTTCTGCAATCCTTTGGAGCTGTGATGCGAGGGGGAACGGGGAGGGGGGAAAGCTTGATTTGACTTCTTTCTGAGCGGGTTGTGAGATGTGAGATGGAGGTGGGTTGGGTGGTTCTTGCCTGAGGGGGACACTGATTGCAAAGGAATTGAGGGTCACCAAGACGATATCTGTTTCCCTTCACGATATGTGAGTGTGAGGATCTTGCTGCAGCGTTGCTTGATGCCCCGTCATACCGCCGTTCGATGGGCTGCCCCTTTCTGGATCTTCTTGGGCAAGTAGTTTCGTATGCTCGCCGGTTTCTTTAGAAACACCTTGTGGGCGAACAGTCATGCTCTGAACGACTTGTTGGCCGTGATCGATAGACTACAGATGGGTACCGCACGAAGTAGCCATGACCACCTTTTCATGTCGCCTTCTGTGACGGATTAATATCAACAGTCACTTTCGCCCCTTGATCACACTCATACAGCCTCTGCGCTGGAACCACTGTAAAGATCTGACAACAACATTGATGGAAAGGGCCAGCTCTAATGTCACTCATCTGCCTTACCTTCTCGCTTCTCCCTGTATATTAGCATCATGTGCTAACGCCGTTCCGAGTGGCTTGCCACGGAGACGTGAGCTTTTCAGCCTTTGCCTGATCATGAGACCAATACAAAGTCGATGTCGAAGCCCACGAGAACGTCCCAAAGATCCGTACAGTGTTTCTGGAAGAATTGCCAAGTTTCAATGCACTGGGCGGTTCCCAATCCTGCGTTTCGCAGTCGAGATGCAGTTTTGTACCAACTGGGCGTCGAGGTCTTCTTGAATAGGTCGAAGGTGAATGTATAAGACACCAAATCCTATGCAGTGGATCTTCCTTGATCATATTCAACTCAGCTCTTTCTGCCCTCATCTGTTTCAATTCCACAGCAAACAGCCAGTAAACATGAAGTCGATCACTCTCGCCATCCCTTTTGCCATCGCTGCGCTGGTGCACGCCAGCAGCCTCGAGCCTATGAGCAATATCCTGATAGAACAAAGCGAGCCATGCCTTGCCATCACGCAGTCCGAGGCAGAGTCCTTCATCCAAAAGTTCGCCACCACAATCGACCACACAGGAGACTGGGAAGCCAGTGCGAAAAAGATCCTCGCCAAGGACTTCGTCTTCGCTTCCAACCCTTACATTTCCCGAAACCATTTGCCAGTCAGTGTCATCAAAGTAGCAAACGATAAAGATATTGCATGCTCATTCGACTCAGGTCGTCAAAGGTCCCTCCTACGGCATCGCAGCGTCCGACCGCAAGACCTACATCGAACAGTTGGCAGCCCTTACCGTTTCCGACCTGACGACCGACGACGTCCTCGTCACGGATTGCGGCAAGGTGATCTGGAGAGCTAATGTGGGTAGCGGAGGTCCTGTAGAATATCCCTCCAAGATCGTTGGGATTCTGACGTTGGAGCGGGAGAAGAAGAAAAAGGGGGTCGAAGGGGCGCTCGTTGCGACTAGGTGGGAGTGTGAGTTTGATAGTGTTGGTTGGAGTATTGGGCTGGGGTTGGATTGTGATACTTGTGTTGGACCTCCTGCTCCTGGGGGTTATGTGTGAGTCCTGGAAGATGTGCGTTGAATGGTCGTGACTGACGTGGTTGAGCAAAGTTTTGCATAGCTTTGCTAGGACATTTTGAAAGCAAACACCGCCGGGCTGCTTCAGGAGACTGGCAATGCTTACGGCCGGTCTGGACTTAGGTCGAGACAGTTCCTACTCTTTCTCAACAAGCTATCTCTAAGACGAGATGACTATGTTCGCTCGGGCCTAGTCTTCGATGTCCCATTCGATGTTACCGAGCCCGTGAAGAATGAGTTGTTGTCGATATTATTGAGCGAAACGTCTCAATAATGTATATTTCTGTTAGGTGATGACTACAGCCCGTTTCAAGGCGAGGACTTGCATGCTCATTAAATGGGTCGAGCAACCACACGCTCCCTGCTCTTCATTCTTGGCCTGATTTCGCAACCATCGACGACTCATTCCTGCAATGCCATGTCCGGGTGACTCCCGAAGATGCAAGCCTTGCCGTCGATGCTCATTAAGTGTGTTCATCTGAGTAGCACACGCTTCAGCCCGGTAGACCAGACTAGGAGGCTCAATGAGAGAGTTGGGGAAAGGCGCCAAGTGGTAGTGTACCACCGTGACACTGAAAACGCAGCTCTCAAGCAATTGATATATCATGTTCTAGCTGAGGTGTCACATTGACGGTGATGGTTACGCAGAACACTTTCGAGGATGGGGCAACGAAGGTATAAAGAGTTCGTGCTTGGAGACGGATCTTACCTCTTGGATCATCCATTCTCACATCGAGACGCAACACCAGTCAACGCTCCAGTCCCCGCCGTTATGAAGCTTTTGAGCATCGTTGCGACCTTTCCATTGATCACGTTAGCGTTTGCCGGCCACGAAAACGCCATGGACGTCTACAGGCGCAATCAGTCATCGATCAGCATCACTGATGCCGAAGCGGCCTCCTTCGTCGCCGACTTCGCCACCCTCTTCGAACATCCCGAAGGCTGGAAGAAGACTGCTGATCAAATACTGTCCAAATATATCGTTTTCGCTTCGAATTCTTTCCTCACGAGACGTCTGACACTGGTAAGTCAGACGGTTGCAGGGGCTGCTGGAAGCTTCACCCTCTCAAGTTTTCCTCGATTGATGGCCATTTGACTGAACCTCCTTCGCAGCTCGAAGGGGGGAACTCCACCGGCATCGTCGCACAAGATCGCGAGGCAGTCATCGACATCCTGGACTCGCTTAGCGTTTCCAACATAAGCACAGACGACATTTTAACCACTACTTGCGGCAAGATCATCTGGAGAGCGAACTTTGGAGCCGTGGGCCCAGTGAACTATCCTGTAAAGCTGATGTTCATCTTGACGCTGAAGAGAGCGAATGAGAAGAGGGGAGATCAGAGTACTTGCAGACTTGTGGCCACCAAAGTCGAAAACGAGTATGATTCGATGGGGTGGAGTATAGGGGCTGGACTTGATTGTGGTTCGTGTGCAGTGTCGGGAGCCCCTGAGCATTACGCATGAGGATTTGTTGGCGACAGTGGACGTCGTTAGAGAGGGCTGAAGTGCGATCGCATATTCTAGATTGTTGTCACTCATTTGAAATTGATTCTCTTGCAATTCGAGGATACGAGCATTTGAGTTGTTGACATACCTCATCGAAAATCTTCAGGCATGGGGAGGCAATGAAGAGCCTGTCGTGTGGCATGCGCCTGTGTGAAGAGAGAGCCTTTGAGATCGTTGTGCCTGCCGCACATTATGTTCGTCCACGGCAGGCGCATTGACGGGGAACCTCGTATCTGAACGTCCAGCGGAAGCGGCAAGGTTGAAGCATTGAACATGGCAGTCCAAACGATTGAAACGATGCCAACGAGCCTTCCTCAAACACCGTCTTGGGCGTGGTCCTTCTTCATGCGCACCGCCAACTCAAGACCTCCAAACACATCTCCACCTCTGCATCTTACGATGCTGCATGATCACTTTGAGTCCATTGGACGATATTGCACGATTGGAGACTCACTTGTTCCATCAAACATGCTTTCGAGGTCGAGCAGCAACGCAGGCGATCGATTGCGGCGAGCCAAGTCAACATCGTCTGCCCACACCTCCTCGTCAGGTCACCAGCGCCAGACCACTTGTATCGACCCGTTCACATCCCGTCACCAAGCTGAAGCAGCTGCCATCGAAGCATACGAAAGAGCACGACAGACCGATGAACCGGCCCAACGTCCACGGCCACAACGTCGCCGAAGCCAAAGAACCGGCAAGTCCGAAGGCGGCCATTTCGAAGATGCGAGGAAGAGAGCCCTGGCTCGTTCATCAGACGATGCGTCCAGAGCAAGACAGTCGCAAGTCCAGCAGGCGGCTGCCTCACGGCCGAGTACAGCTGCGTCTGGTGAAGAGCGTGTGATTACACGCAGGAGATCGGTAATACCACCGTTGACAGACGCGGGACGGACACAGGTCGATGAGCGATCTTCGATCTCGACTTCAGATAATCGTGGTCGACGACGACAATCCACTCTTGGTGATGGAAGCCCAGCACCGCGCTACTCGTTGACCGTCCAGGAGCAAGAGCCTACCTTACAACTGCCTGGCATGCCCAGTGCTCGTCCAGATGATCATAACAGCAAACTGTCCGGTATCGCTGAGTTCATCTCAACTCCAGGGTCCAGAACGCAGACACCGAGACATTCGAGACCTTCGACACGTGAAGCAACACAGTTCAGTGAGGAGGCTCTGGACCAGGCCCGTGACCGGTGTCTTCAAGATTTCCAAACCAAGAGAGTTCGGGAGAGGAAGTCTTTCATCCTGGCCCCTTTCCAGAAGCGACGTACGCACAAAGTCGGCGGCAACTTCGACAACTCCTTGCCACCTTTCAATTACGCAGAGAGTAACGACGCAGCACCACTTCCGCAGAACACAGTGGCACCTCCGCTTGCTGTCAAGACGGAACAGAAGGCAAGGAACCTCTCAGATACGCTGAAGGGGCGCCTGAAGAAGGTATTTCGAAAGACGTCCAAACAAGTAACAGGAGTTCCACCTCAACATGTTGAGGCCCCAGAATTCCACTTTACTGTTCGGGATACGGACCTGAGCGAAGCAGACGACACCTTTGTGGACTACGCTGACCCATTCATGACCGTCGCTGCCGAGGATCCCAGGCCGCAAAAAGAGGCCAGGTTTGACAGTACCAAGACCACCTCATCCAGCGGCGACAATAACACGATAAAGTCGCGGGTCACAAGCTGGACCAACTCCACGGTAGCTGGCATGTCGACTATTCGCACCAACAATGGCCCGTTTACAACAGCTGGCGATGCTGGTGATTCGAAGCCAAGCGACAGCTTGAGGACACTGAGGAAAGCAAGCTCATTCTGGGGCTGTCCTATCCAGAATAAACTCCGTCGGACAAGCAAGAATGATCTCAAGGGCTCTGAGGAGAGCCAAGGGTTGTATGATGCTCTTCAAAAGCGTATCAGGCCGTCAAGGTCGATGGAGCCTCCGGGAGAGACCACGTTCGCAGGATTTCAAGAGGCACCTCCATCTCGTAAGTCGTCGGCTCTCGCAACCTTGCCGTCGCAACGAGACTACAGTTCGTCACAAGCAAGCAGAGCATCATATACAATCCGCTCCGTGACTCCGCAAGACCCAGCAGCGCAAACAGTCAACGTGCCATCTCCAGTGAAGGAAAACTTGAGCCCAGAGGTGGACGCTGACTTGGATGACACCGTCATAACTTACCCAATCCATGACGACTCAAAGAATAGCACGCCTCAAAGCGACCTCAAGCGTCGGCCAGCCGTTAAAGCTCAACCACCTTCGCAGGAGCAGCTATCCAAGAGGCTCGAACGGTTTCAGAATCGTTGGAAATCTCCTCTTGATGAGCTGTCTGCCCAAGGATCCCGTCCGACAAAGACTTCGATGATGGAAGACAACCCATATGAACTGCGCTCACTCAGACAGGCTATCCGACAGACAACACCGGGCACCGATCTGCCGCATCACACCCGAGTCCTGGATGAAAGTCACGCAGTTCGAGCAGATGCGCTCTCCCCAAGTGTATATTCCCGTGCAACAGATGGAGCATCGCCACGGCGGTTGACACCAGAAGACCTCGGTATGACCACCATCACGGTCACTGGACGCGAAGTCAGGCGGTACGACATCTCGCCTCCAAAGCCTGCACAAGCTGGGAAAAGGCAAGCGAGCAGAGAATGGCGAAGGTGGCTATCGGATGAGATGAGCAATCTCGGTGGTGGAAAGAATGAGCTTGACCTGGTCGCAGAAGCCAATGTTCGCCCCGTCGCTGTCGCGCAAGAGTCGTACCACACTGCAGCTGCTCGGCCACGCTCCAACACCGCAAGTCCTGAATGCTTGTCGAGACCGGGCTCAGTATCCCCAGCCATGTAGGAAGGGCCAGGGGAGGTCAGAGTGCCTCGCTCTCGCGCAGGGAGCAATGCGTCCAGCTACATGAATGAGAGATATCCAAACATCCAAAATAGCCGGCAGTCCAGCCGCCGGAGTGTTGCCACCGCTCGAAGGACGTCTCGGCCGGGTAGAGCAGACCCTCAAAATTCTCTTCAATCTAGGGCAGGCAGCCGGAAACCAAGTACAGAGACCCTTCCTCAAACATCTGTCAAGGCACGCGATCGAGCCTTCTCGACCGAATCAATTGCAGAGCACGATGTGGTGGGTCTCATCCAGAGCACGCTGGCAAGTCAGCATGTGAAAGAATCGGCTCTGACCAGTAACTCCATTGAGAGCCTTAACAGCGGCCGTCAATCTGCTGCGTCGATCCAAGCACCCGCATTCAAGACTGCGAAGACGGTCAATAGGCCAAAGTCTGCCTACCAGCTTCGGGCCAACTATCGGAACGCAGCATCGGGCAAGGCCAAGCCGCTGGAAGTACGGCGCAAGGCCATTGAAAGTAATCTGCTCGAAGATAACACTATCAGAAACATCTCAGCCGGGCCGTATGCTACTCGTCGAATGGACAGCCCCAACCAAGAGAACACGAGACCATTGGAGAGTCCTCTTCCTGCAGTGTCCAGCTCAGAATGGTTGGCCGCAGGGGCGAACAAGAGGAAGGAGGTCAGAAAAGCGTCGTCGATGCATCCCTTGGCGAGGCCAGTCTCTCGCTCGTCTCCAGTCTATGCTGGACAGCGGTCTCCAGGACAGAGGTTGGTCACGAACTGGCTGGATGAACGGAAGTCCAAGGAGAACACGCCGGCGTTTGTGTGAGGATGGATTGTCTTTTGCTTCGTTTTGAGTATTGCTATCCACACACTCCGGTAGTCCAAGTATCAAGCCGCCGATGAAATCCATGATGGTTGTTGTATTCTATTCTAACCTCCTGTCCAACTTCGCGTGCGGTTGTTCCAGTCACGGCGAACGTGACACCGAGCGCCGACCATCGCCGACGTCGCCGAGCTGGGTCAATGAAATGCTCCCTAATTTGCTTAGACATTCGGCCCCAGCCAGGCCGATCCCAGGGCGGAATTAGGCCCAGGCTTACCTCACAATTGACTAAACGCCTTGCAGGAACAGGGGTAAGCTTGGGTGAGCACCTCACCCTCCAGCAGGCCGCGCCAGCCTTCTTCTGCAACGAGTATACGCCATTTCCATTCAAAGGTCGGTGCCATGGCGCACCAAGTACCACGGGCTGCAGTCGCATGCGCTTTGCAATGCTCAGCTCACCCAGCCGAGACCGCCTAGTCGGTGGGCTTGCATCGATCGCAGCGCTCTTGCTGGCGTATTTAGTCCTCGTCGTGGTGCCGCTCTACGAGGCAGAGATGCCGTCCACGCACCTGCTTTCCAGAGTTGTTCCACGAGTATCGGCTCTGTCACGACAGCTGAGCTTCTTGCCTGGTGTTCAAAAGGCTGCTTCTTTCTCGCCTGCTGTTGCTGCTTCTTCCTCTCAATCACAACAACATCACTTCAGCACAACGACAGCGAAGATGGGCTACGAATCTGTCAGCTTCAAGGACGCCATTGCGAACCGGCGGAGTATCTACTCCCTCACCAAGAAGTCTACCATCAGCGATGGCAAGCTCAAGGAGATCGTCGAGCAGGCTGTCAAGGATGTGCCGAGTGCCTTCAACTCCCAGTCCGCTCGTGTCGTTGTTCTGGTCAAGGAAGAGCATGACAAGTTCTGGGATATCGTCACGGCTATCTTGAAGGCCCATGTCCCTGAGTCTAAGTGGGAGCATACCAGGCAGAGGATGGAGGGCTTCAGTGGTGCTTACGGCACGGTATGCTACTTAGACCCTCCCCTCCCAAGCACATCCAACTGACCTCCACACCTCCAGATACTCTTCTACGAAGATCCCGAACCCATCAAAACCCTGCAATCCAAATTCCCCAACTACGCCGACAAGTTCCCCCAATGGTCCGAGCACACCTCCGCCATGCACCAGTTCACCCTCTGGACGGCCCTCGAAGCCGAAGGTCTCGGTGCCAACCTCCAGCATTATAACCCTCTGCCTGATCAGAAGGCTGCGGATACTTGGAACATCCCGCTTGAGTGGAGTCTCAAGGCGCAGCTTGTGTTTGGCGAGCCGGCGGAGGGTGCGAGGGAGAAGTTGGCGGACAAGGCGAGTGAGCCGGTTGAGAAGAGGGCTTTGTTTTTTGGGTTGTAGACTGGGGGAGCTGGGTGAAGAGGGAAGGTATTGGGGTTGGTATATGGTTACGGACGAGATGATTCAATGGATGGATGATAGAGATAGTTCGATGAGTATGGATGAAGACTCCCGATCTCCCTAGTCACCCACCCTCGTCGTTCCACTCGAACTGGAACGCATGCAACCAACATATCTGCCGCTCCCCGCAACATCGTACGCGACCCTGCCGCTGATCGTGTTTTCCGCCGATTAGTATGCTTGCTAGAATCGGGGATGATCCTTCCACTCAGTGAAACACTCAGGTACTTGGCATACTATGTGCCTGAAAGGATTTCAAAGCCTCAGCGAGACTTGGAACAACGGATTTCGGCCTCGTTCCAACGCCAGCTCGGCCATGTCCGCCTTTCTCCCGATACTGCCGACTCAGCTTCGCCTCTGTCGTCTCCTACCAATGGTAATCTGAAGGGAGAGATGAAGGTTAAGAGCCCTTGCCGCCGAACTCGATGCAATCCCCTAGTGTAGCGGGCGCTGAAGTGAGGTAGAATGGAGTCAATCACTTTACCTGACCTTCTAGAAGTAAGGTAAAACGGGAGGTAAATGACGTGAAAGAAGAAGTAAATATGACTGGGGACACAAGGTAAAGTGTCAAGTAAAAGATCAATTGAAGGGTAAAGTGAAGGGTAGATTGAAGGCTTAAGTAAGAGATCAAGTAAAATATTAACGGAAGAGTCAAGTAAAGGGTCAAGTAAAGGAAGTAGTAAAAGAAGAAGTAAAGTAAAAGAAGAAGTAAAGTAAAAGTTAGGTAAAGTAAAAGAAGAAGTAAAGTAAAAGAAGAAGTAAAGTAAAAGAAG